CCCCCCCCAGACCCAGGCCGAGACTCCCCCACCCCACTAACACCAGATCGCGCGCTTCGGCGCCGCCTGCCTCGGCAGCGTGGCCCTCTGCCTCTTCCCGCTGCACGCGGCGGAGCTGCCGTCCGCCGAGATGCTCGGCGTCGCTGTCGTGATCACGTGGACCGTGTTAGCCGTATACGTGTTCGGCGCGCTGCCGCGGCGTGGCGCGGTGCGGCTCGACGAGGACGAGGACGAGGAGGGCGTGACCGTCACAGACTTGTAGTGGGGAGGGCGGCGACACACGTTGGGCGACAAACGGCGGGCGACAACAAACGATGCGTCACCGGATGTATCCCCGAGAACTTTGGTTGCGCGCGAGCGCTCATGCACACGGATGATCTATTGCGGGCGGGCGCGGGGCATCAGTGCGAAATTGGGACAAGGCGCTCGCTGTTGAGTGCCTACGCTGCGGAATGGTGCGACGGCGCGATGCGGCGCGTGCGGTGCGGCGCAGTAGAGTAAGCGGATGCTCGAGGGCTGCGGAACGCGCCGTGCAGCGCTCGGAGCGACGGTTAGTGGCCGCATGCCCGCAGATCGAGATTTGCCGACAGGCGTCCGGGCGTCCAGGCACATCGGCCAACGCCCAGGCCGCGGACAGGGCACATGCCGCACCCTGGACCCTTGGTGCATGCCACACCTTAATCCCTATACCCTGGAGGGTGGCCCTGGCAGTCTTCTTTTGTCTGCTGAAACTTGGTCCTGCATGGCGCAATGAGTGAGATGGGTGATTGCGATTGAGCAATGGCGGGGGCGGGGTGGGGGCGGAGTGGGGGCGGGTGGCGAGCGGCGAGCGGCGGGGCCGGTGGGGCGGTGGGGCGGTGGGACAGACGGAAGGAAGGAAGCCGAGGCCTGGATGTGTGCGCCTGCATGCCGTGTGATGAATCATACCATCAATCATCATGCCATCAAACGAGAGAAATGGTCCGAGGAGGGGCCGGGGTACGGGGGTGTAGCGATGGAATCTTGCGTTTGTACGGGAGCGAGAAAGCACGGTGCACATTGCGGCCGGTGTCATGAAAGGGACAAAGGTGCAAAGGTGAGTCGTGGACTGAGCGTCACCTTCCTTGAACCTCGCTCGCTCACATCGGGGGTCGTGTCATTACTGTATTTCGGTAGAATCCGCGATTTCGGCGTCGAGTATAGTTACGCTTTGGTAGGTACGTGTACGATGACAAGAGGGTTAGTGGACGCTCGGGCCGGTGAGTGGATGTGGAATGTGAGATTGAGAGGTGGGGAGCAGATGGGGCAGTGCCGTGTGCCAGTGCGCCTGTCAACAAAGAGTGCGACGAGCGAGAGCGAGGGCGAGGGCGAGGGCGAGGGCCGTGTGGTATTTGGGGGCGCGTGAGAGCTGGCTAGTAGTGAGAGGGGTGAGTGAGTGAGGGTGAGGTATGCTCGGTCGTTAGGCGGGGTGAGCTGACGAGGTGACAACCCGAGCGATAGGGTAGGTGTGGAGTAATGTGGAGAGACGCGGTGCAGAGGAGAGAAAAGAGAGAGAGAGAGAGCGCGACGCGAGAGAGAGAGAGAGAGAGAGAGAGAGAGAACAATGAGAGGATGTAGAGGATGGAGAGAGAGAGAGAGAGGAAGAGGAAGAGGAAGAGGAAGAGAGTACAAAGCAATCCAGCCATGTGGTTGACCGTGACATACAATGCAGCTTGCTATTCAGGGTCGGAAGATGGGAGACAAGGCTTTAAGGGTAGGATACGAAGGGCCGAGGGGCCGAGGGGCCGAGGGGGAGGAGGGGACCCCACGTGCATTGTCATGTTGTGCCTGGGAGCCGGGGGGAGGGGGAGGGAGGGATGATTTGTATAATTGACCGTGATTTGTATAAAGATATACAAATCAGTGTCCGGTGAGGAGGGTGCTTACGGTGGTAGACTGTGGATCCGTGGATTGATAGTGGGTTCCTGAAGCCCCCCTTGGTGAGAGTCATTGTTCTCCCCCTCCCTCTCCAAGTGACTGCCCTCGTCCTCCTCGACTCTGACGACGACTGGGATCTCACACTTGTCTCTTGAGCTCTTGGCTCTTCAAAAGACTCTCTCTCTCTCTCTCTCTTTCGCTCCTACTCCTACCCCATCGTCCATCAACCATCGTCCATCACCCATCGTCCATCACCCAGACACATACCCAAGTGGTCACTCGTCCAAGTCGCCACACTCACATCGTCGCCTGGTCTCTACTTCATTCACCTCCCCACCCACAATGCCCTCCGCTCACCACCTCCCCTCCCCCTCTTCCACCGTCTCCCTCTCTCCACGCCAGAACTCTTCCCACACCATGGCACGCCACTCTAGCTGCAACAGCAGCGAGGATGACCAGGAAGCCGCACGCTCCGCACTCGAGATCCGCCGCGAGAAGAATCGCATCAAGCAGCGTAACCTCCGTCGTGAGTCACCCTCTCTCTCCCTCTCTCTCTCTCTCTCGACAGCCACCTCCCCTAAACTCAATCTCCCCCGGGCTTGAGCCACAGCCTCAGCCACATTGTACCACAACTCCCACCCCTATTACGCACGCACCTCCTATGCAGGATGCAGGATGCAGGGACGAGAACAAGGCATCTTGTGCGCGCGCACATTCACTCGAATGTCTCTTTGTGCTCGAGCGAGTGGGTGGCATGGGTGGTGTCACGTCGTCGGGGATAGAGGCAATTGATTGAGCCGACGCTTGATCCTTCTCTGTGCCTCTTTGCTTCTCCCTTTGTACACATCACCCACTTGTCTTCTTCTTCTTCTGTCACCCACCACCCACCACCCACCACCATGCACATGCATCACCCGCTCACACCCCTACAGAGCGCCGCGCTACTCAGATGGCCGACCTAGAGACCACTGTAAACTCGCTTCGCAACAAGGCCCATGACGTCGAGGACCGCCTCAACATGCTCGAGGCCCGTGAAGCTAGCCTTCAGGCTTGGGTCAGAGAGCTCGAGAACGCCATGATCGCACAGGGCCACCGCGAACAGGTAGACACTCTGCGTCGTGTCTGGGGTCAGTCGGCAGGCATGATGCCCGCGCCCCACCACCCCCACGCCCTCTCTGGCGTTACCGACAACACTGGTTCTCGCGTCGACCCACTTGCGACCCTCGCTTCCGCTGCCTCGACCTTTCAAAACCCCCGCGCGGCCCACTCCTACCCCATGCGCTCCCACAATGATGACGATGACACTGCTGCTTCGCGCAAGCGTAGGCGTGACGACGACTATGAATACGGTGCTGGTGCTGGCGCTGGCGCTGGTCCTGGTGTTGGTGCCAACCGCGGCGACCGCCTTGCCTCGCCCAGCCGTATGCGCATTTCCGACCTCGTCCTCCCCCTCCCTAGGCCAACGGGTTCGGCGCCGGTTCTGCACCAGCCTCACCCTTTCCCCGCTTGGACTGCACACCTTCCAGCGATCGACCAGGGGTTTGCCGGCTACGAGGACAAGCCGAGGCTCAACTCGGACGCGCGCAACGTTACGCCTTCTGACCGTCGTCCTCTTTCGTCTTCGAGCAACAACACGGCACGCACATGGTCGTCGCCGGTGCAGTCGTTTGAGATTCGTCTCTGAGACTTTTTGCTCTGCACTGCATTTACGTCTCGCCCACGCCATGCCATGCCATGCCACGCCACGCCACGCCACGCACGCCACGCTTGCCCCGCCACGTCACGCACGCACGCACGCTTGCATGCCCGCCCGGCTCGCACACCATGTTGTCCATAGAAACGAACAACACTACACCGACGCTGTCAAACCTGGGTTAATCGTCGACCTTGATCTTGGTCTCGTCCGTCTCAACACACATACTACCCACACTCCCCCATTGTGCATTGTAGGTTGTACCGAACAAAAGGATGTATAGTCTCTGACTGCGAACAATGGTTGTGAGGGAGTGAGTGGGGTGGGTGGGGAGGCGGAGGCGGGTAATCCGTTGGACGCGGAGTGCGGAGCGGAGTGGGCGGAGTACGTTGTTAGACAGAGTATGGCCCAAGGAAGTGGGACAAAGGGATTCCATGCAGATCGCGATTCCAGGGCCGGATAATGCCGGCGATATAAGCCGATGGCTATAGCCGGATGTTGCAGCTCCAGATCTCTTGTCTGGGTTGTCACCATATACACGGTAGTGGTCGTGTGATCGCATGCACATGCACATACTACTGTCCACATGCACATGCACATCACTCCATCACCCGTTCAATTATGATAATTCTCATTCTTCCATCCCAACCGAATGTACAGTACGTTTCCAGCCCCCAGACTGGCAGACGCCGTATACTCCCGGCTGATCGATTCTACAAATTCGCGTTGGAGATTGGCAGCGCTTCTACAAATCTCGGCCAGCACTCTACAAATCTCGGTACAGGCACCATCGCTCTGCCAGGGCTCGGTGACAAACCGCCGCGCTAGGAGTATCAGGGCCAGAAGGCCGGAGAAAGCCATTGTTCTTCCCTGACCCACCCCGGCGCTTTTGTTCTGCCTGACGTACACGTACTGTATACGTAGGGTTACTATCCGCCCGCGCCATACGCGATCGTACGGCGGGGAGTCACTGGTGACTCGCCGCTCGCGGCCCGGCAGCACGCGGCCCGAAGATGGTCTCCAGCTCCACTGCCCACCGAACCACCGAAGCCGTGGCGCAGGCTGACGTGATGGATCATGTGATCCAGACGAGTCCCACGCCATACTGTAGTCCTAGATCCCACCCAGAAGCGCCTTCTGCTGCAGAAGACAAAGGACAGGAGGGAGGCACGAGGATATTGGGCGGAAACCAAAGAGAGAGGATGAGATAGAGAAGAGAGGGAGGGGCTGCGGACACACGACAACAACCAACCAGAATACACAAGGCCGGCGTTCGATTCCCGCCGCAAGCGTCCAAAAGCCCCCCCCCCCCCCCCCCCCCTTCCCCCCCCCCCCCCCACGTGACCTCCAGCGCCACACCGCCGCGTAATGTCTTCTCTCGTCGTGTCATCCACCATGCCAGCATGAGGCGGCTCACGATCCTTCTCCTCGCCCTCGCGCTTGCGCTGCTTGTTCTAGCCGAGCCTTCTGTGCGGGGCGACGCGGACAACTCCCTCGATGCCGATGCCGATGCCGATGCCGACGCCGACGCCGACGCCCTCGACGTGGACATGCCAGAAGAACCAGATCGTGAGTCATCCGGGAACTCACTGACCCCAGCTTGCGCAAGCCTATACACCGCACACGACATCCTCCAGGCTCTCCAGCCGAACCGGTATGCGCACCTCCACAGGAAGCTCGGCGGCGCCGCGCCTGCGCGGAGGTTACCGGACGAGCTGGGGTGGAGCAGCCAAGTGAGTCCCCGCGATGGCCAGCGCCAGCCGGCACTGTCCCCAGCTCACCCCAGGGCCCCCTCTCCTCCGCGCTCCGCATCTCCTCCCGCCTAGTCTCCACCCTCAACCCCCTCAACCTCCTCTCCAAAGTCCAGCGGCCCTCCGCGCGCCGCCCTCGCATCTCTGCCTCCACACGCGAACGCATCGACCGCGTATACGCCGCGCTCGACGAAGCCGACCAAAAAGGATGCCCCACCGCTCTCGCATTGCGCGCCGACATGCTCCTCTTCCCCCCCTCGCGCGCCATCCAGCAGGACCTGCCCGCCGCGTACGACCTCTACAAGCGCTATCTCGACCTCTCGTCCGACGCGCACGCCCAGTTCGTCGTCGGCTTCTTCCATGCTACTGGCGTCGGCGGCGTGCCACGCGACCAGGGGCTGGCCACGCTCTACTACACCTTCTCCGCATTGCAGGGGCACAAGCCTGCGCAGATGGCACTGGGATACCGCCACTGGGCTGGAATAGGGGTTAAAGAGGTAGGAATTGCCCGCTGTCACGGCTGACTTGTAGGACTGCCTTACAGCGCTCAACTTTTACGAGAAGGCAGGCAAGAGCGCCTACGACAAGTACGTCGCTGGCCCTCCGGGCGGCGAAACACTCCCGCTCTCACCGTCCAGGATCTCGGACCGCCTCGGTGGCGTGTTTGGGCCACATGCCACATGGTCTCTCACGGGGTTCAATGTCCACTACATGACCGTCAAGGCAATCAACGCGCTCGCGCGCGGCGAGTCCGAGCCCGAAATCCTCGAGTATCTCAAGTACAACTCGGACCGGGGGCAGATGCGCTACACATGGCGCCTCGGGCACCACTACTATGCCGGCTCGGTCTTTCCGCATGGGTCGGGCGGTGTGTCGTCGGGCGCCGAGGAGATTGGCGAGATCCCGCAGAGCTTTGACGAGGCACGCAAGTACTTCCACAAGGTTGCGCGGCAGATGTGGCCCGTCGACTTTGAGGCGGACGGCAAGCCTGGCCTGCGGAAGCAGATGAGCGACGAGCGGAGGAAGGAGCTCAGCGACCCCGCTATGGTTGCCGCCGCCTTTCTCGGGCGCATGTATATGCGTGGCGAAGGCGTCAAGCAGGACTTCAAGCTCGCGCGGCTGTGGTACGAGCGCTCGGCGAATCTCGGCGACCGCGAGTCGCATAATGGCTTGGGGATTCTGTACCGCGACGGCCTCGGGGTCAAGAAGGACCTCGAAAAGGCTTTCAAGTACTTCCAAGCTGCGGCGGGCCTCGAGCTCCCCGACGCCGAGATCAACATTGGCAAAATGTTGCTCGCACGCGGGGACAAGCTGCGCGCGAGCCAGTACTTCATCCACGCGCTGCAGCACGGCTCGCCGTTCGAAGCGTTCTACCACCTCGCAACGTTGCACAGCGCGAGCGCACATGCGCCGCTCGACCAGGGCTTCTCGCCCGGCGCATGCGGCGTCGCCGTGGGCTATTACAAGCTCGTGAGCGAAGTTGGCGCATGGGACGACGACTACATTGGCGAGGCGAACCGCGCGTGGGGTCGCGGCGAGGAGGACAAGGCGCTGCTTGGCTGGTGGATCGCCGCGGAAATGGGCTCCGAGATCGGGCAGAACAACGTCGCGTTCATGCTTAACCGCGGGTCCACGCACTTTGGGCGCCCGATCCCCGCCGACACCGAACTCATGCTCTGGACGCGCAGTGCCGCGCAGGGCAACGCCGACGCCATGGTCATGGTCGGTGACTCGTATTGTGGGTACCACGACGTAGGGGGCTGACACCAGACACCGGGACCTACCTCAACTCGAGCACGGCGACCAACATCACGCACTCGTCGCCCGATTACCGCCGCGCATTCGGGTACTATCAAACCGCGGCGGAGAAGCACAACCCCATGGCCTACTGGAACCTCGGGTACATGTACGAGAACGGGCTCGGCGTCCCGCGCGACTGGCATCTCGCGAAGCGCAACTACGACTTGGCGCTGCACGTGTCCCCCGACGACGCCTACCTGCCATGGGTGTTGAGCCTGACGAAGCTCTATCTCCGGAGGTGAGCTGCACGCGTGCCGGGCTAACGGCAGCTGGTGGACGGACATGCGCACGCACGGCGGCGTGCCCGGCCTCGCGTTGTTCGACGACGAAGAGGCGCCCGGGGTGTGGGAGGGCATCAAGAAGCTGTTCGCGGGCCCGCCGGAGCGCGAGCGCGCCCGCGACGACGACGAGTACGAGGACTACTCCGGCGCCGGGTGGGAGGGGGGCGCGGGCGACGACCTCGACGACGTCGAGGACATGGCGGAGAACATCGTCATCCTCGCTGTCACGGGGCTTATTATGCTCCTCTTTTGGCTGCGCCAGCGCTGGGGCCAGATCGGGTTCGCGGGGCTGCAGCAGCCTGCGCGCATGGCGTAATGTATTGCTAGCATAGATTAGAGAAGGTCAGGCCGGCGAGCTGCCCGGAGGACGCTGAAGCTGCAGTCGCACGAGAAATGTTGCATTCTTTCGCTTGTCGATGTGTCTATCTCCCTCCGCCTTGCTACACCACCCTCTCGCCCTTGTCGTTCCACACTTTCTCGCTCACGTCAATCTCCGTCGGCGTCTTGCGGCGCGCGAAGACGTGGAAGTGCGCGTACCCCGGCACGCTCTGCAGCCGGGGCGGGTTGACAAACCACAGCGTCTCGAATCCGCGCGGGTCAAACAGCCCGCGCACCATCTTGGCCACCTCGTGTCCCCCCTTCGCCTCGTACTCGACCCCAGCCCAGCGCCGGACTTCCGCGCCCGCATACCGCACATCGACGGCATACCAACCCTCCCCGCCGGCGTCGGGGCACGCGCGCCCACTCACCGCCGCCGCCCCTGTGTCCCTCTCCGCCGCCGCCGCCGCCGCCGGCCCCTCCCCCGCCACCGCCGCCGCCGCCGCCTCCGGCGCAGGCGTCGGCAGCCGCACATGCGGAATCACGCCCGTGAACCCCCCCAAGCCTTCTGCCTCGATCTTGGCCCACGCCCCCCGCTCGTAATCCACCAACACGGGGTGCGCGATCGGCACGCGCGACCACACGCAGTAGTGCCGCACCCCATACGGCACGCAGTACGGCCAGTCATTGGGCAGCAGCGCGTATTTGCTGCTGTCGAGCCCCGCCGCCGCGTCGTATTTCAGGTACACGTCGTCGTCGTCGTCCTCCTCTTCACGCTCGCGGTCGCCCTCGGGCTCGCCAGCCTCGCGCGACGAGCCAGAGTCGCTCGCGGCCCGGCGCGCGCGCGCGCGCTCCAGCCGCCGGTTGACTTTCGGGAGCACGCTCTCGAGCGAGACGTACGCGACCGAGCTGGGCGAGCTTGCGCCGCTCCCCGCGTCGCTCGAGCCGCGCGAGCTCGGCGCCGTCGCGGCGTGCGAACACGACGCGGGCGTGCTGGGCGCGGGGGCGGACAAGCCGAGCGCGTGTGCCGCGACCGCCGCGGCGCCGGCGCCCGCTTCGGACGAGACGACGCGCCGGTGTTTCGGCGTCACCCCGTCGCCGCGCGGGCGCGTCGACGGCACGAGGTCCACTTCGGGGTGCGAGAGCGCGGTGCGTTGGTCGTACGTCGGTTCGGGGGGCACTACGACGCCGTGCCGCCGGTGCGCTTCGCCCCACGGCAGGCGGGCGTTGACGAGGTAGTTTTCTACTGTCAGAAGGGGGGGGAAACAACAAGACGGACCGGTCGAGCCCCACGCCGCGCGCTGCTTCTGCATCCATGCTTCGTAGGTGTGTTGCAGCTGCTTGTTGCGGCTGAGACGGTCGAGCTCGCCGCTTTCTGGGGTTAGCGGGGCGGGGGAGGACGTACGGATGACGTCTTTGAGCTCGCCCCACGTGAAGAGGCGGGGCTGGGCGTCGAGCTCGGCTTGCGACGGCACGCCGGTGATGAAGGGCGGGAGCTCGAAGGCCGCGGGGGCGGGGTAGCGCGTGTCGTTGTCCCAGATGGTGGTCATGGCTTATAGTAGGTTGGATTGAGAAGAGGGAGGTTAGGAGCGAAAATCCAAGGCCTGAAGATGAGGGAGATGAGAAGGAGGACACGCGGGAGATGGGTGAGTGTGCAGAGAGAGATGGAGATGAGATTGAAGGGAGAACGATGCATTGCAATGCAATGCGATGCGAACGTGTGCCGTGCAAGTCAAGAGTCAGATCTGGGCTCGCTGAGTGAGTGGGGAGACACAGGCGGAATGGCAGGTGACACATTCTCAAATGCTGCGGAGCGATAGTGGCGATCGGGAACGTCGCCGAAGTTGATTTCTCAGGGTTCACAATGGCCAAATCGGCTTGTTGGCCGAGGGGCACGGGGGCATTGTCGTACCAAAAGTTTTGTAAATGCACGACGATACCGCCAGAGTTGAGCGACGGGTGTGTCCGTAACCCAAGACTCGTTTCTCACCCAAACTCCAACTACGCTGCGCATGGACTCCCGACCTCGCAGGTCCGCAAATCATACGTTCAGCAGCCTCCAAGCTATATTCTCCCAATGCTTGCTCATCACGGCTATTATGACGGCATTCGGCGGATCGGCGGCCCGGCCCGGCCCATGTGGTAGAACCGGAAACGAGCTTCCATCCTCACCATGACGCCATGCCCACCATAGCCCTTGGTGACTCTCGCACGCTTCCACATCGACTGCCGTCGGCCATCACAGAACATTTCTATCTCACTTTCACCCCCACTCCACCTTGCACTCTTTCTCCTCTCTCTTCCAGAAACAACTGCTCACCATGGCTCACATCAAGGACACCGTCGCTTTCGAGCCCAAGAACATGATCGTATGCCACGGCGCGAGCCTCGCTGACTCTAGTACCGCAACCTCGGAGACACCGGCCTTGTGCGTGCTAACGACGTGGTCCAGAAGCACTGCTAACGCCAGCGTGTCCCCGTGTTCTCGTACGGTGGCTGGCTCACGTAAGTTGCACACGAATCGCAGCGGTCCATTGGCAGCCTTGATCGAACCAAGGCAAGAGCAGGCTTCACTTGACGCCGCCGTGCCCCGGACTCTTAACACCTCTCCCCTCACCCAGCTAACCCCAGCGTCGGCGGAACCCAGAAGGGCGACGTCGTCAAGGACCTCATGCAGAAGGCCTTTGACCTCGGCATCAACATGTTCGACGTGAGTGGAGATCGGAGATGGCCGCCGGCTATCCTCCCCACCAAATTCACCCGTACCCACACCCCTGACACCAGAACGCCGAAGTCTACTCAAACGGCCAGAGCGAGCTCGAGATGGGCCGTGTGATCAAGGAGCTCAACTGGGACCGCCGCGACATCATCATCACAACCAAGGTCTTCTTCGGCACCGGCCGCAAGGAGACTCAGAACACGCGCGGCCTCAGCCGCAAGCACATCATCGAGGGCACGATGCACAGTCTCGAGCGCCTGCAGCTCGACTACGTCGATGTCATCTTCGCCCACCGCCCCGACATTTCTGTGCCCATGGAGGAGATCGTCCGCGCGTTCAACTGGCTCATCGACAACAACAAGGCCTACTACTGGGGCACGTCCGAGTGGACCGCCGCGCAGATCCTCCAAGCCAAGGAGATCGCTGCGCGTCTCAACCTCGTCGGCCCCGCATGCGAGCAGCCCCACTACTCGATGCTGCACCGTGAGCGCTTCGAGGTCGAGTACAAGGATGTGTTCAAGCGCGGCCACGGCTCGACCATCTGGTCGCCCCTCGACTCGGGCATCCTCACGGGCAAGTACAACGACGGTGTGCCCGATGGCTCGCGCTTCGCCACCAACTCGGCCTTCTTCTCCAGCACCGTCAAGGAGCTCCAGACCGACGCGGGCAAGGCCAAGATCGCAAAGGTCAAGGAGCTTACCAAGGTCGCCGAGAGCATCGGCGCGAGCATGACCAACCTCGCGCTCGCCTGGACCCTCCTCAACCCCAACGTGTCCACCTGCATTGTGAGTCAGAGCGGCGCGTTAAACTGACCCCAGCTTGGCGCCACCAAGCCGGAACAGCTCGAGGAGAACGTCAAGGCCCTCGACGTGTACAAGACGCTGCTGGACAAGCCCGAGGTCGTCGCCCAGATCGAGAAGATTCTCGACAACAAGCCCAAGCCTACCGAGAGCTACGGGCGTATTGGACGTGATGGTGAGCTAGCCTAGTGGAGGGGGAGAGGAGAAGGGGAGGGGAGGGGAGAGAGGGGATGTATGCGGCGGGGAGGTCAGTTGGGTGGTAGGCGGTATTGACAATCAAGACAACGGAACCGACTACCTCCCACCTCGCCGCGCTCGCCTCTAGGCGATCTGTAGCGATTGACGAAAAATGTATCTTGGTGCAGTAGATGGAGTGATCAGGCATTGCGATGTCAGAGAGCTTCGTCCAGATATCAAAGCAGTCCACAAACCACACGTAAATCGTGAGCACGCTGCTTCGTGCAACGTGTCAGTGTCAACGATGCTGCGGCGCTGTGGGCGATTGTATTGTCTACAGGGTGACAGCCATGGATGATTGAGCGTGGGTAGGACGGTGAGGAGGCCTGTGTGCGGCTGTTGTTCGCAGTTTGGATCTGGCGTGGAGTCAAGGTAACAATACGCACAAGACGGCTACTGCGGTACTGTGGGGTGTTGCGCTAGCTCACAGCTCGCCGGCATGCGTCATGACAACTGCAGCTCGCTGCCAAGACCTCTACACCAACAATGTCGGAGACCTTGTCGTAATGAAATCAAAAGGCACATGAATCTGACGCGTCGCGAGTCGCGTGGCCATCACCCCCGCCAGGGTCCGATCGCCCTGGACCTGCTTCGGACCTGACCTGAACACATCTCGTCTGCTCTCCATACACTCACCCACACCGACACCATGGCAGACGAGCTGCACTCGCCGCTCGCGCGCCGCTTGAGCACACAGCTCCCGCCCGTCCCCGACAGTGCGCCGCGGCTCAAGCGCCTCTCGCTTGTCGCCGCGCGCGACTCCAGCTCCCCCTTCACGCCCGGCTCGCCCGTCACGCCGAGAGACGACGAAGGGCGCGGGAGCATCGACTCGCTGCGCACGCCGGTCGCGGCGTCGCCGTCCCCGTCGCCCCGCCCGCGACACAGCCGCCGCCAGAGCTCGATCTCCTACTCCCCCAGCATATCCAGTGTGCGCGGGCACGCAGCGCAGAGCAGCTTGTCGCTCCGCAAGGAGTGGGAGCGGGCGACGCCGAGCCCGCTCGCCCTCGAAGAGGAGAAGGAGAATGAGAGATGGAGGGCGGATGCGCTTACGCTCGGCGAGAAGTGGGTCCCCTGATGAGCGGGCTGACGCCAGACACTCGGACCTCCTCCGCATGATTGCGATGCGGGAGCGGCGGGTGAATGAGCTTAAGCAGGGTAAGTCGGATGGTTGGGTGCAGAAGTGGCGCCTGTTGGCGAGGGAAGGCGCCCCGTCTGCAAAGAGTGGACATTGTCGCCCCCCCAGTGTGCGCCAGCTCAGCACACTCATGAGTCGCGCCATGCCTGAGCTGGTGGCGGCCAGCTTGACACGACAACGACGCGTAGGAACCCCACTGACAGCAGAACTCGCAATCCAGGAAGAGGCACTCGCGTCTCTCCGCGCCCGCTGGACGGCCATAGCGCGCGCCGACGCAGTCATACCCACCAGCACGCCCACACCACGGAGACGAGACCCCGCATCGCACACATCCACACCCTCCACCTCCCTCCCGCCCCTCGTCCGCACGCACCCGAACAGCGTGAGCACGAGTAGCACCGCGTCCTCGCTCCCGACAGTGCCTGACGAGGAGCCGCCCGGAGACGCAAGTCTTGGGAGTCCAAACACGGGCGTGGCGCTCGGCGGGCTCTGGAATGCGATCACCGCCGACGCGGACGAGACGATCCAGGAGGGCAAGCGCTTCTGGGGTCAGCTGCTGCGCACCGTGGGCGCCGCGGCGGGCGGAAACATTCCAGAGGAAGGCGCTGCGTCCCGGCAAATGGAACGCACACGCAGCGGGGGCAGCGCAACGGGAGCCGAGGGTAAACTCGAAATGTAAGGCGGGCAATGATGGAGCTGACAGCAGACCAAATCTCCGGAGCATGGTATCCTCCATGGGCTTCTTGCCGACCCCGGTCAAGCCGCACACCCCGCCACCACTCGAGCGGCGCAGTTCGCGCTCGTCGACCAAGTCGGCGGCCTCTGCGACCTCAACCAGCCGCGAGCGCAGCCCAGCTAAAAGCCCCATGAGCAACGGCTCGCACTCGCCGACGCGGAGTGTGCGTAGCCTCCGGCGCGTGGCAAGCAGCGAGGGAAAGGCTTGTGAGAAGGCCAGCGAAAAGACCGACACGGCTACTTCTATCCCGCTTCTGTCACCGACACCTATCGCACCCGAGCGCCGGCTCAGCGTGCGACTGAAACGGGCGGCACTCAGTCCCAGACCCCGCCCCCTCACTGGCGAAGTGAAGAAGGAGGACGGAAAAGAGGAGGGGCACAGGGATGACGGGGAGGAGAAGAACGACAGAAAGGAGGCGCACGACAGTCCGCGACTAGTGACCGCTACGCTCGAGAGCGTGGGATGGTAGTTGTATAAACATTGCATCTGATTTCCGAGCTACTGACGAGGACACTGACCGAGATTTGAGAGCTACTGAGAGGATCGGACTGCCCAAAGACTTGCGGGCTGCTGACGAGGATCGTACTGACCAACGACATGCGTGCTACTGACGAGGATTGTAGTCACCGAGGACATGCGCCTCGCGGTCGAGCACTAGCGCGTGGATGAGCTCGACCGCCTCAGCGTCCGACGAGTAATGGACGGCAACGTAGCGGCGCTGGATCGCGTCGCTGACCGCGAGCGCGTGGCGCGCCATAGCGCAGAGGTCCCACACACGATCGCTGCCCGCGAGCGCCTCGACCGCGGCCGCCTTGCGCGCCCAGTTAGCCAGGCGGAGGTAGAGCACGATCGTGACGATTGTGTCCGGGCCCGTGAAGTCGCCGTACTCGCGCGCGACGCGCGCGAAGTACTCGGTCTTGCCGTACGTCCGGGCGAGGACGTTGCTGTACCGGTTGCTCGCGGGCAGGGGGTACAGGCGCATGTACGCGTGGTTCAGCGCGTTGTACGCCGGCAGAAAGCCGTATGGGAGGCGAAAACGCTGCGGCGCCTCGCTGGTGTCAAGGCCCTCGTCCTCGACCACGGTTGTGGCGGCCGTGGAGGCCGAGGCCTCGGAGGCGCTCGAGCCCGCGGTGGAGGCCGTGTCGTCCCCCGCGCTGTCCTCGGCGAAATCGGTGTCCTCCACGAAGGTGATGTCGTCCGCGAAGGTGGTGCCCTCCACGAAGGTGATGTCGTCCGCGAAGGTGGTGTCCTCGGCGAAAGTCGTGTCCTTGGCGAAGGTCGTGTCCTCCACGAAAACCTTGTCCTTGGTAAAGGTCGCGTCCTCGGCGAAGGCCTTGTCCTTGGTAAAGGTCGCGTCCTCCACAAAGGTGATGTCCTTCGCGAAGGTCGAGTCCTCGGTGAAGGCCTCGTCCTTGGAAAAGGCCGTGTCCTCCACAAAGGCCTTGTCCTCCGCGAAGGTAATGTCCACGATGAGGGCCGTGTCGTCCATCTCGGTGGGGCGGAGCTGGCCGCGCATGGCGCTGGTCGGGGTGAGGGAGGCCCTGTCCTGGAAAACGCCAGGGTGAAGGGTGTCGCGGCTCGGCTCACTGGAGGGGTAGAGGGAGACCATGGCTGTTGGCTCGGTGGGTGGAGTAAGGCTAGAGAGAAATGAGAGTAGAGTAGAGGAGGTACGGAGGGGCGAGGCGGGGCGCGAGGAGGGGCGAGGAGGTGGTGAGAAGGTGGTGAGGAGGAGGGGGTGCCGCGCGACAGATCTTATAGCCGTGGAAGGTGGGAAACGGCGGCCCGCCAATGCTGTGAAGCGAGGCCCCAACGACTGCGAGCTGTGGACAGCGACGCAAGTGGCGGCGGCCTCGGTGTGCTCTGTTTTCTTCACCAGCAGTGTCGTTCCATGAATCATCGCGTGGGCATCCACAAAGGCCGGATCTGATGTCTGCTCCTCACAGGCTCTCACGCTCGTAGCGCCGTGTTTATCCGGCCGCTCAGATGCGGCTGCTCGTTCCTCCCTGCTCGTGGACGTGAGCGGACAGGAAGTGGCTTGGCCTCCTCTCGTGGCGGCGGCGCCCGGAGTCATCCCTGCTCGCTCTCATGACGCAGACCAGGCCGCTGCCGATAACAACGCTGTGCTGACCGCCGTGAGGCCGTGGGAATTATCACACAGAGATCAGTCACAACCTCTTTGGAAAAGCGAAGCGAAGTGTGCGGATTGATCACTCGTGAACTTTGAACAATGCACCTGAAATTTTCGAGACTGATGGGACTTGGGCAGATTATGCTTTTGTCACTATGGAAATTCCTACGAACCCTTCTTTGAATTTCTTCCCTCATCACTATTTTCCTTCCCTGCTGTGCTTGGGGGGCCCGGTCGTAATTTAGCTACTCTGCTGCGGCTTGGGGGGCTCGGTCGCAACGGCGATGGCGAGGATGCGACGGATATTCGCGATCTCAACCGAAGCCGCGGCAGCCGACACCTTGCGAAGGGCAGCGATGACCTCGCTAACGGCCTCGTACATGAGCTCCATGATATCGCCGCCCGACGTGCCCTTCCAACCCCACTGGCGGCGCTCGTGGAAGTGCGCGACGCGCACGCAGTACGCGAACTTCTCGTAGGCCTGGATGGCACGCGCGTTCCACAGGCGCAGGGAGAAACCAAGGCAGCGCGCGCGCTCGCCCGACTGACGCGTCTGATGGTAGATCGAGAGGAAGCGGCCGTACGTGTGGGCCTGGCCGCGCGCAAGGGGGATGCCGAAGAGGCCCTGGAGGAAGAGGATGATGTTGTTCAGGCGGTCGGTCGCGTCGATAAACTGCTGGGTGTAGCGAATGAGAGGGTCGGACGAGGTGCGGTCCTGCGCGGCGCGGCGGTCGCGGCGCCGCACATAGGCGGCGCGGATTTCCTCGGCGCGCGCATCGCGCGTGGCTTGCAGCGCCGCCATAAAACGGCTGCGGCGGCGGCGCGGGGCGGGCGGGGCAGGCGGGGCTCCGGGGGTGATGAAGGGCATGGTATTACTTGCGATAGTTTCGCGAGACTAGGGCGTGTGGCGGCGAGAGATGGCTCTTGGTTCGAGGGAAAAGTTGGTGAAGAGAATAGGAGGGGATGTGGGAGCTGGTGGGGTCGTGGAGAATGAGAAGACATAGCCGGCTCTCTTTAATCGCCCGTCAGCGCACTCGCGTCGGTGTGCGCAAAGAGAGCGTGGGAACACACAAGTCCAGACCTGAGCAGGTGGGATGGCTTTCCGCCACAAACAAGTCTTGGAACATTAGACACAGATGTCGAGATCTCGGCAGCGAGGAAATTACTAGCGGGTGGCTCAATGGAGAAGAGGCTGTGAGGACGGCACACAATGCTCCCTCCATCTCGGTGACGGCCGGGTTCGCTCTCACCGATATGCCGGGTTCTCTATGCACTCGGCACGCTTTCCGCGGGCTCGAAAGAACTTGTCCATCATGGGCGCCGACCCCCACTTGGCCCGAGTCCAAGAGTTTTTTCTGGTCCGTTTTGACATACACGCGCATTGTGGAATTGCGTAGAGTTCATTGTCGGTGTAGTTGTGTAAATCACCATTTTGGGCTGCCCCGGCATCTCCAGCATCCTCCAAGCATCGGAAATCATGCAGGCTCTCCAGAGCACTGCGCCGGGATTTTACTGGCAAACCAACAGGCTAGCATTGAGCCTGAGTGCGGACACATCTTCTTGCTCGATGCGGCGGGTTGTGTGTGCACCTTGCAGTGATGCCGAGGGCAAGATCGTCATGAACTTCGACAGAATTTTCATGGGAGGCAGACACGGACTCCCTCCAAACCGATCTCAATGAACCCGCCGCTGACGAGGGGATGTATCCAGGGAGCAATTTACTGCAGATGCGAGGGACGGAGCTCCGGCTGTGACGCCGCTAGTCACACTAAGCCGTACTTCACCTGCGATTTTCACGCTCTGGCGAAGTTATCGTCGCGCTACTGCAATGCGAGAAGTTGACGTGATTTGGTGTAGGACTGGCAGGGCTGTCCAAGCGAACAATTTCATGATGCGATCACATCGCTCATTGAAGCAGACGTCTTGATAACGCCCATCACGAGAACACTATGCATATACTTCATCTTGATCCTCCATTGTCCACGGAAATTTTGGCACCACATTTCCTTGGCCATTGTTTTTTGGCGGCTTCCAAGTCTGCCCTCATTGCCGGGTGATGTGGAGTCCATCCTATTATTGAACTCTCACATCACTATCCTCGCATCGTGTCGAGTCTCAGATAATGTTACTGTATAGTGAAAGGGTAGAGTAAGAGTGGAAACATTGCATGCTCTGTAGCGGCTGAGCAAAAGGTGGTTTACTCTGAATTGGCCGCACCAACGGGGCTCTCGGGACAAGCTACTGCACATATGGCTCTCTGTGTCTCTGGACGGGGATCTAGCCAAGAGATCCTCTTGAGCGTGAGAGCGGGGAGGTGTGAGTGGGGAGGAGAAGTGGTCGTCGGGGAGTATAGACGGTGACCGGAGGTGAGAGATCCCACCTATCTCGCACCCTGTTCCTCTCAAAGCACATGGCGGCGGCATGTGGCACACCAGCCCCGACTGACCAAACTTATGCATCTAGGCTATCTAGACGACGACGAACGTGCCATTGGCCGCCACGGCGGCACTGATCCCCGCGTCGCTCCACCCCTCAACAGCGCCGCGGCGATCGAGCACGCTCGGGCCACGCACCCACACGCGGCCGACGACCTCGCCCTCCTCGGGCATAGGCTCGTCGACGCCGCGGAGCAGGACCTCGACGTTACTCGCGGGCGGGCCGGTGTGTGCCTTCTTCCCGCCTGCGGCGGGCATGGCGACGTCGGGCACCACGGGGCTCTGGAGGTCGTAGAAGTGGGAAGCGAATACGGGGCCCGTGGCGTACGGCGACGCCGTTAAGCGCGAGAGCGGGAGCGAGAGGACGGCGTGCGAGCGCGACGCGACGGCGTACGATACCTCACCGACGACGAGGACTGCGCGCAGGCTGTCGACCAGGCCGCCGAGCACACCCTTGCGCGCCCCGGCCACGAGGGCGTCCGCCCACCCGTCGCGAGAGATGTATCCCTTCCGGATGGACTGGAGCTTGTGGGCAGCCACGATGCGGCCGAGCGGAGTGCGCAGCGCATGGGCCGCGTGCGCGACGAGCGCCGCGTGGTATGCTGGTGTAGCGAAGAGGACTGTCGGGAGCGGCTGGTCGTCGGCCGCGAGCAGGGCGAGCTCGACGTTCGGGTCCGCTTCGGCGTCCCATCCGTTCGGGCCGACCAGGCGCAGTCCGGCGCCGCACCACACGGTTGCGAGCGCGAGCGTGAGGCCGAACGGCGTGTTCAGGCTGAGGGTTGAAGCAACGACGTCGCGCGTGCTCGGCCGCTTATCAGCTGGGAAGAGCGCCATGATACCTGCCATGCCGGCCGTCATTGTCTGCTGTCAGTCCGCGCAACTCCGTGAGTCTCACCATATGTGTGGCAGACAGGACCTCGCCATCGGGCGCGTAGAACCAACCGAACGTGTCAGACCAGATGTTCTCGCGCGCCTCCTCAGCAGGCGCATTCTCGGCAGCGTCCCACAGCTCCTCCCAGCGACGGGCGCCGAGGAGGTTGACCTTCTGTTCGGGATCGCCAACAAGAAGCACATGTACGTCCTTAGGGAGCGCCTGGAGAGCGGCGGCAGCCGTGGCGTGCGCGACAACGATAGCAGGCGCTGGGTGCTCCTTTCCGCTCAGTGCGGCAGGCAAGTGGCGCGGGTGATCGAGAATAATGAGCGGGTGACGAGGCTCGCTGGCGAGCGCGAGCAGGAGCGTCGGCAGCGACGTCGACGGTGACGGAGGCAGCAGTGTCGCAATGGGGGTTACGTCCGCGGACGCAAGAGTTGGGAACAGAGCACGCAAGCCAAGCGGAACGAGGCGCGCGACTTCGGCAAGCGCGTCCGGCGTGAGCTGGGATCAGCTACCGCGCCAGTCCAAACTCACCGGCGTGTCGAGGATGTAGCGCTGCTTGATGGGCGGGAGGGGCTTGCCGGGAAGCACGCTAGGCGGGGGCGCGCGCGCAGCTGCGTCGACGCTCTTAACGCCGCCTGCGGGGCGGACTTGCAGCGGTGTGCCCTGCCCCGTCGCCCAGGCGCGGTAGATGGGGCTTTCGCCGGGCTGGCGGACGGCAGCAGGCGCGGCCTGCCCTCCGAGCTGGAGGGAGTGGACGAGGGGGTTGGGCGCCGCGAAGCGCTGGTAGAGCAGCAGCGCTGCGAGCAGTGCCAGCAGGATCAGGGTGAGGTTGTCGACTTCGATGTCCATCTTGGTGATGGGAGGATGGGCGATGGCTCGAACGATGAGGCGATGGCCAGCCACCATGGACGCCAACGGGTAATCCACCGGCATGTGGCGGCATGTGGAATTGGAGGTGGAGGCGGATTGGGAGAGCATCTCCGCCCACGTCATGCTTTACTCCGCTCCATCCACCATGAGCGACGACGTCTACACTGACCACCCTGACCACACCGTGCCAGGCAGTATGTCGGTCCGTGGGCACGCTGACGGAAGTGCGCGAGCGCTCGCGGCCCGGCACGGGCGGCGAGCCGATCTACGACTCTGTGACGGACATGTGGGTGGTGACCTGTGTGCGCTGACAGAAGCCATGGCCGCCGCGTCTCCGGCAAGCCCGCGAACCGCGCGATACTAGCGGATCAGCGCGCGCGCGCGGAGCGCGCCCGCAAACGTGCGGAACGTGAGCGAGCAGCCCCCGCGACGTGGAGCAGTCTGCTGGGCAAGCTGTTCCTGCTTGCACTCTTCCTTCCGGCCCTCTCCCACTTCCTCACCGGCACGTACCACTTCGGGCTCGACGAAACGGTGCGGCCCTACGCCCGCAAGGTTTGGCGGCATCCAGCGAACCCATTCGCGTCGCCGGGCCGCGAGTTCACGCTGCTCCAGCTGGCGGCGTATGACGGCGCAGACGATCGCAAGCCCGTCTACCTCTCCATCGACGGGCGCGTGTACGATGTGTCGGCGAACCGGCGCATCTACGGGCGCGGCGGGTCGTACAACATGATGTGCGTGGAAGGGGAGAGCTCGCGACGGAGAGCTGACGGCAGGGCTGGGCGCGACGCCTCGCGCGCCTTCGTGACGGGATGCTTCGACACCCACCTCACGCACGACTTGCGCGGCCTGAGCGAAGCCGAGCTCAAGGTGAGAACCAGGCGGGCGGACTGACCCCAGGCGCTGCAAGGGTGGAAGGACTTTTTCGAGAACCATGCGCGCTACTGGCCCGTCGGGCATGTGATCTTGCCCCCGATCGACCCCAAGACGCCCATCCCTCCGCCGTGTCGCGAGCAGGCGGGCAACGCGCCTGGCGCGACGCATCGTGGGCGGCCGCGCCCTGATCCCGTCGTGAAGGCTGGCAAGTAGGCGGCTTTGGCACGGTGATGCATGTATACGTGGTTGGTGCGAGGCTGGAGTGGTAGTCGTGGGACTGATGGCATGAGAAGCGTGCATATCATGTCTCTCTGACCTCCTTACGACTCTGACCTAGTTACGGCTCCTGTTCTTCGCCTTGCGCTCTTTGCTCTTCCACAACGGTCTCCTCTCCGCTGACTCGACAGTCGACGCCGCAGTCGACGTCGTACCCGATCCGATCCCCAAGCCTGATTCGCTATCCCACCGCTCCGTGCCCGCGTGCGCGACGTCAGCGGTGCTGGCACTCGGGGGCGTAGCGGAGCTCTCCCTCGTCTCGGACCCCGGGCCCTGCGGTCTCGCGTGCACCTCAACCCACCGTGCAGCCTTTTCGCGCGTCGAGGCGGTACTAAGCGCGTCACTGCCCGACCGCCCGCTCCCGCGCGTGGCAAGCGAGGCCAACGACGCCTCCTTGGCCTGAGCCTTGGCGGTCGGGCTCTCGCCCCCGCGCACGCTCGCGAGCAGCCTGCGCTCGTTGGCCGCGCGCCGCGCCTCGTGCTCCTCGCGCCGCGCCTCCGTCGCGGACGGCGCGCACAGCCGCGCCCACGCCGTAATAATCTCCGCGCGCTCGCGCGCGCTCACGCCGCGCGCGGCCGCCGCGCTCGCCGCCTGCCGCGGGCCCGACAACACGCTGCGCTCGAGCAGCCCGGCGTTGCCGAGGCGCGTGCGCAGCCCGCGAAACGCGCCCGTCGCGGGATGCACGACGAGGCCGAGGCCGGCGCCCGCGAGGCGCGGGCCGAGGGACACGACTGGCGTCAGCGCGGATGTGGGGGCGCGCACCGCCATTGAATGCGCCTTTGACGAGGCCGTCGACGCCGCCGCGCACCGCGCCGCGATAGGGTTCGGTGACGAGGCCCGTGAGGCCGTCGTACAGCCCGAACGCGAGGCCTTTTGCGCCCTCTTGCACGCCCGCGGCGAGCGAGTCGACTTTGCCGCGCCGCCGCGCGTGTGCGCCCATCATGCCCGGCACGTTTTCCAGGCCTTCCTGCAGGGAGGAGACGACGTCAAAGGACGCTGGGTTAGCGCAGCGCGGGAGAAGCGTACCTTTTGGCACGCCCCATACGAGGCCGCCGAGGCCGCGCGCGGGGGCGTAGAACAGCTCGCCGGCACTCCCGACGCTCATCGCGCCGAGGTTCAGCACGCTCTGCCCGAAACTCGCGAACGGGTCCGTGTAGTGCCGCGACGAGTCGTAGTCGACCGCGCCTGGGTAAGTGGGAGGGGGAAGTGGGGAGAGAGGGGGAGGGAGGACTCACGATGCGGCACGAGGTCGCGCCACGCCAGTATGCGCTCGTCGACGAGCACGGCGGCCACGCGTCCGCTGAGACGCGTCTGCGTCGCCTCGCACCACCACAGCGCCGCCCGCGTCTCGTCGACATCACACCTATCGTCAGCGCGCCCGTGCGGCACTCACCGCATGTTCAAGAGTGGGAGGTGGGAGTGGAAGCTGCGCACGCCGTCTGCGACGCCGTCTTCGCGCCGTATCTGTGCGCCGATGCGGCGCGCGGCCGCGCGCGTCTCGGGCGCGAGCGCGACGCCCACCGCGGCCGCGAGCGCGTCGACCGTCAGCGCGGCGTACGGCACGGGCGCGGGGCCCGCGCCCGCATGGTGTACTGCGTTGCCCCAGAACCTTGCGTCAGAAATGCAGGCGGAGCCGCACCATTGGTCGCCGAAGAAGGGGACGACGATTGTCGGCGCGCCGAGCGCCAGGCCGGCCGCGGTCGTCCCCGCCCCGCCGTGGTGGCAGACGGCGGAGACGCGCGCGAAGAGCCAGTCGTGCGGCACGTTGCCGCGGATGACGTGCACGCCCGGCGGGAGGTTGTCGGCGCCGAGGTCCGCCCATCCGGCGCTGATTAGCGCGCGGATGCCGGTGCGCGCCACCGTGTTTAAGATGATGTCTGCGTCAGCGCCGCATGCGAGGGGCGTACTTGTCAGCTGGTCGGGTTTGTCGACAACCACCGAGCCGAAGCTGGCGTCAGCGGCGCCGCGCATCCGCTTACCCAAAGTACACGGGGGGCTCGCCGGCTGCGAGGAAGGCGGCGAGCGCGGCGTCGGGACTGTACTCCGTATCACTGTCCATGGTGTAGAAGCCCACGACGTCTGGTGTCAGCGCGAAGGGGTGGCACGCACCCATGTTCCTCTCCCAGTCCTTCGGTTTTGGGAGGAGGTGTTCGCTCCACGCGTACGTGTAGGGGATTTGGAGGCGCTGCAGCACCAGCGGGCCACTCGTGAGCGTCAGCGGGCGCAGGCCGAGCACCGCGTAGCGGAAGTGGTTGATGAGGTCGCCGAGGCCCTGCCACATCAGCGCGTCGGCGAGGAGGAAGGAGGCGTAGTTGTTCAAGCTGCGGTCCGAGGCGCTGTTGGCTGCGACGAGGGGGTGCGGGAACGCCGTGGTAGGCGTCCACGGCATGGCTGGGGTTAGCGTGGCGTGTGCAGGCAGGGGAGGCTCACTGAACGACATGAGGAGGGGGATGCCGAGGGCCTCGGCGACGTGGATGTGTGCGAACGCCGGCGGGTTGCTGATGATTGCGTCGGCGGCAAAGTCGTCGCCGCCCCGCGAAAAGCAGGAGAGGTAGCACCCCACAAGCATTTCCTTGACCATGCGCCGCTTGCGCGAGATGTCGCCGTTCGCGAGCGCGCTCAGGCCCGGCACGAGGCCGGGGTTGCGCACCATGTAGCTCATCAGCTCTTCGGGGCTGCCGCCGATATCGTAGTGGTCGAGGCAGGGCGTGTCGAGGCGCGCCGCGGCTTGTTGGACCAGCTCGGCGAAGACTGCGTGCGTCGCTATGCGCACACGGTGCCCGCGCGTGCGGATCAGCTCGAGTGCCAGCGCAAGGTAGGGCTGTACGTCGCCGCGCGAGCCGACGATGAAGATCACGATGTTGAGCGGCGGGCACTCGTCGGAACGTAGCGTGTCCAGGTCTAGCTCGCCGCCGTATTCGCTCGGGGGAACGGTGGGGACGGATGCGAGGTCGACATCCACGTCGATCCGGCCTTCAGAGTTCACGCGCGTCGCCCAGTGCATGTCTTCGGCGGGGTTGTAGGCTGGGTTAGAGTGGGTGGGTGGCGGGGACTTACGGACTTCGTCGTCGGCGGGGTCGGCGCACGCCGCATCGTAGCTTGGGGGCACAACGTCGTTGACACCGAGAGCCGGGACGCGGGCTGCAGGAGCGGGGGACTGGTAAGGGCCTTTGGATCTGTCCTTGTTCCCCTTGGAGTTGTCCATGGCGTCAGAGCTGGCCAAATCGTTCTTGTCGCGTAGTGACTCGTTGGTTGGCGCGGAAAGCTCGGCGGTGACGCCGGCGTCCATCGACGGGCGCGACTCCGCCGCCTCTGGGGGAACGAGAGAGGGGGCTTGGGGTGCGGTGGCGGGTGTAGAGGCGGTGGCGGGAGCGAGGGTCGCAGCGGAGGCGGCGGAGGAGGGGACCGGGACAGGTGTGGGAGCGCGATCGGTGTCGGCGCTCAGTGACAGTCCGGTGCTCTCGGAGCTGAGCGTCGAGGGTTTGTCTGTCCTCATAACAATCGGTGTAGTGGTAGTCAGTTGCGTCAGTAGCGTTGAGATAGACGAAGAAAGCGAGATCGCGAGACCGCGAGACGGAGTGCTCGTTACGGTCGTTCTTGTCAATCATAACGCGTCATGGATGTCGCGCTCATCATGTTGGAGCTGGCCGAAGCGCGGATGTACGAGGCAATCGCGGGCAGTTAAGGCACGAAACGAGTGGCGAACGACGTCAGTTGCCGCACGAGTCACGTGCATTTGTTCAGATGGCCGATCTTAGCTCGACATGTGGACCATCCCTAGTCCACGCCACCTCTCGACATGCTGTACATTCTACTACGACCTTAAGCATACAACGACACGGGTCTACTTGCGGCTGAACCGGATCACCATGACACTCAAGTTGTCCGTCGAGTAGTTGCCCAGCGCGTGTTCAAGCAGTTTCTTGGACGCCTCTTGTGGGTCCTCGACGCCGCGCACGAGGTCGACTGCGTCCTGGTCCTCACACACATCCCAGAGCTGGTGTCAATAGATGGTGCGCGCATGCTCAAGTGCCGACAACCCACTCACCCCGTCACAGGCAACGATCAGGAACTCGTCCTCGTCGTCGAGTACAGTCTCCGTCGTGTATGGAGAGCCGACGACAAACTCCTTCATCGACGCGTCGCCGAGGGAGCGCGTCACGGCCAAAACACCGTTGACGCGGTTGTTCATGACAAAGCCACCAGCGTCCGTAATGCGCTTGGCTTCTTGGCTGTCGCTGCCCTTGTGGTCGTACGTCAATCGGACGGCCTGGCCTCCGCGGCTGATTGTCAGCACAGCGACAAGGAAGGATTACTCACGAGATGACTGCGCGGGCATCTCCGACGTTTGCGAGATAAAGCACGCGACGCACGCCCGTCTCGCTCTTCGGGTCCATCGTCTCCACACCACGGCCCGAGTCGGAGCCATCATCGTCATCAACGGCCGAGTCATCCGCCTTATTGCTCCCAGTGAGGCCGCGCACAAAGTCGCGGATGCGACGCCCAGACATTTTCCTGCGCAAGCTCTGCTCGTGGGATGGCGATGCGGCACCGCCAATACCACCCGACGACCCTGCGCCCATGGACCCACGGCGCGATGGCACGTCACCACTCGTCTCTGCTTCCAACTCGTCCTCGCCACGGCCTTGCATCAACCCACGAGCCGAAAGGGATTGGTTGAGAAACCCCTTGCGTCCCTGCGGTGTCTGATGCTCCATGCGGAGGAAGGCCACGACGGCAGTACAGCCCGAGTGGGTCCTGCTGCGGTACGCGAGGTGAGAGAGGCGGCTGTCGACGACAAGGAACGTCTTGTTGAGCAGCTCGGGAATGGGCTCGTCGGGATATGTCAGGAGGGCGTCTAGCAGATACTCGTGAAAGTTCTGGCCGCACCACTCCGCAGCGTGCTTGCCTGCATGACCGCTGGGCGTCAGCTAAAATTGTGTGTTGCGGCACTCACTCAAACACGGCAAAGTAGCCCTGTCCCCTGATACCAGCGTAGTCATAGACAAAGCTGTGGGCGTCTTCCATAGTGCGGCGGCATCGCTTGTTGCGGTCCTCGCTCACACCGACGCGGAACGTGGGTAGCTTGACAGCGACTTGTTCTTCGGTGGACGTGGGGGTGCTGCCCTTGACAGCGGGGTGGCGATTGAGAACCTGGGATCGTTAGAGGGGGGGGGGGGCTTCTGAAACGGGAGACGACTCGCGCGCGCAAGGGGCCGAGAAGGATGGCACGGAGGGAAGGGCGACAACTTACACCATAGGTCTCCGGCCCATCAGCCACAGTCACGCTCTTGGAGCGCGCATTTGGGCTGTCTATAAGCATGCCTGGACGAGCTTTGAACTCGGGGAGTGGCGAGTCATCCGAAGCAATGGATGACGGGGTGGTAACCGTCTGTGGCGGGGATGCGACAGCACTGATTGTCGGTGGGTGCGTTGGTTTCCGAGGAGGTGAGGTGCGCATGTTGTAAGGGGAGTCAAAATGACGAGCGGAGCAGCATGAGGCGATGAAAGGCCATCGTGGCATTCAGGCGGAGAGGGGGAAACAAAGACGCGTAAGATGAAGTTTGAGGGGGTCAAAGGCCGGTGTCAGCGATGTGAACGGCGACGAGATGATGATGATGATGATGATGAAGTCGATGAAAAGAAGGCGACGCGTAAAGGACAGTGATGATGATCGTGGTAACCACGCTGCCAAGCCCGTAGGCAGAGAGGGAAGGAGGGGGCACGCAGAAGGCGGAGGGGCTGATCGAGGTGGTCCGTGCTGCCATTTGTGCCATGCTGCAAAGAGTCACAGCAATGCAAGTCGTCGGCCCGCGATCATGGGAGCTGCAAGGCCGAGAGTGACGCAGCCCGATGGCCGACGGCGGAGGGCCGAGGAGGCTCAGAGCACGGGGAAACGGGGGGAACCGAGATTAGATCCCCACATATACCATGCTCGTCTCGTCACATGCACAGAGTGCTTGACCACTTGTCTCGGTGGATTAAACTTACGAGCTAGCCATAGCTGGCGACGAAAGGGCTGCGATGTGTAAGCATTAGAACATGGGTTGAGGGGGAGCAATCATGACGGTGAATTGTCGAGGGCGAACGAAACACAAAGACGTCGACATGACAGCCGGCCCCACAGACGTGGAATGCGGAGAGTGGGCTGAGACGGATGAGACGGCCGATATGGATGAAAGCCAAGTGACAAATGGCGTATGTGAGGCGCAAAATGCAATGCGCGAGATAGCAGATGACACGCGCGGCTGGCATGGCCATGACTTTGCTTGGACGGAAGACATTGATGAGGAGCGCGACTTACTCTGAGGGGATGTGTTGAGTTGAGAGAGGGTGGGATGGTCTGGATGGGCTCTGGCGAGGGAGCTCTGATCGGACATGGCTTGGGCACCACGGGGTAGGGACGGTGTCGGAGATGGGCTATGTGGGCCGCCCGGTGATCGAATGAGCCAGTGAGCTGTGAGCTAGTTGAGGGTGGAGAGGGTTGAGGGGTGGAGGCGGTGAGGGATGGGCAGAGAGGGTCGTGCACGGGCCCGAGTGGCGGTTTCGAGTTGTGAGAGGCGATGGGGGGACGAGGGGCCGAGGCGACGAGGGGCCGAGGGGCCGACGGAGGGATGCAGTGAGGAGAGGTGGATATGGGTTTGAAGCGAGAATGAGGTGAGGCGGGGGCGGGGGCGGGGGCGGGGGCGAGGGCGAGGGCGACTGCTGGGAGTGGACTGTGTGGGATGAGAGCGTAGGGGAATGCGGTAGGGAGGATAGAGAGATGATTGAGAGATAGCTGTGAGAGATGACTGAGATGATGGAGATGGAGGAGGAGGAGTTGGATGGATGGATGGATGGATGGAGATGGATAGAGTAGTCTTGTCCGACGCGAGGAACGGGATTGGGGGTCGACGGTGGTGACTGCTTGGAGGGTGAATAATACACAATAGGGCCCTATTTCAAAAGGGGAGCAGTACTAATGCTGGGGAGTGAAATGTGGTTGGTTGGTTGATGCAACTACTCAGGGGGGCGATTGTCCCGGGTGGAGGCAGGCCTCATCAATGACGCGTATGCTCCGATCTTATGAATTGTTCTGCATGGTCTGGTGCATGGTGAGTTACGTGGCTCTGAGCTCTACAAAAATGCACGAGCTCTCTGGGAGCTGGGAGAGTAGCAGTGTGCAAGTACAGGCAGGTGTCACAATGCCAATTGTCAAGTGCTGCAATAGTCGTGAGGAGGAGGATTGGAGTCACGATGGTGGAAGCAAAGGATGATGCAGCACGAGGGCGCGCGCAGGGGTTGTCGCGGATCATCAACGTCATCCCCCTTGGTGTCGCCATGTGGAACGGAGTATGTGTGGGTCTCCGATATCCGCAATGAGGGGACCTCGCGTGATCTGGTGATCACGTGATGGATGAGTCACCTCTCATCATCTTGATGAGGCGCGTCGCGTGCCGGCATCACGCGGACACAGGGTTCGCTTCACGTGACGCGACTGACAGCAACTGTCGTCTGATGCGACAGTAGAGTAGTATGACAGAGGCAAAAATGGATGCGAAGATTTGTAAGTGAGGATGAAACGGTAGCTGATTAGGTGAGAAAGGGGGTTGGAGCGGTGGAGTGATTTGCGCCAGCGTCATGGAGTCAGTATGGAGATGGAGATGGAAATGGAGATGGAGATGGAGATGGAGATGGAGATGGAGAGATATGGAGTGTGGAGTGTGGAGCGTGCAACCCCCCCTCAAAGTGATTTCAAAAGATGAATGATGAGCCTGAGGTTGAGAGGAGAGAGAATGAGGGCGGAGATGAGGATGAAGAGGATGAAGATGGTGAATTGAGAATAGGGAGAGGGAGAGTGGATGAAATGCGGAGAGAAGGGACCCATGTTTCAGGATGAGCAAGCGAATGATAAGTCCGAGTCATGTTGATTCAACGGATGGAACGAATCAACGTCATCTCGATTCTGCCTCGTTGCTTCTTTGAATTCCTCGCCGCGGCCGAGTTGACGCCGCAGTCAGTCCTCCATCTCTCGTCTACTGCACAGTACATCGCTACTGCGCTCCCTCGCTACTGCCCATCTCCTCATCCCCATCTCCCATCTCCCACCACAAGCTCACCATACCCCACGCCCCATTCCCAGCCCCGTTCCAAGCCCCGTTCCCAGCCCCTCGGCGCTTCTCCCCATACAATTCTCTATGAAGAATGTTCTCACGTCGTCCTGGGGCGTTCGGTTGCACAGTACTGTGCAACGGCGCATGTGATGGGCGCATCCCGCATCCTGCATGTGATGCCGCGGGAGACCGGAGGGCGTTGCATAGCTTCTACCAGGTGTGTGGCTGCAATGACAGGGCGATGCCGCGCCGCCACCGAGCTTGAATGCCCGTTTCCGCGCGCGCGCGCAGCGCGACGTTGAAGAGCAAAAGAAAAGGACGAGCGACCGACGACGAGACGAGGCGTCGGACGATGAACAACCAGAATAAGACGCTGAGGGCATACGGGGTCAGTGCAACAGGGAATATCCAGGGAACTCAGGGCTTCAGACGGATACGTACCAGACCCAGGGTTTGATGGGAACAAGTCTGCGTCTCCTTTTCCCATCCGACGGTCCCTATGACTGCATGCCACACACCGCCCTGGACCCCTTCCCTGATTGGCCCTTGGGCGCGTGGACTGAAGGTTGTCAGTCTCATGTGTCAGAGATGGGTGTTCAGGGATGTCAGGCACAGGCACTACTATACCCTCCCTCGTACTCCACTCTCCGTAGTCGCCTTTGACCTTCCTCCACTCGACTCTTAGATCTCTGTCCGTGCTCATGGCGTCGGGCGTTGAAGCCATCTCTCGATCCTCTTTTACTCAACTCGTCCTCGTCCTCATCCTCATCCTCGCCCTCATCGTCTCTCGCTTTCTCTTTCTCTCCTCATCATCAACTCGACGCCATCTTCATTACCTCGAGCCACCTCCATCGCCACCACCTCCCATCTCTCCCTCACTCCCTCCCTCGACGCCAAATCTGCGCCTCACTCGTGCCAGTCACTTATCAGCCCGCGCCATATAGCCCCACCCCTCCCCTTGCAATGTCGCTCTTCGAGCCCCGTGCCCCAACAAGTCCAGTCACTCCGCCCACAATGTCCCCCGCCCTCGTCGCCGGAACACTCCCCACCCCGCCCTCTTCAATACAAAAGTATCGCGACGCCCTTCGCCGCGACCTCAAGGCGCGGTACGAGGCAGCCGCCCGCGCAGGCCTTAACGCCCGCGTCCCCGCCGACGCAAAGCACGACCCAGACTACGGATACGACGAGAACCCCTTCGACACGCGCGCCCGCCTTCTGCACTCTTTCGACCCGCTCTCCCCCGCCAGCCCGCCCCTGCCCCGCTCCGTCTCGTCGTCTTCCTCGTCCTTGTCCGAAGAACCCGAACCCGAACCCCAACCCGAGCCCATCGCGCTCAACTCGCCCGCGCCCTCGATCCCGCGCCGCCGCTGGTCGGCTGCCCCCGACGCCGTCGGCCTCGCTTCAGCAGCCATGAGCCGATCCTCCTCCCTCTCTCTGTGCGACACGCCCGGCTCTGAAATGTCTTTTGAAGTCGGCCGCACAGCAGACTACGTGGGCCTGTACGGCCGCCCCTCTCTCCGCTTCAGCACAGCAGGCATTTCGCCTGCACGTACACCGCCGCCGCCACCCGTCGTTTCCACAACATCCTCGCACGCCGTCTTCAACCCCTCTCCTCTCGGCGCGTTCAACTCTCCTCTCGGCACGTTTGGGACGTGCGGCCCCTCCCCTCTCGGCACCTTCGGCACGTGCACTGCAACTGCAACACCACCAAAGGACCGCCGCTCGCTCCTTGGCGCTACGCCGCTCAAGCCGCTCAAGCCACTTGCGCAGCTTGCGCACACCCCGTCCCCGCAGCCGCGGCGCGGCCGCAGATCTCGCGCACCCGACGCGTGGGCAGACGTTGTCCTCACCCGCTCCGAGAGCGAGACCATGCTCCTCGCCGCGGCGGGGTATGCGTCGCAGCGCTGTCGCGGGGCGATAGCGCGGTAGCGTGAGCGCCAAGCCATCCGCCGGTCGGTTGGCTTAGCCTTGACTGTCTCGCGCTCCCGTTCCCCCATCTATCGTCGACTGTTTCTGCCACCATGCCTTCCTTGCACTACGTGCCACTTGCTGCCCGCCTACTCGTATTCGCCTCTGTTTGTTGTACCATGCATCATCTGACCGAGCCGGCTTATGTTGCTCATGTGCTCATGTCGCACTCAACCGACGCGTCGGCGGGCGTGCCTGCCCGCCATTATGCCCACTACGGGCCTGCATGGCCTGCCTCTACATTGCCTGACCTCTACAGTATTACTCTGTGTGAAGCGTTGGATGGACCAGTCGTGCCTACGTCGGGCCCATTCAGCTGGCCTCCATCCGTTCCAGGCTCTGCTAAACGGTCCAGATGTCATGAAACCCGTCAATTCCGGAATGTGGGCTCCATTAAGCTCCAACTGAAGCGGAGAGCCAGACCCGACTCTGGCTGGACGAGCGCGGCGCGACGTACGCGATTGCCAGTAGAAGGAGCGCCGGTCTGCCTGTATGAAGCGACGTCCGTACACTGCGACTGTAGGCCCTATGCATTCATGTCTTCACATCACCTCCGCCGCTACGCCGCCGCACGCGCACGCAACACGTCGCGCACCGCATCCGACATGACCCCCTTCTGGAGCTTGTCAAAGTCGTAGATCGTGCATGTGCTGCTGTTAGCTTGCCGAGGGATACGCACGATTCGCAGGTGAGCGCCAGCCGATTCGCTTTGAGCGACCACATCGCGCAGTGGATCTTGAACTGCGCGCGGTCGGGGTCGATCGAGTGCGGCTTGCTTGCGATTATGAGCTGGGTGAGCGGCGAGCGAGCGGCGGGAGGCAGGATAGCAGAGGAGGCGACACTCACCGAGTCTGGGTACGTCACGGGATAGCGGTATCGCACCGCCTGCTCTTTGAGGATGAAGCCGGTGCGGCGCCCGTACTGCCGTCAGAGCCGCTGATACTTCGCGCACCAAGTAGTCTTCGCCGACCTCGCCGAGGTCCGGCACCAGCGACTCGATCCACTTCATACGCGCCGACTCGACGTAGCGGCAATACGAAACGTTGTTGATGTGTCTGAGTGAGCACGTTCTCTTTTCTCCTCCCCCTCCTCCCCCTCCTCCCCCTGCCTCCCCTCTCCAGCCCTCCCACCACTTCCCCTACACACACTCACCGGTACATATCACTGTCGCCCCACGCAACCGGCCACTCTACCCGCCCCTCGGCATCGAACCCGTTCGAGTCGAACCACTCATGCACCGTCGCGCGCACGCGGTCATACCCCCCATCCATGTGCGGCAGCTTCGGCGCCCGGTCCCGCGTCCTGAATGGCGGGGGCACCCACGCCACATCCTGCCCCGCCAGCGGGCGCGACACGCTGTGGTCCTCCGGCGACGCCGGCCCCACCTCCCCCGGCGCGAGGTAGTATGGCGACCCCGGGTTCTTGAATTTCGCGAGGAGGTCGTTGATCCGGAACTCGTCCGAGTGCGTGCGTGCCGACGCGTGCAGCGCGCGCTGGGTGAGGGGGAAGGAGACCGCGAGGCGGAGGGGGAGGGCGCGGAGCGGGCGCAGCCACATTTCGTAAGGTCGGAGTATGGAAATGGGGCGATGAAGACGAACGAGGTGACTGACCGCTAATCAGCCGAGCCGAGCACTGGTTTCCCACGGTAGACCTGTATTTGGTTCCTTCCGGGACAAGCCATCGACGCCACCCGCACCACTCTCCAACGCTCCATCTTCCTCTCCCTCTCGTTCCCGAGCAGCAGGGAGATGAGGGCTTTACTGCTACTCCTTGGCCTCGCAGCGGCGCCCCACAAACCCCGCCGCGAGCGCGACCTCCCCGGCACCTTTGTGCGTTTCGCCGACCTCGAGCAATGTCCGCGCCTCGTGCCCCGCGCCACCCCGGCGCGTGTCGACGATGTGTGAGTGTGCAGGCGACCCTCTGCGTGATGTTTGAGCTCAAAACAGCCGCCCAGACGACTTCTCCGTCGTCATGGCCCTCGGCGACTCGATCAGCGCGGCGCTGCTCGCCCGCGGGGGGTGGGAGCCGCAGGCGCGCGAAGAGCCCCAAGATCACTCCACACACTCACTCTCACAAGAAGCCCAGAAAGCATTTGAGCACCCACCCGCTTCCACAGCCCTCGCACCCGCCCCGGGCGTACCCGAAATTCTCGAGTGGCGCGGGCTCTCGTACGCCGCGGGTGGGGACCGCGGCGCTCTCACCCTCCCCAACCTGCTCTCGCACTACACCCGCGTCGTCGGTATGAGCTACGGGCGCCATCCGGCGATCTGCGTCGGCGGTGAGAGCGACGACTGCCACCCTCCTAGTGACGGGCTGAACGGCGCCGTGAGCGGGAGTATCGCCACTAGCCTCCTTGGCCAGGCGCAAGGTGAGCGCCATCACGTCCACGCTTACCCAGAACTGATGCCGCGGTACAAGGCGCTCAGCACCAGCTCTCGGAAGGGCTGGACGTATGTCAACCTCGCCATCGGGGCGAATGATATCGTGAGTGACTCATGGCAACGCCACTGATAGCAGTGCGCCTTCTGTCTCTCTTGTGAGCTCGGCGCCACTCACGAGCTCATGCAGCCAACCTTCCATTAGGCCCCGGCACACCCGACGAGTTCGCGGAAGGCATCTCCGCCGCCGTCGAGGTCCTGCGGCAGCATATCCGTGGGCACTCCATCTTCTCAGCTGACGCCAGCCCGCTTGATCGTCAACATCGGTGCGCGACCCAACGCCCGAGCTCACGCCAGTCGGCCTCTTCCGCGTCAGCGCAGTGTACAAGCTCACGCTCCACGACCCTTACTGGTGAGGCTGAGGCGCGACTCGCTCCCGCTCACTACAGCCAAGGGCCGTACCACCCGCCCATCCCCCACCTGCCCTTGGAGTGCTCGTGCGCGACCCTCCCCGGCCCGGTCGGCGACTACTCCCGCCACCGGATGGACGAGCTGGGCGCCGCGTACGATGCCGCCGTACGTGACCTCGTGCGCCGGTGGGACGCCGAGCGCAACAGCTCATTCGCGGCGATCTGGTGATTACACGAGGGGTAATTCTGACATTCAGGCAGCCCGGCACCGCGCTCGACCTCGAGCACTACCCTATCGAAGCCGTGTCGCCCATCGACTGCTTCCACCCCTCGGAGGACGCGCACCAGCGGCTCGCGGCAGGCATATGGAACCGCCTCGTTCTTCCCCAGGTGGGCCTGTCTCTCGCTCAGCTAACAACAGGCATACAAATCCTTCCCCTTCGCCTGGGAAGACGACGTGTGGGTGCGATGCTTGGAGGCAGACGATCGCGTGCAAGTACGGCAGGCGTTGTAAACATGTGTACCTCAAGTCGTTGCGGTTGGTCAGCATGCATACAATCAATACAACCCCACAAACACAAACTACACAAACGACGTGTCGAGCCCCTCGGCAAAGTCGACGATCGCGATCTTGGCATCGATGCCCGAGCTCACGACGCGCGTGTGGTCGCCTGTGATGGCGAACACGCTGCCTTTATGGCACCCCGAAAAGTCGAAAATAAGCCGCCCCGTCGCGCGCTCCCACATCTTGATCGTCTTGTCGTAGCTCGCGGACAGCGTCACGTGGTCGCCGAGGTAGAGCGAGCGCACGAGCTCCGTGTGCCCGCGATTGAAGCAGCGCATGCACCCGCTCGGGCTCGGGCGCGTGGGCACCGGACACACGCATACGGCATGGTACGCGACGCCCGGCTGGATGGCGTAGCGCACGCGCGGCTCGTCGGCGTCGAGGTCGAGCATGTCGCGGAACGTGACTTCGTCGAGCTCGGCGCTCGGCGGGAGCTGGACGACGTGGAACGTCTTGATGGACGCGTCCGACGACCCCGTGACCAGCGTCGCGCGCAGCGTCGAGCCGGGCACCTCGGGCGTCCAGCCCGCGAGGCGGGACGCGTGCGGCTCAAACGCCATCGACGTGATGCCGCGCACGTGCGCGTCCAGGCTCGCGCGCAGCCGCCCGTCATGTATGTCCCAGACTTTGATCGTGCGGTCGCCCGACGCGGACACGCTGGCGTCAGTTTCGCGAGGCTTAGAGGCTTACATGAACTCCTTGGTGATGTCCACCGCGTTGATCGCGCCGCGGTGCCCGTCCGACGAGTCTTCGATCACCACCAGCTCCTCGAGCGTCCGGATGTCGAAGACACGGATCGTCCGGTCTGGCGTCAGTGTGCACGCCGCAAAACTTGCCTTTTGAGCAGCTGACGATCCGCTCGCTGTCGCCCCGCAGGAAGAAGACCGAGTCTGTGTGCGCTTGCACCACCTTCTCCGGCGAGCCGTCCCCGTTCTCGATGTCCCACAGGCAGATCTTGCCGTCCCCGCCGCCGCTGATTGCCACAAGGCGGGTTTTGGCTGCGCGCGGAGACGGCGATTTTGGCGGCGAGCGGGCGCCCGAGTACGATCCCAACGGAGACCGGCTCGACGCGTCCTCCACAGGTATTTCAGCAACAAAGTGGGTCAGGATCGAGCCCGCGTGTCCGCCCGCAAACACTTTCACCACTCGCGGAGTGGGCGATAGCTGCCACAGGCGCATGGTCTTGTCGCGGGACGCGGAGAGAAGCCAGTCGCGCCCGCTGATGGAAAAGGACGAGGGCGTCGACGCCCGCGCGGGACTGCCCGACAGCCCCGAGCGGCTAGATGACACGGTCGTGCCAAAGATGTCGCTCGAGACGGGCGCGAGGAGACTGTACAGCGCGTCGTCGACCTCGCCTATGCGGCACGAGATGTTCATGTGGTGCTTGATCAGGTGCAGGGAGTAGATGCTCTCTGTGTGCCCCGGCAAGCCGCCGTGCTCCTGCGACGAGGTTGGATTGATGATTGTGACGCGCGGATTCCATGATGAGGCTGTGCGGCGGCCGTTGGCCTCCAAGTCTGCTGGGCGGAGGTACGTCATGCGCCGGTTGAGCGTGCGCCGCACGAGGTAGAGATGCTTGTAGCTTACGCGGGGAAACACGGTCGGGAGGCCGAGGTGGGAGGGTATTACCACGTCTGGCGAGTTCTCGGCCTGTGGTGGAGCGGCGGGCGCCGAGAAGGCAACTGCGCGCTGATACGTCGGTAGTCCGCTAGAGCGTTCCCACACGGTGCGGCGGACGGCGCCCGGCGACGGCGACATGGACATGATGTGCGAGTCGTCGTCGTCAGCGTACTCAAAGCTCTCGTCGCCATACGCGCGCGACGTGTTCGGGCTCACGGCGCGCTGCACCAGCTGGCGGTGCAGCTCGAGATCGTTCCATGTTGTGTGCCGCGGGACGATCTGCGGCGTGTGGCGCTGACACAAGATCTTCCAGATGGCTGGGGTCAGCTGTGCACGCAAGGGGACCGACATTGATCGTCGCACAGCTTGGCCCATTCCCGTGAAACGGCTTTGCAGCGCAAGAGGTCGTCGGCGGAGAGCAGCGACAGGATGCGCGTGCTGATCTCGGGCGGGAGAAGCTGCGGTCAGCCTACCTCCGACGCCGACGCCGAAGACACCACCCACCCCGACAATGTCTTTCTGCATCCTGTCCGAAATGCGGGCGTAGATGTGGAGCATCTCTGCGCGTCAGCCCGCCCCGCAGCTCACGCACCATCGCGTGGGAGTGACCACAGCATCTCGCACATGAGGTCTGGAGTCAGCGTGGGGTGACACACGCCTCCCACCCCTCCGATCCTCTGGCGACAGAGCGAGAAGCTCTCTCCGTAGTTCCGGTATCGTCATGTTGAGTAGTTGGTGATGCGAGATGCAAGTCTCGCGAGCTCGATGTGAACTCTTTGTCCGAAGAGCATAAACGCATTCCGGATCAGCGGTTCGAACGCGTGAGCATTCGCCACCCAGCCTCCGCAGCCACGTGGTGGTGCCTCACCCGACCCGGGGCTAACCCCGAAATGCCGGGTGCGAGTCAAGGACAGCGTTTAGCCAACGCGATTGCTCTCCCCTCGATACAAGCCCATCACCATCAGTTCACCCTCCCTCATCCTCATTCTTCTTCTTCTCTCCTCCGTCCGCGTCAATTCACCTCGACCAGAGGCCCTGCTGTGCTAGGACGACGCTCCTAGTCTCGCGATTCTGGTGAGTGTCCTCTCCTCTACTTCAAAAGGATTACGAACAAGAATCGCTACTCGCGACGCCGAAAGGCGCAAGACGACTCAATTCTCTATACCCAAATTTATGATGCTTTCCCTTCTCCTCTGCGTAGCGAGCAGACGCTGACTTTTCCAGCTCCCCGCGTGTGGCGCAGACTCGACAAGGCCTCAGTTGGAAGCTGTGACGATGTAAGTGCTGTTTCCCCCAGCCCAGCGCGACCTCTTCCCCTCCCGCTCTTTCATGATTAGTCCATTAAATTTTGACAAGCATATGTAGGATTCTCTTCGGAGAGCCTGACTACATCTTATGCGTATGATCCTCCCCATTGCAGCCTTGCTCTTCGTGGACAAGACGCTGACAGCCAGCTCACTATTCCAATGACCCCTCCCTCATAAGCGGCGTAAGAACACCACCACCCTCAGTCTCGGTGAGTACCAGTTCCTCTGTCTCTCAACATGATGTCACAACTGTGAACAATATCTGCATGCCTCCGGGCGGTGACGACAAAACCATCAACGCTTAAAACCTTCTGAACCCCTCTCTTGACTTCTTGGCATCTGAGATCAGAGAGCTGACCCCAGTTCCATCATGCCTCCCGGATATCCCCGCCACCCCTCTCAGTCCGCCGCTCACTTGGGCCGGCGTGTCAATCCTCAGGACCTCGCGGTTCTCCCTTCGCACGATCTTCCCTCTTATTATGATCCACCATCACCGTCGTCTACATCCTCTTCCTCGCGGGATGACGTGTACGGTACATTCGTGAGCAACCAGGGCAACAAGCTCGAACCCAACGCGCGCTGGCAGCGTGTGGGCAAGATGTGCTCCTGGGGTCCTACCTTCGAGGAGACGCAACGTGACCGGCGCTCTCGTAAGAGGATTCGCCTCTGTCTCGAACAACTCTTGCCCGAGTCCGCGGCTGAGGTCGGAGAGCCAGCCCCGCAGAACATCATCGACGCCGAGGAAGGACGCCGCGAACGCAAGAAGCAGAAGCAGGAGGATGAGCAATACCTTCTCCCACATCTCAGGAGCCCGTCTCCACCACTTTCCACGGAAGATCTCGCACCCATACTTGCTCTCCCTAGGAGTTACCTCGACATTGTGACCAGCCCCGCCTTCCGCTACTCTCTGGGCGATGACACGATGGAACGGGGACTGCAGCAGACGGCCGCCGACTTGCTCGAGGGCGAGAAGGGCCTGATGCAGGCCTTGGGGCGCCTGCGCGAGGTGCTGCGTCTGCGTGAGCGTGATGTGTCGTCCTTTAGGCCAGCGATGAACGGCGAGGCTTCGGGAAGCCGGGAGGAAGCACACGGCACCGTTGCGAACGGATCCAATGGCCCTAGCAACCAAGAACGCATTCCACCTCTCCCGCATGTATCGGAGACCGACAACCTCTGGAGAGTTACCCAGGAACTCCTGAATGCGCAGCCGCCCCCCGAGATCTCTTTCACTCGCACCAAGCCCGGGACGGCCGTCGAGGCCCCACCCCCCACCTCACCCACGGTCAAGGCGCAGCCGAAGCTCACGCCCATCCACCGCCTGTTCACCTGCCCGGACGGAATGACTCTCGAGGCCAACCCCATCGCCGACGATCCGCGCTGGGCGATGGGCCCCAACCACTACGCCCAGCGCCAGATCAAGTACAATCTTGACCTGCCCACGCAGCAGCACGCTGTGGATGAAGCACTGGAGCGCATTTGGGAGCTGCTCGCCGACTGTAACGAGTACAAGGAGCGCCTCGAGGAGGCGCGCGAGCGTGTTTCGGACGTGGCTCGCGTCCGCAAGGCCGTGTGGAAGGTCATCAAGCGCCGCGCAGGGCGGGAGCTCGACCGCATGGAGAAGAATTTGTAGTAGTTGTCATATTTAACGTTGTCAGTGTTCCGCCATGTATCGAGATTGTGTTTTCAATGTGCGCCGTTGGGCTTCAGTCGTGTTTTCACGCCTTGCCCATTGTCCCTACGATCAATCTTGAAGTTGAAGACAGTTCGCCGCCAGCCAGCATCACCAACCCGATTACATGCGAAGCTCACATTGAGCTTCTTGCTCCCAGCTCCAACTATCATATCTTTAACTCATCTGCCCTCGGCTGTGGCCTACTTCGCTAGCGTAACAACAGTGTTATCGGGCTTATTCTCGATCTGGAGGTCTGCAGGCGCCTTCTCGAGGTCGACATTACCGCGGTGGACGTGGAGGGCGTCCTCGTCGAGGTCGCCGAAGACCACGCCGATCTGCTCGAGTGTGCGGCCCTTCGTCTCTGGAAACGTGAAGTACGCCACGACGAGGAGGTAGCAGCACATGAAGATATAGACGAAGTAGTATTTCCAGGAGATTTTGGACATCTGAGGTCAGCTGTGCTTCGAGTTGACCTCGCAATGGTGTCTACCTGGGGACAAGTGGAGAAACCCTCAAAAACTCACCGCAATCGGATTGACGAAGGTGTTGATGCAGAGCGCACCGTATGTCGAGACAGTGGAAAGCCCAATACCCTTGGCGCGGATGCCGAAGGGCAGGATCTCGGTGGTGTATGGGGTGCCGAGGGGCATCCATCCGATGTCGAAGCCGCAGTAGAAAAGGAAAATGAAAGCGACTGTTGCGCTGCCGATAGCGGGGTTGGGGGACTTCTGGAAGGACGCGCTAAGGCCGGTGATGGCGCTCAAGCAAACGAGCATGGTAAGAGTCGACGAGATCCACATGGGACGGCGGCCGGCGCGGTCGACGACATACGTGGCGGCCGTGTTCATGCCGAGATTCATGACACCCATGCCGATGATCAGCACCGACTGCTGGCGGGAGTCGGTGATGCCCACGACCTTGAGCATCGGCACGAGGTAGTACGCAATGATTCCGATTCCATTGAGCTGTGCGCCTGCGGCGGAGTGCACGACAATCCACGTGCGCCAGCGATTCGCCTTTGTGCGCCACAGCGCACTCCACCCTTCGGTGTTGGAGCGCTCAAGCTCGATAGCGTTGGCAACCTCGTCCATCTCCATCGTCACGAGGGGATCGTCCATCTTGCCGTTGGCGTGGAGGTTGGCGAGGATCTTGCGGGCCTCGTCCTCGCGGCCCTGCGCAACGAGCCAACGCGGCGACTGAGGAATCCAGATGGCCAGCGGGAGACAGAGGATGGGGAGCACCGACTGCGTGAGGAAGGGGATGCGCCACGACCACTCGCTGTTCCCGATGTGGGTGATGCAAGCGTACGCAACCGACGAGCACAGAATGTTGCCGATGTAGTACATCGACAGCTGAAGCGACATAGCTTGGGCACGGAAACGAGGGTGCGAGAGTTCGGCGCACATCGCGAGGCCGGAGACAGCGCCAACAGAACTGAAGCAGCCCATGAGGAAGCGGCCGGCGATCAACTGGCCCAGGTTCTTGGACGTCGCTTGGATGATGGGCGTGAGCATGGCGCCGAGGATCGCGATGATGAGCGGGATTTTGCGGCCGACTTTGTCAGCGAGCCAGGCGCCTAGAAAGGGCAGGAACAGGCCGGGGAGGTACATGACTGCCGTGGTGAGGCCGAGGAGCGTCGAGTTGTTCTTGAGGCTCGGGAACTGAAGGTAGAACTGGGGTACGGCCTGCGCACTGTTCAGCATGCCTGAGTCGTAACCTTTCACGCCGTACATGAGGGCGGAGAGGGACACCCAGAGCGCATTGCGGCGCAGCGCGGGATCCTTCCACCACGTCGGGTGGGTGTTGTTCTCGACTCCGTTGTAGTACGAGACCGGCATAGCGAGCGAGGGTGGGGGTTTTGCTAATATCTCGCCAGACTTTTAAGCGTCAGTGGCTTGATGGTGTTCATTCGCTGAGGCGTCGCACTTTCGGCACAGTCAGTTGCAGCGGGGCGGGGTGTCGTCCCTGCTCAGCTCTCCATCTCGTCACGCGTCTCCAACTCCCCCACCCGATCGTCTCGGTTTTCGGACAGCGCCGATGCAAAGTCATTAGTGAAAGGCGTCAGTCAGAGCTGTGAATGGGAAGGATTTGCCAGAATTCTGGCGTGTTCACAAAGACTTGCTCACGAGGACTGTCGGATGGATGTTGCACATCGTCAGACGAATAAACGGGAATTGAAGTTGCGGGGCGTACGAACGAGGGTGTATTTGCGGCCGCGGAGACCCCTGCCGAGCCCCAGCTGAGCCCCCATGACCTCCGCGAGGCGGCGTGCCGTAGATGCCGCGGGTGGGGCGAGCTTCGCTGCGGCATCAGCACATGGCTTGACGGACTGTGTTCATTGCGAGCAGGCACGCCAAACGCCAGGTGACCGCCACTCCCCCACTTTGGGCGCCTCGCGCGAGTGATCGGTCTCTGCGCCGACGCACGGAGCAAAGTCGTACCGATTGCATTGGCTCTCGGCGAAGCTTGGAGGCACGGGGTAGTCAGTTTAGCAATGAGTAGTGCGGATGTGGAAATGCCGCCGGAACATCAGAGCGCACGTTCAGAGCTGTGCCTGGCGACGGATGCTGTTGAACGGTTGAACCGATAGCAGCCGATATACGACGATACGACATGCCGAAGTGATCCGCCAAGCCCACATGTCCGCTCAACTCGGCGCGTGCTAGCATTGCTGAGTCAAGCGGGTGTGACCGAGAGCAGTCAGGTCGAGGTTAGCGAGGAATGCATGCGCCGATTCCCAACTTCCGGATCCTGAGGCTAGAACGCGAAGCTGGCGATATTGCAACTATAGTGAATGGCTAGCGAGACTGATGATGCCTGAATGCTCCATCCATGCACTTCTCGGCGGAGGTCTTCTCCGCGTTCGCAAAGGAGTAACGGTACGAGTAACTGCGATTTGGTTTGCGATGCAGATTGTCAATGGAAGTCTGACGAGGCGGAGATGTCCGTGACGAATGGTCACGGTTATCCTGCAGTGGGGTAGGGGAACCATCCCAACGTGACGTGAGTGACGCACCTGGTAATCCCAACTGCCAGGTCCCTCTATATTGCTCGCACTTCGCGAGTCTGCTCACCAACCAAACATGCCTGGCGAGACCGAACTCACGACGCCCGTCAAGCTTACCAAGGAGGACGGCTCGTTCAATCGCGCCGCCCACGGCTGGGCGCGGCAGCCTATCGTCGATACCGCTGCGATCGATGGCAGTGTACTGAATGGCAAGAACCGCCGGTGGGAGTACTGGTGCGTGCTCACGCCGACGCACATCCTGGCCTTCTCCATCGCCGACATCGACTACTTCGCGCCTGCCAGTGTGTGGATCTTCGACCGCAAGCAGAACAAGGCAGTCGTCAACTACGCGAGTGTCGGGCCGATCGGGAGTGTCAAGCTGTCCCCGAACGTCGAGGACGGCCCGCATAGCGCGCGGCACTCGAACCCGGACGGAGAGCTCGCTGTGGACATCGAGCACTTGCCCAACGGGACACGCATCCGCGCGTCCGTCCCCGGAGGGAGCTTCGATGTAATCGCCTCCATGCCGCCGAGTCACGAGCGCACGGCCGTCGTCGTTCCTTGGTCCGACGACCTGTTCCAGTACACCCTTAAGGACATCTCGCGGCCCGCCACGGGCTCCGTCACGATCGGTGGCGAGACGTTCCCCGTCCCTGAGGGCTCGTGGGCGATGCTAGACCACGGCCGAGGCCGTTGGCCCTCCAAAGTCCACTGGAATTGGGGCGCCGGGTCAGGCAGGCTCGCGGACGGCCGCGTGATGGGTCTCCAGGTCGGAGACAAGTGGACAGACGGAACGGGGTCGACGGAGAACTCGTTCCTCCTCGGCACACGCGTCTACAAGATCAGCGACAAGTTGACCTGGAAGTACGACGTTGACAACTGGATGGACACGTGGCATATATCGGGCGGCGGCCTCGACGCGACGCTCACACCGTTCTACAACAAGGCATCATCTGTTGATACCGAGCAGGTGAAGAGCCGGACGGACCAGTGCTTTGGTGTTTGGAAGGGCAGATTTGATACTGGGGAGGAGATGGTCGAGTTCGAGGACATCGTGGGGTTTGCGGAGGATGTCACGAAGACGTGGTAGGATGGAGCGTTAGCTCTGTTAGAGTGGGAGCGTGCTGTAGAAAGGCTATGGAATTCCTGAGCAAGAACAGCGAAAGGTGGAGCAGAGCACTTTATATACCCCCGGGCGCGCGGGACAAGCACTGTAATGGTTTCGGGAAGATGTTCGTTTTCATAACGGAACTCCTCGTCTCAGTGCGCTCCTTGTACAGCCTTGTCTCCTCTAGCTCGAGTGTTCGAGCCCCACCGAGTCCTCATGGATTTGTGTTGGTACCGCCTCGGCAATCATGCCAGAATACTTCCGGGTACAGATAGGCCGGAAACGGATCAGTCTGGCTGGTGTGGCATTCGTGCTCCAAGAGGTCAGGACAGCTGTAAGCGCGCAGGGCGAGCCGGGCGGGCATCAACCTTTTGTTATTGCTGCTATTGCTACATGCATGCACGATGGATTGCACTCACTCTATGGCTCTACTGCTCAATGACGCGCCGCTTGGGCGTATACAACGATGTGATGCGCTTGCGCGGCACAAACATCCAGATGATAGTGAACGCCGCGATCATCGCCACAGCGATGGGCTGAATAGTCCAGATGCCGTGCTATGGTCAGTCCGGCATGTCTAAAGAGTCGCTCACCTTGTCCGCAATACCACCCGTCATGAACGGGATGGCGGCCGCACCGGCTCCACCCAAACTGCCCATGATGCCCATGACGCCGCCGCGCAAGTCGTCGTCGAGCACCTCAGACACCACCATGAGCGCGTTGGGGTAGATCGGGCCGAGGAAGAAGCCCACAAAAGCGTAGCACACGCCGTTGCCGATGAGGCTATCCGTGAACCAGATCGCGAGCTCGAGCCCCAAGGCAATGGCAGCGTAGAGATAGATGGAGAACTGGTACCCAATTTTCTTGGTGACGGGGATGAGCACGATGCGGCCGACCGACATGCCGCCCCAGAAGCCTGTGACGGCGTAGCCGGCGGCGGCCGTGGCGCCGCGCTCGGCGATGAGAAACGACGTAAGCCAGCCCGAGATGCTGACCTCCACCCCAACGTAGAGGAATGCCCAGATGATGAGTGCGTACACGCTGGGCGTGGAGAATATGCGCAGCATCTTGGTACCGCTCGAGTCGGGGGCGTACAGCTCAGCGGGGGGGAGAGGCGCCGCCTCGTTGGGAACGATGGACGGGGCACGTGTCAAGCGCTCCTTGACGCCCGCCATCTCGACCTCCTCCTCGCCCTCCGCCTCCCGCTTCTCCCGCTCCTTCCGCTCCTTCTTCTCCCGCCGTACGTCGGCGTCCTTGGGCAGCAGCGCGGTAATCTGCTCCTCCGTCTTGCCCTCGAACGCCCACAGCATCATCACGACCGTGAGGAGCGCTACGGCCATCGCGACGAAGAAGTAACGGTACGCAGCTTCCACGTGCTGCGCGAACGCGGTCGAGATGAAGGGCGCGATGGTGCCGCCAAGGCTGAAGCATGCCTGCACGACGGACATTTTCGTGTCTGCGTTCGGGAGGCGAGTCACGAGGTTGTTCACTTGTGCGTCCTTGTGTTAGCGCGAGCGCGAGCAGGCTTACTTGGATACCCATGCCGAAGCCGTTGAAGATGTACCCGATCAGGAATACGGGGTAGGGCGGGCCGCAGCCCGCGATGAGGTAGGCTACGGCCGTGGCGAGGGCGGCGAGTGGCGTCACCAGACCGAAGCCGATGCGGTCGGTGAGCCACACGTTCACCAGGCCCGAGATGAGCGTGCCGACAAACATCATGATGAAAAGGATCGACATTTTAAGGTAATTGATCTGGCGTCAGTCGATCCGCGAGTAGGTGATCACCCCATCTAGCCATGAATAGGTTGATGCGATCCTCACTCACGTTGTAATATCGCTGCAGACTTGGGATCAGGGGCCCAACGCTGCCGTCGTTCCATCCACACAGCACCATGGAGGCGCAGAGCGCGCCGGTGATGATCCACACCCTGCGTGGGCTAGGGGCTGGACACGCGCGTCGCAGCCGCCTGAAGATATAATGGTGGTGGGCGTAGAGGTCGGCGTCAACGGGCGTCTCGACATCAGGCGGCGAGGGAGGACGGGGCGTCTGAGGCGGAGTCACGAATGGCTGTGAGTGGGTTGTGGATGCCGACGATGGTGGCCGAGGGAGAGACGGCACCCCGCCATCGTGAGCAGTGCTGTTCATTCCAGATGAAAGCGCAAGTGGGAAAGAGTGCAACTCGACATGAACGTCGCCAACAAGAGTGTGGTCGGTGGAGGGCGAGCTCGGCGCATGTCCGACACGGCTGAGTACCCTGCCTTGGCGTCTTCAGGACCGGCGACGTGCTAGCACTGATCGAAGCCTGGGAGGGTCAAGCGAGGGCAAGGAGCGATGCACCGAGGCGGAGCGGAGCGCTGATGCGGGCTGGAGTGGAGTTGTGCAGGCGGCAAATTCAAACTTGGAGTGGAGACCGGCTGCGCGGGGTCGGCCCGACGCCGACCAACACCGATCCGACAACAGGGCCAATCCACACATGTCGAAACCCTAATAAACCATGCATATCTATGATTGTCGGCCTAGCCCTTCTTGGGCTTGGACGGGTCCGTGTAGTCGTAAAAGCCCTTGCCGGTCTTGCGGCCGAGCTTGCCCTCCGCCACCATCTTAGTGAGCAGTGGGACCGGAGCGACGAGGTCCTTGGGCAGCAGTCCCTTGTCGGCATACACCTTCCACGCTTGGGACACGAACTCGGTGACATCGTTACCGACGTAGTCGTAAAGTTCGAACGGGCCCATGGCTGGGGTGAGCGTGTTCTTCTCAGGACGCACGATATCCCGCGCCGAGCTTCATGGCGATGTCGATGTCCTCGGCGGTCGCGTCGCCGCGCTCGAGCATGCGCGCAGCCTCGACTGCCGTCAGCGCAAACACCGGAGAGCTTACGCTTGTAGGGCACCAGGAGACGGTTGACGATGAAGCCGGGCACGTCCTTGGCCTTGACGCCGACCTTGCCGATCTGCTCGACGAAGCGGAGGAGGAGGTTGTACGCGTCGTCGTTTGTCTGCGGCGTACGCACGACCTCGACAAGCTTCATCACCGGCACGGGGTTGAAGAAGTGCAGGCCGCCGAAGCGGGCGCGGCGCTCGGGGCTCACTGACTCTGCGATATCCCGAATCAGGAGGGAGGAGGTGTTGGATGCGAAGACGGTGTCGGGTCTAAAGTGAGCGAGAGAGGCCGCGAGCGGGCTGCCGACTATCAAGAAGTAGGGAGCGGTATCCACAGCTAGACTCACCTGGCCGCCTTGTCGAGACGCGCGAAGAGCTCCTGCTTCAATGGGAGGTGCTCAATTACCGCCTCAATGACCAGGTCAACATCAGCCACGGCCTGCTCGCTTCTGTCAGCTCGCGTCTTGTCTGTAGCCATACCCGTTGGTGGTAGTCTCGATGTTGGCCATGGTGCGCTGCACAAAGCCGTCGATGTCGTCCGGGCTCTGCTTCTTCGCGACGCGGGCCAGCGACTTCTTGATGGTCTCCATGGCCCGGCTGGAGTCAGCGCATATCCCTCCCTCCCTCACGCCGCAACCGCACTCACTCGAGCGCCTCCTCCTTGACATCCGTCATGATGACCTTCATGCCGCCAGCGGCCGCGACCTGCGCGATGCCGCTGCCCATGCTGCCTGCGCCGAAGACGGTGAGGCGTTTGACGTCGCGCGGCACGGGCGTCGTGCTGAGGTGGCGCGCGAACGTCGACACGCGCGCGGCGGCCGCGACAGCGGGGAGGCGGGTAGCAGGGGCGATCATGGTGCGTGAGAGTGCAAAACGCATTGCAGACCTGGGCTGGAGAGCAACAAAAGTTGGGGAAGCGGGGGCAGGGCCTACTGAGCGGAATTCGGCTACTTCCCACACTCAACCGGTGGGCATGGATGCATCTACAACTTGGCTTTGACGGCGAGCTCGCGCTCCTGCCGCGCAATGCGTGCCCAGAAGAGCTCGTCGAGCTCGACGCTGCGCGGTCCGCGCGGGATCGCGCACGCGTCGATGACGGTGCGATACATGTTTTCTTTGATGGCGCCCCAGACGCCCCACGACGCCTTCGGGCCTTCGCCGACACCGATTTCGAGCGCGCGCTCGAGGAGGCCGTTTGGGCCGCGCGACACGTCCACGATCTCGTGGATGATCCCCGCCGCGAGCGCCTGCTTCTGGTTGAAGCGGTCGCCGAGCGCCACGGGCGTGAAGTAATTCGCCGCGAGCTTCATCTTGACCAGCTCGGTGCCGGCCGCCGTGAGGGGGATGCCGATGACGTTCTCGTTTAAGCTCAGCAGGCCGCGGCCGCCCGTCATGATCCGGATGTCGCAGCAGAGGGCCATCATGAAGCCGCCCGCGAAGCCTGTGTGAGCGAGGGTGGTGGGGGAACGTACAGTGTCCGTTGATGGCTGCGATCGTCACGAGCGGGAATGTCAGGAGGCGGTTCTTGAAGGGGTCGAAGAGGCCTCGTGTGAGCGCGTGCTTCGCCCGACGCACCTTTAGTGAAGTCTGGGTTCTTGGTCGTCTCGGGGTCGAGGCCGTTGCTGAAGAACTTGGGCCCGCCGCCCGTTACGATGAGCGCACCGCCTTGCCACTCCCCCGGCGGCTTGCCAGCGTTCGCGCGCCGCCAGTCCGCTTCGACCTGGTCTAGGCGGCGCATCATCTCGTGCAGCGCGTCCGGCGTCATGCGGTTGTCTGGCGGCTGCGACAACGTAAGCTGCCATACGAGCGGGTGTGGGTGGGTGACGGTAGTGAAGACCATGGTGTGGGCGATGGCAAGAGGTTCGGTGTTGAGGATTGATTCTATTTGGCTGTCGGTGATCTGCAATCGCGTCACTGATTCGTACCCCATGCTTCAGCGACGAGAGGGCAGTCGAGCGCTCAGCTGCAAACCGCAAGCACTCCGCATCGCCGTACACGCTACATGCATGCATGCGGTACCAGTGCGCGCCTGCGGAGGTAAGTGGGACTGGCGAATCCGCATCGGCTAAGACCGGCCCGCCCGTGCCTGCGATCGAGATTACGAGCCCATCCTCAACCACCGCCACACTCACTGCCACAAAAGCGCGACACGCTGACAAGCAAAGCAACCCCGACGCCACAGAACAACGGGAAGCAGCCAAAAGAGTACGCTGACCACTGACAGACTCGAACTGCCGACCCTTGCATGTCTAGCTAATACGCTCGTCGTATTAGTACAATGCTCTAACCAACTGAGCTAAGCGGCCGATGGGACACGAGCTCCGGGTCCGCTTCGGGGGGCGTCTATTCGCGCGCCCTCTGCGTTGTTGTGTCGCACTCTTCGGAGAGTTGAAGACTGCATTAGTGTTACAGAGGTTGTGGTACCGTTGATGCGCAAAGTTGACGGAATTGTGGCTGGTTGCGGGCGGTTGTGTATCAATTAATGCTTGGAGTGTCTTGAGGAATGACGTGAGCATGGTGCCGTCAATTGAAGAGCTAGTAAACACAAAGGTTATTCACGCTCAGGCAGCACAGCACATACTTGCATCGGAGTGCCACGATTTACCGACGAGCAAAGCCTCGTTGTCGAACACTAGGGCGCATTGATATACTCGCCCGCCTCGGCGGCCCACTCGGCGTGGGTGAGGAAGCGGACCTTGCCGTGAGGAGACCACATGTGGCCCCACTGCGTCATGTAAAACTCCAGCCACTGGCCCAAACGCCACCACGCGCCTTCGTACTGCACATGCTGGGTAAGCCAGCTGTCCGGTACGTCGCTAATCTTGCTGTTTACGGTAGGCAGGGGCATGCCGACGTGGCGGACAAGGAGCGAGGCCCACCCGACGACGGTGACGTACTTTTGCAGCGATGGGACGGCCTCCAAGTGTCTCACACATGTAAGAGCGACGGGGGTGTCGTACTCGGGCTCGATGGGAGGCTTGAGGACGTACACGACTTCGCGGACCTCGGGCGTCGGGAGGACAAGGGGCACTTCCACTATCCATCTGAGTGTCATCACGCTCCGTTTCACACCCAGGGGGCGGGTGAGCGCGTGCAGCGCCGAATTGATATAGCAGGGGTAGGCGATGTCGAGTTCGGTGGAAACATGGGTGTGGGCGGTGGTCTTGGGCGTGCGGGTGGTATACGAAGTGCACTGCCGGAGGACGTCGAGGCGAAAGGGGACGTCGGGAAGCTCTGTGTACTGATCTACAGCCCGTATGTTGTACAGCCGCTCGGCGAGGCGTGCGAGTGCAGCTGGTCTCTCGGGAGATGGGGCATCGGGGATAGGAAGCATGGGGAGGCGCCCGCCGCTGATGGCATCCAGCTGCGTTCCGTGGGCGCCACAAAATACTTGCACGTGCTTGAAGAGCAGGGCATCGGCGCGGTCGCGAAACTCGGTAGAGACTGCGCGTAGGCTGATGAGGCCCTCGCGGGAAGCGTGCGCGAAGATGGCCTCGAAGATGTGAGGAAATGCGTGTGGTGTAAGAGACATGATGGGCACGTTTGGATGGAGAGCGGAAGAGTTGCGGGATGCAAAGGCGAAATGCAGTCCCTTTCATGGCACGCCTGGCATGTTTGTTTATGGCGTGCGTGGCCTTTGTGTTGTTTGTTTACTGAATTCAATTCATTGAGTCATCGGGAACAAACTACTCATGTTAGCCAAATGACGCGACTACCTTTTAGTTTGAGATGTAAACTGCGTGGACAGGGCGGATCGGGATCCAGCCGCGGCTCTCGGAAGATCGGAAAAGATAAGAAATGGAAGCTCGTATAGTCGCGTGGCCAGTGCGTGGGTGGCAAGTACAGTCTGCATGTACCACCACGGAGCTGAGCCTCAGTTGACTTGCTTTCTCTCGCCAGCAGTGTCGCCATCATCATTCTCCATCTCTCTCTCCTCCATCACTCCATCACTCGGAACATCTCAGCTCACGATCATCGAGAATTAATCGAATCTTCAGCTACATGAGACTCTGGGTCGGAGTCATTGACTCACTGTGAATGGGAGAAGGCACAGCTCTCGAGCGTCAAGACATTAAATGACACCATGTACCATTTCAGATACCAAGATCCGTGCCATCGAGTTACATAGCGCCGGGATCCATTATTCCTCCTGCGTGCCCTCGATCCTCGAGAGAGGCCTGTAGCCTGTCACCGCCGTTGTCGCCATTGCCCAGTTGCGCACCAATTCCTTGGATCCTAGTACAGGTCTGGAATTTATTCCCCGAGCGGCCGGCCAAACCTGTTTGGAGAACTGTGCTTCCTGTAGAGCGTGCACCAAGCATGGCTCGATGTGCATGCATGCACGAGACGTGCACCGTGGAAAACGTCGGCCGGAAACATGGACAGCTCGCTTCTCCGCTGCTTTGGCCTCCTTGGACGATCGTGGAGACGCTGGAACTGACCAAGCTCATCTGGTCACGAATGTCAGGAAGAAGCCGCCATTCCTCTATGACGGCTCTGACGACCAAGGCGTGGGAGGATGTGTCGACGGAGATTGGGCTGTACGTCTCTGCCCCGCTCAATTCGAGAAGCATGCTGAAGAGGTGGGTAGGAGGCTGTAGGAGGTAAGTAATGGAAACAAACATCCTGCACACGTCGTGCAAGCACAGTTTGCGGTCTGAAACGGGCCGAGTTTCATCCGAGCTGTGAGTTGCCAGGGCCGATCACAGCTGCGGCCGCCGATCATTTGTCGCGCGTCCCTGTATCTTACAGCCCGCAGATCAGTGAGCAGGGAGCTTGTCACTTGTCACTCGTACCCTTTTGTGGAGCGCTAGAGGATAGAGGAGACACCTCTGTTGCATTGCCTCGCAAGCATGGGAGCATAAGACGCACACAAACTGATGAATGCTCGCAACAGTTGTGCACTTTGCGGTTGCATCGCGGTGCTCACTTGGAGAAGTGTGGCGGAATCTGATGAACCTTGTACCCTTGGTGTCGTTCCCGTGTGTGATTGACGTCACCGCGTCCTTTGGTAGTCCGGATTGTGCCAAGCGAGGCATCCCACCTTCCCTCTCTCCTTTGGGGACAGCTCATCCCACGCGCATCCACGGCAACTCTCTCTGGCCCTCGCACTTGTCATCCTCCTCCACGCTCACACGTCTTCCTCTTCTTCTTCTCTCTCCATCTCTCTCTCTCTCTCTCTCTCTCTTTCCTACTCCCTCCTCTCTCACATCACTCACCATGTCCGCTCCCCCCCAGGCTCCCGTCGCTCCCCCTGCCGGCGCCCCCGCTGCACACGGCGCCCCCGGTGGTGCTTCCCAGGGCGCTGCTGGTGGTGCCGGCGCCGGACCCAGTGGTGCCATCGTCGCGGCTCTCACTGCCTCTGGCGGCACCGAGAGTGCTGGTACGTACTCCGCACAGTTCCACCGATACGAAACCCGCTCACCCAAGGCTTCCTCAACGACATCATCGCCAACCTCTGGCCCAACATCAGCGTCGTCGGCCGCGACATGACCAAGTCTATCGTCGAGCCCATGTTCGCCAGCATGCTTCCTTCCCCCCTCAACTCGCTGCACTTTGCCAAGATTGACCTTGGCAAGGTCCCCATCAAGCTCGGCAATGTCGACACCCACAAGATGGCAAGTGGCGCCATCAAGATGGACCTTGACGTGGACTGGGACGGCGAGTGTGACATTGAGCTGGACGGCAAGATGATCCCCAAGATCGGAATTGAGCACATCAAGCTCAACGGCCGCATGAGCATGCTTCTGGGTCCCATCATCAACCAGATGCCCCTGGTATGTCTTCCTTGACGTGGCAGGCAACCAGAGCTGATCAGTCAGGTCGGCGCTGCTCAAGTCGCATTCATCAACCCCCCGTATATCAAGCTCAAGTACACAGACGTTGCCGCGGTCGCCAACATTGGCTTTATCGACCGCTCGATTAGCAATGTTATTCAGAGCATCCTCGGCGGCATGATGGTGCTGCCCAACCGCTTCCTTGTCAAGCTTGATGCTAAGAACGACTGGTTCAGCACATTCCAGTTCCCCCTTGGTGTTCTCAAGGTATGTTTTTGCTACCGGGCAGGCGCTGATATCTAGGTGACCGTGGAGAGCGGTGCCAACCTTGGTGAGGCCAAGGAGAGCAAAGGTTTCCTTAAAAAGCTCGTGCACGACGAGGCCGACTGCTACGTCGACGCGACGCTTGGTGCCGAGACTTGGCGCACCAAGACGATAAACAACAACCGTAACCCCGAGTGGAACGAGTCGCACGACTTCCTCCTCTCGGATCACGACCAGGTTGTGACCGTCGAGTGCGTCGATGACGACACGACGTCGGACGACACGATCGGCAAGGCAACCGTGACAGTCAAGGAGCTTCTCCTGAGCGGCGCAAGCCACGACTTGGCACTCGTTCACAACGAGCAGCCGACGGAAGCCAAGATCCGCCTCAAGGGCCACTTTATGGCCCTCGTTGCCGACCCCGCCTCTCTAAACTCGCAGGAGGAAGGCACGCACGGTGTGCTTACTGTTCTCATCGCTTCAGCCTTCCACATTTCGGGCAACAGAGAGGAGCTCAAGCCCAGCGTCAAGGTTGTGTGGGGCGAGTCCAACTTCCGCACCGCCATCAAGTCAGACTCGCCGGGCGCCGATGTCCAGAACCCCGGCTTTGACGTCGCCTACAACGTGCCTCTGTCGAACAAGGTTACTGTGCACGGCGCCGCTCCCGTCCGCCTTATTCTCATGGATGGCGAGAAGGAGCGCGGCTCGGTCGACATTCCTCTCGAGAAGGTGCTCGGTGCGCCCGGCATGGCTCTCGCCGAGGACCACAAGCTCGCGGACGGCGCCATTATCCGCGCCGCCGTCGTCATCCGCGGCACCAAGTCGCTCCACTAGGCGTATCCGGGCTACCGAGGATGAATCTGCAAGCTCGCACACGAGAGCATCGGCATCGGAAGAATCAATGTGAGACAGTGGAGAGGAAGCGCTAGCAGCATGTTATTATTATCACAGGAGCGGGTGTAATGGGCGCATCGTGTTCACCATCCAAGGTCTGCACAGCCACGTTTGCGACGCGGCCATATGGTGCTATCGCGTTAATGACGCCATGTGAAGCGCAACGGGAACTTGTCGCGGGAGGTGGCTGATCAAGTGTATTGACCTTCTCTCCTCATATTCACTCCCTTTTGTCCTCCTCTCCCCTATCTACGGGCGAGCCGATCGAACTGTCACTGTTCGTCACTGTGTCATGGTCTCGCGCTGAGTATGCCTCAGCCTTCTGATGCTGTCGCGGCCTTGTCCATCTAGTCAGCTTTTTGAAGTTACTTCGCACCTGTCAGACCAGTTGATACGAGTCTCCGACAAGGCTCTGTCATACTTCCTTGACCTACTCGCCGAATCTTCACAGTGAAAGCGCTAAATGCCACATTCGCACCTCGCTCATCCTCCAGGCCTCGACCATGCTCGAAGTATCTTCATTCTCCCGGCCCTATACTCCACCGGAAGCCTTTGTTACGCACCCTGTCATCATCACGTCTCCTTACGCCTCACGCCGCCACACACACTCGCCTCCAATCCATGTCTCGTCGACGCCAGCCTGCGCCTCACGCAGGCTATTCACGCCGTCCCGGAACGGGTTGATGTTGATGACAGCGAAATCCGCGCTCTTCCCTTTCTCCAGACTTCCATACTCCCCCTCCTGGCGGACGCTGTACGCCGTCCCCGCGGTGTAGTGCCGGATACTGACTGCGAGCGGGAAAGCAAACTTCTCCATTGCCAGCAGCCGCGGATCCGTGGGCGCGCCCATGCGGGCATTAACGCCCGACCGGCGCGTCGTCGCGGTATACAGGTTCGGGAATGCGTGATGTGGTGCAACCGGCGCGTCCGTGCCAAAGCTGATGCGGCTGCCGGCCTTCTGGAACTCATGCCACGGGAAGGCCTGGTCCGTGCGTGCATCGTAGCCGAGCATCTTGCGCCAGTTGGCCATGTACACGGGGTCGGCGTGCAGGGGCTGCAGGGACGCGACGATGCCGAGGCGCGTGAGGCGCGCGACGCTCTCGGGCGTGATGCTCTCAAGATGTTCCATGCGGTGTCGGCGGTCGCGGGGTCCGTTGGCGGCGATCGCCGCTTCGAATGCGTCGAGCGCTTGCTCGCTCGCTGCGTCGCCGAGGGCGTGACACGCGATCTGCAGGCCCAGCGAGTCGGCGAGCACGAAAACGGCCGTCAGGTCGTCTTTCGGCCAGATCGGGCCGGGCTTGCTCCCGTCCGGATACGGGTCTTTCATGTATGCCGTCTGGCGTCAGCGCCGACGGGGAGGGGACGTACACACGAGTCGACGACGCCGTCGGAAATCGTCTTGATCCCAATTACGTTCAGCCACGGTGCCTTGGATTTGAGGCGCTCGCGCTCGGCCGCGGCGCGGCGCACCTGCGCCGCGTGGTCGGCTTGCGTGCCGAGGCTGTTGATGAACCAGTGCGCGTTGATGCGGATGGGGAGGCGCCCGCCCATCTCCTCATACATCTCCTCCATGGCCTCGAGGCTGTCCTCCATCATCGCCATGTCCACGCCCCCTGTAACGCCTGTGGAGAGGAAGCCTTCGAACGCGAGCTTGAGCGCGGCCTTGCGCTCGTCCTTGCTCGTATTCTCCGACAGGTAGGGCCACACGATAGTGTGGAACGCGTTCTCCTGCGCGTCAGCGCATCGCCTCCCTCACGCACCTTGAGGAAGCCCGTCGCCTCGCCATCCGCGTCCCGCTCGATCTCGCCGCCGGGCGGGTCCGGCGTCTCGCGCGTAATTCCCAGCGCGCGCAGCGCGGCCGAGTTCACCCAGCACGAGTGCAGGTCCGCGCTGTCGATGAACACGGGCGTGTCGGGCTCCGCCGCGTCGAGAATCTCCTTGGTGGGCGGCACGCCGAGTGTGTCGTACAAGAAGCTCGCGCCGAGCAGGAACTTGGCGTCTGGCGTTGCGCGCTTGCGCTCGCGCACCAGGTCTTGTACCTCGGCCGCTGTCTTTTCGAGGCACACGAAGCGCGTGAGGAAGCTCCCGAACTGGAGCGTGTGGATGTGCCCGTCGAGAATGCCGGGGAGGACGACGCGGCCGGCGAGGTCGACGACCTCGGCATCCGGCTGGGGTCAGTGGGGAAAGGAGGAAACGCACCGCCGCCGCCGCTGCGTCGGCGTTGCTGCCGACGAACGCGATCCGGTCGCCGTCGACCACGAGCGCGTCGTGCAGCGTGTCGTCGTCGTGCGCCGACGTGAAGATGCGCCCGTTCGTGAAGATGCGCATAGTGTCAGTGGTTAGTCGCTGCCACTCCCGCTTTCGTCTGAATACATACCGCCCAGGTATAGAAGTAGAAGCCGGGGCTGCGGGTAACGATACGCGCTGTTCCGTTCCATCCGACCACGAATCTCCGTTTATCCATTCCCCGTCTCTGTCGCCGCGCTGACAGTGGCGCGCTGAGATGTTCCTGCCCACTTGCGCGGGCCTGGCCGACATAACGATAGAGGTGTCAGCAAGGGGTCTGTGCGGGCGAAGCACTTTCTGCAGCTCTGCAGTCGTCGAGTTCGAGGTCACACGAGCAAGAAATTCTGAGACAAGGTCGCCGCAATCGTGGTCGCCGAGACATACTACATGTACGTGGCACAGATCTCAGCGCGACTCTTGGCCCGGAAAAGATCCTCCGGCGGACCGATGTCTCAGATCCCAGCGCTATCTACCCTCCAGGCTATCGGCGCAGTCGCCTCTCGCTGGTGCGTCCTGGCCATATCGTGCAGATGTCGGGATAGCCGATAACATCTCACCTCAGCCACAGCCGTCGCCACAATCTCCCCTGCGCCCAATCCGGTTCCGCGGAGTCCAGGGCCAGGCCCGCTGGGTAAATAACCGTCCTAGGGAATGTGGGGAAGCCATGCGACCACTTCCGACCCAGCCATCGCTCGGCTCTCTCGTCTCCACCCTCCGCTCCATCTCTCACCCCACCCGCTCAATGCAGGATAGGACCAGGTCCAGTCCAATGCGTCTTAAGACTGCGACTGACCTGCTGACGCCTCACTGATCCCCACCATGACAGAACTAGACGTGCCGGGTACAACGCGGATCCTCGACGAGTCGGGCGAGGTCGTCGCCGCCAACAACTTTACGCTCGTGCCAGAGCCCAGCGCCGACCCCAATGACCCGCTCAACTGGTCCCCGGGACGCAAGCGTATCCAACTTGCGTGTATTGTTCTGTGAGTTGCCACCAGTCCAGGTCGGCACAGTCCCCCTCGTTCTCGAAACTGACCTCAGCTACACCATCTCGTTCTGCTTCGCTACCGGATGCCTGGCAGCCATCTACGTGCCCGTCAGCGAGGAGACGGGTCTCACGCTCGCTGACCTCAACTCGGGTGTCGGATACGTCTATCTCTGCCTGGGTATTTTCCAACTCTTCACACAGGCCCGTGAGTACATAGTGAAAGGCTCAGCACCGGCCTCCGACGGATTTCTATGAAATCGCGCATCGGTCTAGCCTCACTCCTTCCTAATCCCCCGGGTAAACCCCGCTCACACCAGTCGCACTGAGCATCGGCAAGCGCCCCGTCTACATTCTCTCTATCATCGGCTGTGCCGTCTACCCCTTCTGGGTGACGCGCGTCTCATCTCTCGGGGAATGGTACGGCGCGTGCGTCTACCTCGGCTTCGTCGGCAGTCCACTCTTCGTCCTCCCTGAGCTCTCCCTCACCGACACCTTCTTTTACCACGAGCGCGGCCTCCCGCTCGGCATCTACGTCGCCGCGACGTACGGCGGTGCGCTCGGCTCCCCCATCCTCTCCGGCTTCATCTACACCGGGCTGGGATGGAAGGCGCCGCCCTACTTCGGTGGAGGCGCCATGCTGCTCGTCGCGATTGTCCTCTTCGTGTTCCTCGAGGAGACCAACTTCCGCCGTGTTGCCGCCCCAGTTGTGGTCACCGAGGCGCAAGTCGTCAACCAAGTCGGCGACGATAAGAACGTGACGCGTGCGAGCGTCGCGCCCGTCGATGACGAGGACAAAGACAAGGGCATCACGCACGCGGTCGAGAGCTCCGAAACCAACGTCGTGCACTCGTTCGACCGCCTCGTCACGCCCTGGCCTGGGCCGCGCCCCTGGAAGATGTTCACAATGTCTCCCAACGCCGGCGGTCTCATGTGGCGCGGCATCGTGTATCCGCTCGCCCTCCTCCGCCTCCCAATCATCTTGTGGTGCGGCGCCATCTTCGCCCTCTACCAGGTCTTCTACAACGGCATGGTCGCGCTCACCTCGGGCGTCCTCAGCGTCGAGCCCTACAACATGGCGCCGAACATGGTCGGGCTCACCTTCGTGTCGCCGCTCATCGCCATCATCCCCGGCGCGGTCGCCGGCGGATACGTCGTGGACAAGTTCACGATCTGGGAGGCGCGCAAAAATCACGGCATCTCAGAGCCCGAGCACAAGCTCAAGCTCATGCTGCTCCCCACGATCCTCGCCCCCTTCGGCCTCCTCATGATGGGCCTTGGACCGTACTACGGCGCACACTGGATCGTGTTCGTCCTCGGCGAGTTTGTCCTCACCATCTCGGGCCCGCTCGCAACGCTGCTCAGCATCACGTACGCGTTCGACAGCTTCCACTCTCTCGAGCCCGACGAGCACAATCGCCACGGCCCGCAGGCCGAGACACAGCACTGCGGCCCGTACGTCCAGGCCGTCATTGTTATGGCCCTCACCATCACGTTCGCGTTCAATTATGTCATCACGCCCTGGGCGTTCGAGGCAGGCTTCCTCGTGTACGGCACCACTGCCGCAGCGATGGCTACCGTCATCAACATCACGTACCTCCTCATGCTCAAGTATGGCAAGAGGCTGCGCAAGAGCGGTGCGCCATACTACCGCAAGGTCATTAACTGGTAATAGTGAGTTGTAAGGTTGTTAGGATTTTGTGGGGATGGTGAGGAGGATGTTGTCGTATTAGTCCAGCCGTAGTGGAATGCAAGTGATATCGGGTATGTTGTTCGCTATCGCGCTCAGATCTCGGAATGAGCATACCTCGCTTGAATGCTTAACAAGCGCTATCAGATACATGTGAGCTATCGATTACAGACTCGTCTTGACCCCGAGCTTCTGGTTCGTCCAGTCCCAGAGGTCATCTTGCAGCGCGATGTCGTGGCTCTGCTTGCTGCTCTCCACCTTGTTTTCGAGCTGGTAGTAGGCCATCTTCTCGTTCTTGTGTGCGTCGCCGATCGCAAGGTCGGCAAGTGCTTTGCCGCTGCGTGGCCCAGTCGAGGTGACAATGCCTGTCATGAGGGTGACGAGGCTGGGGATGTAGCTCATCACCCCGAACATGAAGGCCTTGACGACACCGCCCTCGCGGGTGAGTTTTGAGCCACCGCCGGGCACGAAAGCGGGGTCGTATGCCGCGATCGTCCAGCGCTTGCCCTTCTCCTCGGCGTGTCGCGACAGCGCATGCGCCCAGAGCACGTTGGCGAGCTTGGTGTTGCTGTACTGCACGGTAGGGTCGGCCTCGGGCCCCTTCGCGGCCGCGACGGCCGCTGCGCTCTCCCAGTGCGGCTTGGCGGGGTTGCCGACCATCTCTGAGTCGTGCATGCCGCTACTGGTGAGGATGATGCGCGCGTCCTCCGTGAGCAGACCCTTCTTGTAGAGGGCGAAGAAGAGCGCCGCGCCGCCCAGGTGGTTCACGGCAAAGGCACGCTCCACGCCGTCGATGTACGTCGTTTTTCCCCCGGTGACAAGGCCGGCGTTAAGGAGGAGTGCCGAGACGGGGTGCTCCCAGCCGTCGACGAAGGCGTTGATCTCCGCGACGCTGCCGAGGTCGAATGTGCGCAGCTCGATGTTCGGGGGAAGCTGCACCTGCGGCTTGGACTGATATCAGCGCTGTTTCCAGCCTTCCAGGGTACGCACTCTGCCCGTGATGATAACCTTATCGTTCGGCTTGGCTGACGCCAGCGCTTTGGCGGCCTCGAGGCCGATGCCGGACGTGCCGCCCGTGACGATGTAGTAAGCTGGAGCAGACATGGTGGCGAGGATGAGAAAACTGTGAGTGGGCGGTTGGGTTGACGACGAGCCGCGGCGGCGCCTTTAAGGCAGGCGGCATCCGGCGGAACGGGATGCGGAGAGTACGAGAACAAATCGGTGTGCGCCGCCTTACCAAGCTGCTCGGTCATGTTCGCGTCAAATGTGCTGACCACAGCCCTATCTCGACAAACCGATACGTGCTCGGTCCATTTCTCGGTCTTCGGCCCTCGAGCGCGTCATCGCCAAGCCAAACCTTCATACATACATGCATTGTATGCGGAGTCATGCATGCGCCACGAGCGCCACGAAGCATGCCCGCCGGTGATAAGATAGACGCTAACACCGCGCCTCGGCCTTTTGCTTCTGGCCGACCTAAATCTTGCTATCGACGCCAAGTCTGTGGATAGTCCACTCCCACAACTCGTCTTGGAGTGCGACATCACGACTCTGTGCACTCGATTCTCCCTTCTTCTCGATTTGGTAGTACACGCCCTTCTCACACGCATGCTCTGGGCCCGTGACGAGCTCGGCGAGCGCCTTGCCGCTGCACGGCACCGTCGAGAGCGATGCCATGGGGCGCCCAAGCGCACCCATGAGCCCCAGCAGCGCCGCGACGACCGGCATCCCGATGGTGGCCAACATGCCGCGGTCGCGGCTGAGCTTGCTCCCGCCGGCGGGGACGAAGCCGGGCGTCCACGCGATGACGGCCCAGCCCTCGGGTGCGCGGCGGGACAGCGCGTGCGAGAAGAGCATGTTCGCGAGCTTGGAGTTGGCGTACAGCGTCATGCCACTCTGCATCTCGGGCAGGCTAGCGGCCGCGGCCTCCGCCGCCGTCGTCCAATTGGGTCGGCCTGCGCGCGCCTCGCCGCTATGCAGCTCGGAGCTAACGACGATGACGCGCGCGTCGGGCGTGAGGTGTGCTTTGATGCCGAAGAAGAGGGCGGCGTTGCCGACGTGGTTGATAGCGAAGGTCGACTCGAGGTCGCTGAGCATAGATCGGGACGCCATCATCACGCCGGCGTTGAGGATGAGCGCGGATAGCGGGCGCGTCCAGCTCGCGCAGAAGGCGCGCACCGCGTCTAGATCCGCGAGATCACACGCCACGAACTCGACGTTGGCGGGAAGCGCGCCGGGCGACGTCTGGTGTCAGCGGCTGACGGAGCGGAGGCGACCCACCCGCCCTGTCACCGTGATGTGTAGGGTTGGGTCGGCGGAGAGGACGCGTGCCCCCTCCAGCCCGATGCCGCTGGTCCCGCCCGTAATGAGGATGTACTTGGAGTAGGACATCGTGAATGATGCGGTCGAGAACAGCGGAGCGTGGGAGCTGGGAGATGTTGAGAGCGGCGAGTCGCCGTCGGCCATCAAACACATGACTTCGGCTTTCCGATCCGGACTCCACTGCCAAGATCAATGGGCCGCGCGACATCACCTCCACTGGCATCAGCACACCCCGCGCTCTCTCCGAGAGCGCTGCCTATGTACATAACATTTCATGGACGCTGGCGTCGAGTAAAGCTTTGCATCGCCAGAACGTTGATGCGGAGGCCACGTGGAGCGTGAGCTGGTGGGCCGGATCCGAGATAACACAAGGATCAACATATCTACTCAGCGCTTCCTCGTGCTACTCTTCTTCTCGTCACGTCGATATCTTCGCCACCAGCATCCCGTCTTCTTCCACTTCTCTGTTCGCTACTGCACCCTCTTTCTCCTCCCAGGAATCCCCAAACGAACTCATTCCCTCGGCGCATCCATGTCGCACGCCCTGACTCTCTTTGACCGAGCGCTCGGCGTCGTACTCGCCTCGGCAGCCGGCGACGCGCTGGGGGCGCCCTACGAGACCAGCGAGACCATGCAGGAAGCGCTTGCCGCGGGCGCCCCTGTGCATTTCACTTCGTCCGAGGCCTGGGAGCAGGGCGAGTGGACAGACGACACCGCGATGGCCATCCCGCTGCTGGAGGCGAACGCGCGCGGACTGGACGTCTCCACGGGGGCCGGGCTGGACTATGTCGGCGCTCGCTGGCTAGAGTGGGGCACAGAGGGCCCGGATGCGGGCAAGGGCATCGGACGTCAGACATTACTTGTCTTTGTGCAGGTCCTCCGCGGCCAAGAAGGCGTTCAGTCCGATCACCAGGCGGTGCGGCCGCTACATGTTAGGATGACCGAGGAGGCGGCAGAGGTTCAAGAGTCATTGGGACGAGGCGCTGGTAACGGATGCCTGATGCGCGTTGGGCCACTTGCGCTTGGATACCTTGGTCCGGAGGATGGGAACAGGCTCGCAGACGCCGCGAGAAAACAGGCGCGGCTAACACACCACGAGCCGGACGCCGGGGACGCCGCCGTCCTCTGGTCCCTCGCGATCCGGCACGCCGTGCTGACGGGTCAAGCCGACCTGCGCGGGCAGCTAGTGTATCTACCGGAGGATCGGCGGGCGCTGTGGGCCGAGCGTCTGGACGCCGCGGAGAAGGGCACGACTTACGACTTCATCAAGAACAATTGGGTCGTGACGGCACTGCAGTGCGCGTGGATCGCCGTCCGCTCCGGCAGCGACGCTCGCTCTACTCTCGTTGCTGCGGTCAAAGGTCTGGGCGACACCGACACCATCGCGGCTATTGCGGGAGCTCTCGCTGGGGCGCTGTATGGTGCACACAGCGTGCCGCCCGACTGGAGGGAGAAGCTTCACGGGTGGCCGGGGTACACCACTGTGGACATGGAGCGCCTCGTGAAGGAAGCGCTCGCCCGATTCCCCTCCGAGCCTATGACCGCATCTTCGCGCAACACGGCAATTCCAGAATCCGCGCCAGCCGATCGCGCTGGAACACATTGACAGGAGTGAGTATCGGCGGGTGGAAGTGCGGACGTAGCGCAGAGATGGACGCAGACGTGGACAAGGAAGGGTAGGATGGAGAACTGACACCAGATGACGCCTGACGGCCGAGGTTACGGCCAACCTGGTGGACCTGGTGAACCTGGTGTACCACGCCCCTGCCGATGCAGCGTACCGGCCGCCTCAACCGAGCAGATCGCCGACGGTGTAGAGGGGGAGGGGGGGGGAGTGGATATTCCTTTTCCTTGCTGAAGCAATCTAAGCCTTCCACGGCGGGAACACTTGTCTATAGTAGTGCGGGTGCGGGCAGAAGAGTGAAAGACGTGTGCTTGTGCAGAGATGTGGCGCTAGCAACGGCACACTAAGGATGCTTCTCCCAGCACTCTGTTTTGACGGGCGGGGCGTGCTGCAGGGCGTTTCGCCACCCAGAGACATATCAGACGGCCCAAGCTCGACTGACCCTTGCTTGCTCTTTTCGCACACACTCCTGCGAGCCCATCTCGCCACATATATGACCCGTTCATTCTATTGATCGTTCGCGTCCGCTCCTCTTTACAGCACGGAAATCCGCGATGACCTGTGGCGGCGATCCGTGGGGCAACAACTCGGGTAGTAAGCTCGCCCTGACGGAGATGTCCTCGCAGCACGGCACTGATGGCAGACACCTGCAAGCTGGGACGAGGCAATGCCTGCGTGTACTGCGGCGCCGATTGCTAGACGGCGGGATTGAGCTGGACTCTCCCCATCTGATGTTTTGTCTATGCGATTCACTGGGTTTTCCTCATGACTGGTGGGCCAATAGAGCATGGTGCAATCGGTAGGCTTGGCGGGTGGTTCGGAGGAAGCGCATGGACAAGCTGTATTGCGAGGCCAATATCATCGGAATGGGTCTCGGCAAAAGTCAAGTGCGATGCAGCCTCTCTTTGCGTCGCAGTGACCGCAGTAATTGCTGTGAAAGTAGAGTGAGATATGTTGTTATTTAAGCAGAGGAGGGATGAAGCGACGTGGATTCTGCTGTGCTTGGGGTACATGGAGAGCCAAATCGGTCACTATCTCGGCGACCTCCGGGTGCTTTCACAACCGGATCATCCAAGCCGGTATCGTCGGTCGAGCTCTCGACTCCCCGCGGCGCAAGGCGCAAGGCGAAGTCGAGGCCGCGGGGTACTGACTCCGCTGACCCCTTGTGGCCGGAGTTCGGGGACGGCCTGCGTCTAGGAAACGCCAAGCCTCTGGTCTCGAGCGGGGCCGATGCTAAACGATGCTGGAGCCGGCGGTACATGCTACCTTGTCCTCGAGTAGACGTATCAGCGGCCCCCGGGGTGGAATGCACAGAAGCGGGCCCCGGCTAGGAGCGATGTGCCTGTGGGGATGTCGCGTCCCCGCGCTCCAGCAGCACTCGAGTAAAGGCCAAGACAGAGCTTGCATGTCTCAGTCAGCTGAGTGATAGCACGGGGAAGCCCGACAGCCCGGGCAATTCGGCAACCTGATCTATACCCGGATGCGCGATCGCTTGCGGATGGGCATGGCGACTATATACATCTTCTCATCGGCGCTCTCGGTTGCCCAACAAACACAATGACAATCGAAGCCATCCCCGTCCCCGAGAGCGTGCCGGAGCAGATCAAGCCGGTCGAGGTCGTCACCGAGGAGGAGCGTGCCGCCCTCCGCGCAAAGTACCTCGAGGAGCGCGACAAGCGCATTCGCGCTGACGGCGCGCAGCAGTACAAGCCTCTGCAGGGCATCCTCAAGCTCTCCGAGGACAAGGACCCGTACACCGAGGTTAAGCCCCGCGCACCCCTCTCCGACCACGTTGACTTCCTCTTCCTTGGCGGCGGCTTCGCCGCGCTCAGCGTGTGCGCCCGTCTGAAGGAGGCCGGGTTCAACAACATGCGCATCCTCGACTCGGGCGGTAACTTTGGCGGCGTCTGGTGAGTGCTACCCTCCAATGTTGGCTAACGTCAGGTACTGGAACCGCTTCCCCGGCGCCATGTGCGACACGGCCGCCATGGTTTACCTTCCCCTCCTTGAGGAGGTTGGCACCCGCCCCAGCGCCAAGTATGTCCGCGGGCCTGAGATCCTCGCGCATGCGCAGCGTATCGCCACACACTACGGGCTGTACGAGCACGCGCTGTTCAGCACGCACCTCGAGAGCCTTACATGGGAGGAGGCGGGGCAGTGCTGGCGCGTCAAGACCAAGGAGGGCGACAACTTTACCGCTACGCACGTCGCGATGGGCACCGGGCCCCTGAACAAGCCCCACCTGCCCGGCGTGCCCGGTCTCGAGAAGTTCCAGCGGCCTGCCATGCACACCGCGCGCTGGGACTTTGGGGTTACGGGAGGCGGATGGAACGGTGAGGTCCTTGAGAAGCTCAAGGACAAGCGTGTCGGCATCATCGGCACTGGTGCCACGGCTGTGCAGTGCATCCCCCAGCTCGGGCGTGACTCGGGCGAGCTCTTCGTCTTTCAGCGTACCGCGAGTGCCGTCGCCGTCCGCGGTAACCACGAGATCGACCCCGAGTGGTTCGCCAAGCTCGACAAGGGCTGGCAGGCCAAGTGGCTCTCCAACTTTGTTACCCTCATGTCGACTGGTGTCGCCGACGTCGACTACGTCCACGACGGGTGGACCGACAGTGTCAAGCGCATCACCGCCCGCATGGTTGAGGAGGCGATGAAGAAGGGCCAGAACCCCGCCGATCTCGGCTTCGCCGACTACATGAAGGCGTACCACCTCTCCGACGACGAGTACACTACTGCCGTGCGTGCGCGCACCGATGAGGTTGTAAAGGACAAGAAGACCGCCGACGCCCTCAAGGCCTGGTACCGCCAGTACTGCAAGCGCCCATGCTTCCACGACGAGTACCTCGAGACGTTCAACATTCCCACCGTGCACCTGGTCGACACTGACGGCAAGGGTGTCGACCGCGTCGACGAGACGGGCGTCTGGGCGAACGGCAAGCACTATGAGCTGGATGTGCTCATCTACGCCACCGGCTTCGAGTTCTCCTCGTCATACACGTCGCGCGCCGGGCTCGAGGTTTTCGGTCGCAACGGCCTTGCGCTCTCTGACGCCTGGGCCGAGGGCATGAAGTCCTACCAGGGCATGCACGTGCGCGACTTCCCCAACCTTTTCATCGTCGGCATCTTCCAGGGCGCCTCGCTCATCAGCAACGTCACAAGTAACTTCACGGACGCGGGATTGACGATTGCGGCCATGCTCAAGAAGGAGAAGGAGCTCGGCACGAAGGTCATCGAGACATCTGAGAAGGCGCAGGAGGACTGGGTCAAGCTCGTCCTTTCGAACACGAACAAGATTACCGGCGGGCCAGAGTGCACTCCTGGCTACTATAACAATGAGGGACACGAGGAGGGTCTCAAGCAGCGCCTGGACGGCGGTCGCTATCCCCACGGGTCGCACAAGTATTTCGAGTACATCGACGACTGGCGCACCAACGGCAAGTTTGAGGGGATCGAGTTTGACGGCAAGCCTGTAGCTGTGGCAGCTTGAGAGCGAAGGAATGGGGTGCACGTCAGCAGGGTTAGTTGTTGTCAGCAGTCATCGTAGGGTAATGCAGCGTTTATGTCAGAGCCGACGCGGTGCACGCAGGTCTGCTGGAGGTACCAGTGCGGGACCACGTCCGTGCACACTTTGCGCGTGTTGTATGATGACGCCGCTATGCACAGATCTTTTCTGGTGTTCGCCCGGCACGCACATTCCTGCCACTTCATCGCTCGCTCCTCTGTTCAAGGGGGAGGAAGATACCGTTGTGTGCGACGCCGCTCTCTCGCGCCCATGATCTGCCCTGGTCATGGAGCGTTAAGTGCGAACGCTCGGTCCTGATTAAGCCACTTAGACAAACACGCTGACCGTGCTTGGAAAACAACGACGCAACTTCTGGTTTCGAGTGGGCGATGCCAAATCACCCATCTCGGCGTGACCTGCATTCTGGGCCCAGCTGCTCACATCCTCAGGCTGAATGCCATTCGCAAATCCACACTCGCGCCTCCTTCATCATAACCTACCACGAGTACTGTCACCAAGACCACCCATGCTGGACCGGTGAGCATCAAGCTTTTCGTGCTAACTCAAACGATTCTGCAAAATTCAATTCCACAGTCTTCACTGAGGATGCCAAATCTATCACTGCACCATTTTTTGCCGGACTTGCACCGCATCTGGATTTAGAGTGGTTATTTAGAGTGGTTTAAGACATAAACTATGATAGGAACGTTTGATTATCATAGCTGATGTGATGTACGTGCTGGTGCTGAGGAGGATGTAGTCTGTGAAATCGCATGCTCATCAGGGAGGACCAAAATTTCGGAACGGCTGAAACCCACATATATATATACACACTGATGGCGTGTCGTCACAGCAGACTAATACCGTGCAAACAAAGGACGAAACAGACGTTGGAGTAACATCACATCCACTTCACGCGTGCTGCGCGTATCTGAGTTCATGCCAGCGAGCCTTGCGGTGCAGGTAGCCCGATTCCCGAGTCGAGCATTCTCGCATAGAAATCATTCATGCTACGCCCCTGTCCTCCGCCCTTCGCTGAATACATCCCCTCGGGCTTCTTGGACATGGCCACCCACGAATTCACTGTCGGTACTCCTGGGGTTCATACTTTGTTAAGGCTAGTGAGCAAGGCGGGCGTACACAGAGCATATAGATCCGCGAGTACACACATCATCGACCGATGAATGCGAAGCCGGTCGAACCGGGGCGCAGGGCGCAGTTCTCCACGCATCGCGCTGCAGGACTAGATCATTCTCTTCTTCCCACTTCACCATGATGTACCACGCCTACATCATCGCCAAGCACCTCACACGCCAGCCTCTCCCCAAGATGCGGCAGCACGGCGACTGCGTGAGCCTGCACTTCTGCCCAAAGGACGGTGAGCTGGCCCTGCGGCACGTTGAAGAGGACATGACTGACCTGAGGAAAACTCTGCGCCATGCACCCGTACATCAACCTGCACAACGCGGTAAACTACTTCTGCGACCGCTGTTCGCGTGTCTGCGACGGCGAGAAGTCGTTCCTGTGCAGTCCGAAGCAGCTGGAGGAGTAGATGCATAGGTTGGAAGCCTACCGATGGGCCCGCGGGCTGGGAGGGTAGCAGGCGGACTCGAATGACGGGCGAAGCCGGGGGCGGAAGACTGGACGACTGTATCATCCGTGAGCAATCGCTGATCCTCGATACTTGTGCCGCAGGGTATGTGCGATCAGAAGTTGCGGGTCGATCTACCGCATCATGGGCCGCCTATCCATTTAAAATGATGTGACGATGTACATATCAATATACATGGCGCCCCGCCATCAACCAACCGAATCCTTATGGGCCGCCCCCTCCTCCACCCATCAACCATGCGCATCCCTCGCCGTCCGATAAGGAACGACCGTCACGGCAGCTGCGATATCCCCCACCATTGCCCTGACCGTGGGCCAGTTATCAAGCGAGCTGACGCTAGTGAGGCTCTGCCGCATGGAGTTGAGCAAGACCGCGAGTGACAAAAGGTGGCATTGTGCCCGGTGCGGCATCAAGTGCGCGGGTGAGAGACCGCACCGCCAATGACAGCGTGTACTGGCCCGGGTGCTGCGGACTATGCGGGCAGTCGCAGCACTCCTGTACACTTCCATGCATGTCAGCGGTTTTCAGGCTCAACTCTGCGGTATTTTTGGTCTCGTACCCCGCTCCTTTTATGCCATGGGTTGCACTCTGCCCAGCAGACACACGAGCGTGATTATTTTGTGTCTGCAACATCTTGAATCTGCCATGCCGACCTTCACAAAAGCCTAAGAGTGGGGCAGGATGTCGCACCGGTGGTTTGTGAGTTGTGGTTTATCCATCATGCATGGATACCTATCCAGTCTCAATAGAAGGGATCAGACTCACGTGCGTAATGGCGCACATGTACAAGCCACGGTGGCGGTAGTGTAAAATTAAGGCAAGTGACCAAAGCGTGACAATGTGCGAGATCACTACAAAGGACGAAACCACTGAATCAGTGAATTTTGGGAAGCTATGATGGCGGGCAAGACTGTAGTAGGAGCAATGCTGGGAATGCTGCATCAAGGTTCGTCCGCTTCCGGTTCGGTGGTGGCGTCGCCGCTGTGCTTCTGTGCAAGCCATGTAATGTCCTTTCGCTCCATTACGCCCCTTTGTACACTCGCTCCCCGAACTGACAGGCCGTAGTCCTTGTCATGGTGTGTATATAAGTTGCTGCTTCACCAACTCACTCTTCATCACATTTCAGCTTCATAGTCAACATCAGCACCTGCCCATCATGCCTGACTTCTGCCCCAACCGCCCCGGTAACAGTGAGTGACGTGCTTGAGCCGCTCACACCAGTGCCGTGCGACTACGTAGCGTCGCCGATAACCGGTTCGCGTTTTTGCATGTACTGCAACGCCGCCGCCAGCTGATGTGATCTGTATGAAGTGGTGATGGCGCGCAAGCGTGCGCAGAAGATGTGCGGAGGTCCGTCGCATCAAGCTGAGTGCGGTAGTGTGAGATGATGCAGATCTGACCTTCAACAAGCTGCTGCCGTCGCTGGATCTGAGCCCGCTGACACCCAATACATGCTTCTTCCTGTTTTACCTAAAGCTTGGCCTTGTCTCCGCCGACAACCTTCATAACGGCGCGGCCGTTGGAGAGCACGACCTTGCCCTTCTGGTTCTTGACCTCGAAGCGGACCTCCTCGAAGCCGTTCGCGTCGGGCTTGCCCATGCGCCACACAGAGGTGGTCAGCTTGTCACCTGGGATGACGGGCGATGCGAAACGGCACTGGTACTCTTTGAGGTTGGCGGGGTCGCTGCCGCCAAGCGCCTTGAGGAGGCCGTGCGCGGTCGCGTTCCACGAGTACAGTCCGTGAATGATGACGCCGCCGAAGTTCATCTTCTCGCCGATCGAGGGGTCGATGTGCAGCGGGTTGTAGTCGCCGTTGAGGCGGTACAGGATGGGGGTCATGGCGTCGGTCTGGTCCGAGAACGTCGCGTCCGGCGCCTTGTCCTTGGGCGGGGGGTAGTTGACGGCGGCGGGGCCCTTGGGGCCGCCCCAGCCACCCTGGCCGACGTAGAACGCTGAGCCGTGGATCTCGGTGTACACCTCGCCAGTCTCGGCGTCGACGAGGTTCGCCTGCGTGTCCATCACGGTGCCGGGCTTGCCCTTGTCCCACACGCCCGTGATCTTGTTGCGCAGCTCAAACTTGCGCCCCTCGGACGTAGGCGGGAGCGGCTTGAGGAACTTGAGGTGGCGCTGGCCGTCGAGCACGCGGCGCACGTCGAGCTTGGGGAGGCCCGGGACGACGGCAGACTCCTTGGCGGCGTAGAAGTCGATAACCTCAGGAGTGGTCTTCTTGAAAGCTGCGGTCAGCGGGAAGAAAGGCGATTGTGCACGCTGACTCACGAAGAATGGTGGGGTAGGTCGGGAACACCTGGAACTTGGGGTGCAGCTCCTGGCTGTCAGCGCTGGCCACATCGCGCACTCACGTAGAGGAAGTGGAGCTCGTCGGCGGTCGCGCCGATCGAGTTGGCGAAGAGGAGCGCATCGCGCTTCAGCCACGTAACGGGCTGAGGGGGGTACTCGTAGCCTGCGCCGCCGTTGTTTGTCATGGTGTCTAGATGGGAAGGTAAGAAGCTGCCTGCGACGTGCGAGCATCTGCCCACGACTTATTAAGACGCTTCGGCATGTCGGCATCGGGCATACCGCGAATACTAACCGGTGGCCGCATGGCCGGTAATCGATTCTGGCGGAGATAACCGCCGGCAGTGGGCGACAAGGCACTGCTGATCGCGGGCCCCGCGACCCCAGACTGTGGCACTGGGTCGGTGCTAGCCGATACCCGACAAGCAGCATGAGGTGAGCATCGTAGCGTCCCTTGCAATGCTCGCCTAGCTCGTCGCTGTCGCTCGGCGGCCGGCCACCAGCCTCTTGGCTTTAAGCAGTCGTGTCGCGCCCCCTTGTGCCCTCTTCCCCTCCACAACAATATGCCAGCCGTAATCCCCACCAAGTCGGCAGCGAAGCGCACGGTCGCCGAGTGTGAGTTGCGACGGGAGCGTGGCTGACGGCAGGCGATGCGATCATGACGGCGCCGGGCTCGCCGTTCGAGATGATTGACAAGGTCATCGACGGGCGCCCGTACAAGGCGTGGAAGCATGTGCGCTGCTGCTATACCGCGTTCGCTGATGCCAGAACCCAGACAACTTCCGGCAGTTCCTCACGCCGCTGTTCCAGGAGTGGAAGGACCGCGTGTTCGTCTCGTCCCCGCTCCCCGAGCCGGCGGAGTACGACGACCGCGAGCACGTCACTTATGGCCAGCTGTGGGACCGCGCCGTGCAGTGCGGGGCGTGGCTGCGCTCCAAGGGCGTGGTGTACGGCGACCGCGTCGCCGTCGGTGGCGGCAACACGACGGGCTGGATCGTGACGTGGCTCGCCATTCTTCTTATTGGTGGTTCGCCCGTCCTGCTTAACGCCACACTGTGAGTTTCAGAATTGAAGAAGCGCTGATCGCAGCACGGACGATGCCCAGATCCACTGCCTCGCCGTGTGCACGCCCAAGCTTGTGCTCGTCGACGTCAAGATGGCGCAGCAGCTCGCCGGCCTCACGACCGAGCTCAAGGCCAAGAATGTCGGCCCCGTGTACTGTTGGTCGAGCGTCGCGCATCTCGACCAGCTGGTGCGCGACAATGTTGGCGAGATCGACGCCGACAAGGTCTCGCCGCAGCTCGTGCAGGATGTGATTACCGGGCGCGGTGTCGAGAAGCTCAACGGCGACAGCGACGGCATCATCTTCTTCACTTCGGGGTGAGTCCTCCCCCCCCCAAGGCTGCTGACATCAGAACCACCGGGTACCCCAAAGCCGTGCTCTCGACGCAGTGGACGCAGCTGCACGTCGTCATCTCAGGCATCGTGCCGCTTGTCCGCGCAGTCCTCCGCGCCGGCGGCAGCCTCGCTGACCTCGCGGCGCTCATGCCCACGGAGCAGTCAACGTCACTGCTCTCCATCCCGCTCTTCCACGCGACGGGCTGCCTCTCGATCCTCGTCGCGGCGATCAAGAGCGGCAACAAGCTCGTGTTCCAGCGCCGCTGGTCGGTCGCCGACGCCGTCAAGCTCATTACGCAGGAGAACGTGCAGTCGATCGGTGGCGTGCCCGCCATCGCGACGGCAATCCTCCAGTCGCCCCTCTTGCCGAAGGACCACCAGTTCACGTCTGTAGGCTACGGCGGCGCGCCGCCCGCCAAGCGCCTGGCCGGCGATCTGAAGAAACGCTTCCCGAACGCCATGCTCGGCCACGGGTGGGGCATGACGGAGACGAACGCGCCGCACTGTTCCGTCCTGGGCCAAGACTATGTGGAGCGGCCCACGAGCATCGGCCCCGTCCTCCCGATCTGCAAGATCAAGATCGTGGATCCCGAGACGCGCAAGGAGCTGCCGCAGGGCGAGGCGGGCATCATCCTCGCATACGGCCCCAACATCATGAAGGAGTACCTCAACAACCCGAAGGCGACGGCCGAGGTCCTCGTCGAAGGGTGGATGGACACGGGCGACGTCGGGATGATCGACCCCGACGGGTTCGTGCACCTCTCCGACCGCCACAAGGACATCATCATCCGCGGCGGCGAAAACGTGAGTCGTCCACCCTGCAGCGTGCAGCACTGACCCCAGATCGCGTCGCTCGAGGTCGAGAACGCCGTCGCGCAGGACGACCGCATCGCCGAGGTCGCGGCCGTGTCGGTGCCGGACGACATCCTCGGCGAGCTCGTCGGTGTGGCCGTCTCGCTTGCGCCCGGGGCCCAGGCGACCGAAGCAAGCATCATCGAAAAGGTCACCCCGCACATCCGATACCCCGCGCGCCCTGTCATCGTGCTCATCCTCGACGAGCCCTTGCGTGAGTGAACCGTGAGACAGTGCTGACCGAAGCCCGTAACGCCAACGGCAAGATCGTCAAGGCTGACGTCCGCAAGCTTGTGCGCGCCGCGTATGCCGAGAAGAAGGCGGCGCCGCGCGCCAAGCTGTAGATGTGTGGTGTGGGAATTCAGGGGGTACATGGGCTACAGTCGAGAGTATGTATGTTCAGAAGGTAGATCGGATGCGATAGTTTGCAGGTGGCATGGGGTGTGACGATCGTCCTCGCCTCGGCGGACTTATCCCAGGTCACATCAACGGCCAACCGCCGAGCGTCTCAAGTTCGATCATGATATCGTCCGTGATCTCCTCCCGGACCAAAGTGACGCCCTGTGGCAGCTCGTTGTCAGGCGTGGACGCCGCTCACCGTCGACAGCTTCAGACTACGGTGCAACGGCTCCGTGCCAGTGTTCTGAGACCTATGGAATCTGGCGGTTATCCGCCTCGTCAGCGACGTCAAATCATCCGTGATGGCAGATATGGCAGTAAACGATCTCAAGCCCCCCCCCTTTCTCTTTCGGGCACACGCTTATCATAGGTAGGCGCTGGAGCGATGAGGATGGGAGAGTGCTCCGGGTGACTCGAGCGTGGCATCGGCACTCTGGTCTAGCTGGTCTTCTGCGGAATTCGCAACAAACAGCTTGCAGCATGAAACATGCACAGATCTCTACCAAACTCTGGAACTGGCCCCCCCTCTTGCATCACCTCGTTAGGCTCCCACCCCCCCTCCCAGTCACGGCCGCCGCACCTCCCTCAGCCTTTTGTCCCCCATTGTGCCTCCCCGGCGCAGTCAACATGCAGGAACATTTGCTCTAAACTGGTATGTTTTAGCGTGGGAAGGCGCGGCGCCGGAGTTGGCGACAAAAGAGGTTGGCGGAATGCATGGAGGTCAAGTGGTGGGCCATGGGCGGGCGCGGGTCGGGTCCAAACGTCTGACGCGAATCCCGATCGGGCAATGCGAGAGCGCGAGAGGTTGCGTCAGGCGTGTCACCGCGTGGCCGCGTGGCCGCGTGGCGCGAGGGTCTCAAACGCGTCATCTGAGGCTTGAGGGGGCTTCTGGATTGTGCCAGGGATTGAATTGTATTAGAAATGCTTGAATGCGCATGAATGTGGGACTCCATTCAAACACAGGATCAAACTGGATTAGCCCTGACGCTACTGGCCAGGGGAATGGGATCGGAGGGGTCCGGACCGGGCCTGCGCTCCTCCTGCTCCCTTGCCCCCTGGGCAGGGGGATGATCCCGGCGGAGATGGAAACTCCATCATCGTCACCGCGTCACCGAGTCATGCGATCATGCCAACTCGCGACTCACCGCGTCACCCCAGAAATCTGGCCATGCACACGCCATGCACACGCCATGCGCATCTCACGCGCTTAAGACCGCCTCTCCGCTCCGCTTCCCTTGCTCTCACAACGCCGGTACGCCGACAAGACCAGAGACCACCAAGAGCGCTTGACGCGAGACTGCTAGACGCTCAGTCCTCGGCGCCGCGGCCTCGTACCTCGTCACCTCTTCTCTTCATTTCGCTCTCTCTCGCTCCTTCAATCACAGTTACCTCGTTCGTCTTCCATCTGTCTCCTTCTCTCCTTCTTCCATTCGCTCTTCATCTCTCCATCTCTCCATCTCTCCAACTCTCCATCTTCTTATCGCACCAACACACACTCTCCCAATATTCTCAACACCGTTGCCCTCCACCCACACTAGGCCTCCCTCATTCCAAGCACAATCGCTACATCTGTCTCTCTCTCTCTCTCTCTCTCTCTCTCTCTCTCTCTCTTTCTCCTCTCCATGTCTCTGAGTGACTTGACAATCGTCCCCGCCACGCGCGAACAACAACGCCAGGCTACTGCCAACTGCTACCCACAATGGTACGCCGTGTAAAGCCCCACCTTCCTTCCAGTTACTCACCCACAGGGGTGCACCTCGCGGCGTTGCCACACTAGAAGCCTACGAGCGTATCGATGATGAGCTCAACTCGCCCGAAAATCTCTGGTCGCAACCTGGCCGCTTCACCGCCTGGGTTCTCGTTCCTCGCGCTGACCCCGGCACGACCGATATTCTCGCCGCCTGCGAGACTTATCGCCGTGTCGCACTAGTCCAGCGTCCCTGCGGTCGCGTCGAAGAAGTAGCAACATACGCCATCGCTTCCGTCTTCACTCCCGCACACAAGCGTCGCAAGGGCTATGCCAAGCACATGCTTCGCCTTGTCCACTACGTCCTCTCTCCCCGCGAGCACATGCCCCCCTTCCCCGCCAAGTGGGGTGTGCCACCACCCGCCTTCTTTGGCGACGCCGCATTCTCTGTGCTCTACTCGGACGTCGGGCCAGACTACTACGCAACGTGCACCAAGGGCGAGACGGAGCCGGGGTGGGTCGCCGTTCACTGCCCACACAGGATCTTCAAAGTACCTTCCCCCGGTCCCGGCCCAATCTCCCTCCCTCCAGATACGCAGTTGTTGAACCTCGAAGACGCTGGCGAACTCGAAGCACCCGCAACCGATACGCTCCGGCAAGAGATGCAGGAGCTTCCCTCCATCGACCGGCCCCGCGCCGCGATTCTCCCCCAGGCTGGCTGGTTCCGACAGTATCCGACGCGCCTTGAGGTCTTTGCGCGCAACATCGGAAAGGATGGAAGTCGGCATCTCAAGCGCTGCGGCATGCGCTTCGGGGAGGGCAAGGACCGGCCTTATATCTTGTACACTGTCGAGCCCAAGGAGAAGGGATCAAGCGTACTCCGCCTGCTTATCGCACACATTCAGCAGCCTGTCTCATTTGAGCAGCTGGTCGCGGCTGCCCACGCCGAGGGCGCCGAGGAGATCGAAGTATGGGGTTCAAACGGCAGCTATGACGAGCACGAGCACACTCTCAACGCTAAAGATCACATCCCGGCCCTCGCGCAGTATGGCATGGGGAGCGACGACGTTGAATGGCTGTGGAATGAGCAGTGAGTAAGGCGCAACAATCTCGCTGACAGTTAGCTGCTTCTGGTGCTAGGGTAGACTCTCGTACCGCACGCATCACTGTAGGCATACACTGGATACACACGTAACATGCTTCTCTACGGCTGTGCGCGAGCGCGACTGTGCTCACACCGCTGACTATACACTAAATCATCTGACACGAACCTCGCTACCTGCCACTCGCTACTTGGCATTGGGGGGAAACGCACCCTTGGCCGGTGCGAACACTCGTCGGCGGCAGTATATGCACAGCCCAGAGGCTTCACCACAACATACACCTGCGATCAGCTCTGCCCGCTTTGCGATCGGCAACCTACGCCCCATGTTCCTGTGCGTCCCAGAAACACCGGCGGGGGGGCAATTGGCCCACGGGCTCTCGCGGAGCTGTGGCGATGCGACGGGGGTGAGGAGGCCGGGGGATGCGGTTCCATTGTGGCCGCGCACTAACGGAAGATGCGTGGGCATGTGCGGGGGGATATAGATGGGCGCGGGGGCGTTGGCGTGGTACCCGTGGGACTGGACGGGGGCTTGCGGCGGATGTGGGTGCGGCGAGGCGCTACGCCCGTTCGCCGTCGCTTCGGGGCGTGCGGGCGAGCGCCGCCATGCGAGCGGCACAGAAGGCATGGTTGGCATGCTGGGTGGGGTGGGTGGCGCCAGGGCGCAGTAGAACGAGGTCTGGGAAGAGGCGAGGGGAGAAGACGTAGTGGGGAGTGATGCGGAAGGATGCAGGCGACGAAGATGTCGTGATATCGAGATGGTGCCGGAATGCGAGGCCGTGGTGCCTGAGCGTGATCTCGCACTGGTGGCGTGGCGCTGTGCGCATGCGCGATGGTGAAGCGAAAAATGGGCGATGACCTGTCAACTGCAAGCTGTCCGCATCCGCATCCGTGTACGGCGTGCAGTGCGAGCCAGGGCTGATGGGCGCACTGGCATGCAGGCAGGGCACCGTGCGGCGTCACGGCCGTGCGCTGGCTTCTCGGCTTCGTATGCGTTTGGGGCTTCGTGACGTCCACACATCTATCAGTCTTACGACAGCGTGTTGTCGATTCGCGATGTCGGATCGGATCGGATAGGCCTGCCACCCGCGAACGGCAGAATCGCAACCATATCAAAAAAGCGGAAAGGAGAGGGAGGGGAGGGACAAGGAGGAGAGAACCAGTACGGAACGGGGAAGTCCGACGACATCACAAGTGGTGAGTGGTTAGAGTGAGAAGGTCAGATTGATGAGGCAAGCTTAGAGAGGCCGGCCCGGCCGTGTCCGGAGGACGTGGTAGGTCAGATGGCCGTCGCTTCGGAATCCGATATACTGGGCGCTGGAGCGCATCAAGTCGCCAGAGAATCATGCCGTGGTCTCGATACTTCGGGTAAGAGTGGGGCGGAGCAATATGTACCATCCTTGAGGTATGTCAGAGAAGCAGCCCATGCGTTAGGAGGTATCCATGTGCGGCCAGCAGTTCTTTGCGCTCGCGAAGCTTCCTTCTGTGCGACTAGGTGTATCCTGCCATGGATCCATTTGCGGCGAGTAAAGATCCCCAGACGAGCCAGTTCCCGGGGAAACGATGTTCCGCTTCACTGGTAGGTGGTCAGAGAGTCAAGGCTGGTAATGATTACTGGCATGCTGGTGAACTGGCTAAGCGACACATGAATCACCGCCGGTCTTCCCCTTGCATCACGGTGACCCCGTTAGGGTCAAACGACGCGCGATCCGATCTGGCATCATCACCACTTGTGCAAGCTTAAGAACGTTACCCTCATCACATGTGCAGGCACGCCTTGGTGGTCGTCACTTGCGATATCGAAACAGCGCCATGCCGCCTACGCTACGCACGGGGGAGCGTACGGCGAGGGCGGATCGAGTGCCACATGCGCGATCATTTCGCGGACGCCAAGAAGGGGCCAGAGGGCATTTCCGACATGCCATCTTCTGGGCGAGGAACCGGACGGCCGGATACCAACTCTCAGCAGAGCAGTGATCGAGACTGTTCCAGCAATCCCCTCTCCACACGTTGCTGCGCCCCGCCGATAGCTCAGCCGCTGACGGGTTGCGACGCGATCGCGAATTGACAAAGCTTGTTGCTGGCGAGGAATAAAGGACAAGATCAACCGCGATCGCAATGACGTAACAACCTGACATGCTAGTCGCTCAGCTTTGCGGCAGTCCTCAGCTCTTGCTGTGAAGGCCCGCGCCCAAGATCATGCTCTTGCTGATCTGCCGAGCTCGTCGCGCACGTTCTGGTGGAGAACGTGGGGGAGCGAGCCGCGCGCTAAATGCTTGCGTCTCAGATGCTCGCCAACCGTCATGACCTCACAGGTACCCCACTGCTGCGCAACTCGCCTCCCGAACGCTCTCCCGGAGCATCCAATGATGTCAGGCAGAGATCGAGGTGAGCAGCGTCGTGCATACATGCACGACATGCGCGGCCGGCGTGGAGACGGCGAGGCAGAGAATAAACAAAGCTCGAAGGTGGAGATACTGACACCACATATTGACGTCATGTCACGGTGACGGTTGGTGCAGTGGCACAAGTTCGGCGTGATGTCATGGCAGTTGCCAGCACCAGCTCGCCAGCGCTGGAGGCCAGCTCGCCAGTGCTTAAAGTGGCGCGGAGAGCACTCGTTCCCCAAGCACACTCTGATACACAACACACCAGTGAGTAGTACTACGAGGTGATCGCGGGCCAAGGCTGACGGTACAGTGCAGACACACTCGGAAGTGAGCGCGCACCCGCGCTCCGGCGCCGTGACTGTCGCTAGTAGCGGCAAGGAGATGGAGGCGGATGTGCAGCGCAAGATGAAGCTTTGGGGAGTAATCGAGGGGTTCCGTGACGGGTGAGTTGTCTTCTCGGCACTGTGCAGTCGATCCGCAAGCGCGGGCAGGCTGTACCACGGGCGCCACATTGTGGCGGATGCCACCAGTCTCCGTATTCGGATCTGTGCTCACACCAGCCGCCTGCCAGACAACGAACAAATCTTCTCTGCTCTCGAGTACGCACATGGCCACTCGCCGGTGCCTCTCGACAAGCTGTCGCCCGAGGGCCGCGAGCTCGTCGAGGACTTGCGCGACATCATCAAGACGATGGGCGACATTGTGGAGCAGAAGAACGGCGACGAATTGATTCAGGAGACCATCTACAACTCATACCACATCGACCTGTCGCACGCACAGCAGCAGGGCGTGAACCCGACCAACAAGCAGGAGGCCCTCGCAGACCGTGAGCAGGCCGGCAAGCACCTGCGCGTGCTTGCAAGCCTGTTCCTCACGAACGGCGAAGTCCGCAAGCTCGTCAAGGACTTTGGTATTGTCGGGCGGGACATGTTTGCGCAGGGCGCCGCGCGCGCCGCCGAGGCCGCACGCCCTTCCGACCAGCAGCTCAACCAGGTGGACGCGCCAGCGCCCGACAAGACTTGGGTCGGGCCAGACGGGCAGACTCTGGGGCCAAACGACTCGCCCCAGCTTCAGATGAAGGCCGCCGACGGGAGCCAGATTCGGTACGACCCCAAGGACGACCCGCGCAACGCGCAGATCATCGGCAAGGACGGGAACACGACCCGCGCTGGCGACGCATACAACCAGTACCAGGACACGAAGCAGGAGGCCATGAGCCGCGCCGGCCAGGCCGGCCAGGCCGCTATGCAGGGCGTGCAGGGCGCACGGCAGCAGGGCGGCGGCCTGCAGCAGGCGTTCGCGCAGGGCGCTGAGCATGCGGCGCAGAGCCAGGGCACCTCGACCCAGCAGGGGCAGGGCCAGAACCCGCTCATGCAGAATGTGCAACACCATGCCGGCGCAGTCAACGCCCACCGCGACCCCAACGCGCCGATCACTACCCAGGCCCGGCAGGTCTTCGATGGCGCGACCCAGCACGCGTCCAACGACCCGCAGGCGCAGAATGTGCGCGACAACGCCCAGCAGCGCCTCAATGCTGCTGTCGACAAGATCCCCGAGGAGCACCGCCAGCGCATCCAGAGCGGCGCGAACCAGGTCGAGCAGATCGTCCGTGACGAGTTCCCCAAGGAGCGCCGCGACCAGTTCATCTACCGCCTCAAGAAGGTGCTCGTTGAGGTGCAGCAGCACAAGGACTACTTTGACGCTATGGACTGGCTGCTGTCCAGCGCCGAGAAGTACAAGGGCTACGGGGTACACGTCGCGCAGAAGGGCAACGAGGCGCGGCAGCAGGCTGCTAGCGACGACCACGCCACGGGCACTCTTAGCAACTTCCTCGTCATCCTCGAGCGCTTCGCCAACGGCCAGAGCCTGCAACCAGTGCGCAACGCTCTCGACCAGATCTACACGGACGCGCGCAACGACCAGCAGCTCGACGCGTGGTGGAAGGCCATCAACGACTACGTTCATGCCGTCCTCCTCGAGCCTGGATACGTCATGGAGGACGAGTGCAACGAGCACGGGCGCGCGCTGGTCAACAACGGCCGCCAGTTCTTCGAGGGCCGCTACAAGCCTCACTGGGACAACCTGTGGAATGAGCTCACCGCCTGGCTCAAGGCCTTCAACGCCGACCCGCTCAACCGCGCCTTCGGCGAGGACTGGAAGCGCCTCACCAAGAACCTCCTCTTCAACGACGAGGGCTCCCTCGCGTTCAAGCCCAAGCTGTGGCGCGACATCCGCCGCGTCATCCTCCCTTCGCTCATCCGCAACATCGGCTACGTGCCCATCCCCCGTGCCGAGTACACCGACGAGACGCTTGACCTTGTTGTCGAGAACCTCATTCTCTCGGGCCCCAACCTGTTCCCGAACATCGTCTCGCTTGAGAACCACAACTTCTTCCAGTTCAGCCCGAGCGACAAGATCAAGGACAAGAACCACAACCGGTTCCGCCTGAGCATGACGCAGATCCAGTGCGACATCCGCGACGTTCGCTTCGCCTTCCGCAAGAAGAAGGGCTTCCCAAGACTCAAGGACAGCGGTATCGCCGATGTCGTCGTCGCGCGCAACGGTATCAGCATCGACGTCGAGCTCGAGACGCTCGAGGGCCGCCGCGACACCGTCTTCGTCGTCCGAAAGGTCTCGACTGAGATTGACGAGCTGTTCTTCAAGCTCCGCGACACCAAGCACGACCTTCTGTACAAGTTCATCAAGGGTCCCGCCACGGGCGTGATCAAAAAGGCGCTTGCCAAGGCCGTCGAGGCCTCGATCCGCACCGGCCTTGAGTACGTCGACGACCAGCTCGTGGAGATCCGCAACACGATCGACGAGAGCAAGGACCAGGACGACGTCACCCGCAAGGAGGCGCTGCAGAACCTGTACAAGCGCAAGAAGTCGGAGGCGCAGGAGGCCAAGGCCAAGGCCGAGGCGCACAAGCCCAAGGGCGAGTTCCGCATTGTCATGGACCGCGACCAGAGCCTGCTCCCGAACATGTCGCAGGACCCCAGCAAGTCGATCGTCCAGCGCCTGTGGAAGACGCAGGACGCCGCCAAGTCGGGCCGCAGCTGGCACTCGCCCGCCTTTAGCATCACGTCGAGCGCACACCCCGCCACATCGGGCCGCCACCACCCCGACGCGACGCGCGGCGCCGCCACCGGCACCGGCATGACTGCGGGCATTGCGCAGGCCGCGCACAACAAGAAGGAAGAGATGTCAGAGCGCAGTGACCGCGCGACCCAGCACGGCCGCCAGGCCGAGCGCGTCGCCGATCACGTCGCCAACCAGCCCACCAGCCACCAGCAGTACGGCCAGGGCGTTGCCCACGGCCAGGGCCAGTTCTCTGGCCAGCAGGGGATGGCGGGCCACGCCCAGCAGTACCCCCAGCCCGGGCAGGGCGTGACTGGCCAGCAGGGCCAGCACGGCGGGCTCGCCCAGCAGGCGCAGCAGGCGCTCGGCGGCCACCCCGGCCAGCCGCAGCCTGGCCAGCACCAGCGTCAGTACTAAGTAGGACCGGAACGATTCAGCAGTTTCAGCAGTAATGTACGAATCTAGTATACGAGATGCAGACTATTTCCCCTGCGGTGGTATCGTTTAGAGAATCGGGGTGGAGAAGGGGGGCGCGTCGTGGAAGCATTGGCTTATCGAGTTTTGTCGTCGCAGCCATCTCCGCCGAGTTTCCTGCATTTTCCGGGGTTCGGACCGAGATTTGTAAGGCGAGGAGATGGTATATCCGGAGGCGGATCGGGGCTCCCGAGTTAGACCTCGTCGTCGTCCACTTCTCCACAATGCACTACGGGGCCCTGGCAGGGCACGGCGACACGCAAGGGCTACGGAGACATAGGAGCCAGCGCCGGATGTGAATAGGATGGTGCGGGGCATGAGCGGGCGGGGCTGCGGGGGCGGCGACATGTGGCCATGTAAACCGAACACCGAGATACCGAGGCCGGGGGATTGGGCCCCGGTGACTGCCCACAACGCACATCTCATCCGATATATATCTCGCTGGCATTTGCTCTCGTACTCGCTGCTTACACACTCTTACGCACCTCATCATGCCTCTCTCTCTCCCCACCTTCGACGAGCTCAAGAAGCACGACCCGCCCTTCAACGCGTGGAAGGACTACCCGAACGAGGAGATCGGGCGCCTCAACCTCATCACCCCAGAGAGCATCAAGCGCGGCCGTGACGCCATCAAGCATGGCATCGCCGTCAACCTCAAGTGCGTTGCCGGCTCTATGTTACAGGAGAGCTGACCCCAGCCTTCCCCTCACGACGTTCCCGTCGCTCAACCCCGCGGTGCGCCCCATGGTCGAGCACGAGGTGTGAGTAGGTCCACCGCGGATTAGAGACGTGGGAAAGTGCAAGTCGCCCACCGGTGGGCGCCTTCGCACTTCTCCGGCTCTCGACTGGGTTCGCTAAGACCCCCTGCCTGCACGGCCTGTAAGTTGGCTTGTGCTGATCCCAGCGTGTTCCGTGGGCACTGCCTTGACGACCGTGTGAGCTTCAACACACAGTGCTCGACGCAGTGGGACGGCTTCAACCACTTCCCGTACAAGAACTACCCCAAGGAGGGGGAGTACACCTACTACGGCGGGCAGAGCACCGAGGTCGCGCGTGACAAGAGCATCAAGAAGTACGGTATCCAGAGTGAGTGTCAGCGGAGGTTGGGTAAGGAGGGGTGGTGTCGGAGATCTTGACACAAATATTGCCCTCGTGCAACACTGCGCCCGCCCCCCTTTGGCCGTTCACAGCTAACCCCAGACTACGCCGAGCACCCCATTACGGGCCGCGCCCACCTTCTCGACGTCCCGCGCCACCTCGCGGCGACTGGCCAGCCGGCGCTCACCCCCCTGCAGCGCTGCGGCATCACCCTTGACATGCTCAAGGACACGGCCAAGGCGCAGGGCTGCGAGTTCGCCGAGGGCGACATCCTCATCGTCCGCACCGGCCTCACCGAGGCCATGCTTTCCCTCGGCGAGCAGGAGTACAAGGACACCCTGGCGGCCGCGCGTGGCTGGGTCGGTGTCGAGGCGAACGAGGACGTGTGGCGCTGGCACTGGGAGAGCGGATTCGCCGCCGTCGCGACAGACACGTTCGGATACGAGGTCTACCCCTTCGTGCCCGGGCAGTTGACGTGCCACGAGGTGTTCCTCGCCGGGTGGGGGCTGCCGATCGGCGAGCTGTTTGACTTGCGCAAGCTCGCGAAGGTGTGCGAGGAGAAGAAGCAGTGGACGTTCTTCTTCTCCTCCATGCCTCTCAACCTTGACGGCGGCATTGCGTCGCCGCCTAATGCGCAGGCCATTCTCTAGAGGGGGTTAGAAGTCATCAATGCATGGGATAGTAGTGTTTACATCCAGCAGGAGACTGTGCGTGCATATTGGGATGTAGAAGTTTGGCTGAAACCGTGCAGGGCATGGCTTCGGCAGAGGCGGTGAATGGGCATGACTTCAGCCGCGGCTCGACTTTATTCAACGGAGCCACAGAGATAAACACCAGGATCCGTAGCATCCCTCATTTTGTGGGTATCTCCATTGCATACCGACAAGTATTGTGTCACTAAATCTTCTGAATGTATCGTTGCCTAAAAGTTGTACAGGTCGTGGAGGGGCGTCGTGTCCTTGGCCGTGGGAACCTTGATGTCACCTGCGTTGACCTCGGGAATGTACCAGGTAAAGTCACCGTTTGCCAGCTCTGAGCGCGTGCGCCCGTTGCCGAGCCAGTTGAAGCGCGCGGGCCCTGCACGCTCATGTGGGTAGCGCTCCCAGTCAAATTCCTCCCATGCAGGCTGGAGGAGGGCGTCGTACAGGTGCAGACTGGTTCCACACCAGATGGCGCGCACCTTGCCGTCCTTGGAGCCGTTTTTGTACCAACTGCTGCAGTTTTGGGTGTGCACGGTCCGCTTGAGGTACTCGTCGATGTAGTCGGTGAAGTCGATGACGCTCTGGGTCTTGACGCAGACGCTCTGGTAGCGCTCGCGCTGGAGCTTGAAGACGAAGTGAAGGATGTGGTCGAGGATCTTCTCGAGGCCGCCAAGGTAATCGCCGTTGAAGCTCATGAGGCCGGGGCCACCGATGGTGAAATAGTTGGGCATGTCCTCGGCGTGGGCGGTAAGGTACGCCCGCGCCTCGACGGGGTACAGCTGGCTGCCGTTGCGGCCAGTGACGCTGAAGGAGGGGTAGAAGGACGTGTCGAAGCCCGTCGACCAGATGATGCAGTCATACTCGCGGTGCTTGCCGTCGGCGCCGGTCAGGCCGGTCTCGTCCACGCTGACGACGGATGTACGCACGGCATCGACGTTGTCCGAGGTGATAGCGTTGAAGTAGCCGACAGCCGGCGTGAGGCGACGGCACCCAATGCTCCACTTGGGTAGGAAGAGGTCAAGGAGGTCGGGGCGCTTGGCGAGCTTGGCCTTGGTCATCTCGACGTACATGGCCTCGCCCTGCTTGCGCGCCTCACTGTCGAGCTCGGTGAGACCGTAGGCAAACATCTTGTTGGTGCTGTCCAGGATGTCCTTGCGGTGCTTCTGCATGAACGCCGCGTCGTTCGTGAGCTTTTCCTTCTGCTCATCCGAGTAGAACGGGTTTGAGAAGCTCTCTTCATCACTGCTGAACGCCTGGACGGGGTCAAGGCCCCAGAAGGCCGCGCGCACGTCGGCGCCGAACGGCGTGACAACCCATGTCTCAGACCGGATGTACTGGTCGACGTGAGCGGCCTCCTTCTGGATCTCTGGGAGGATCTGGAGCGACGTCGAGCCCGCACCCACAAGCGCCACGCGCAGGCCCTTGAGCTCGGATGTCGGCGTCTTGTTCCACTTCGCCGAGTGGAACTGGCGTCCCTTGAACTTGTCCATCCCGGGGAGGTTGGGAAGCTTGGGCTTGGAGAGCACGCCCGAGCCGTTGATGAGAACGGGGGCCGAGTCGGTCCACTTCTCACCGGTGTTGACATCTTCGAGCTCGACCGTCCACTCGGCAGCGTTCTCGTCCCACTTGGCACTCAGGACGCGTGTGTTGAACCGCGTGATGTCGCGGATGTTGGTCTTGCTCGCCGCGAACTCAGCGTAGCGCTGGCAATCCTCACCCGGCGCCTGGAACCGACGCCACCCGCCCCACGGGCACCAGCTCAGAGTGTATCCGTGGCTCGGGACGTCGCACGCGACGCCGGGGTACGTGTTGTTGTACCAGGTGCCGCCTACGTCGGGGTTACGCTCGTAAACTACGGCCTCAATGCCGGGGCCATACTGCTGAATGCGCGCGGCGAAGTGCTATCGTCAGCCAAGCTCATTCTCAGCTCCGCAGTCGGCTGACACAGACACGTAGCCACTCACAATGCCGAGGAGGCCCGCCCCGATGAAGATGACCTTGTACGGGCGGCAGTCGCGGATGGGGTGTCCCTCACGGACGATCTTGGGTTCAGAAACCATTGTGATGCGAAGTACGGGACGCTTGTGATGGGGAATGGGGCACTCGCCGGCGCCTCATCTGGTCTAAGTACGTCTCAACACGATAGCCCTCGGTTGCGTAGCGCGACGCTGCCGGCAAGGCATCCGGTACGGTTGTCATGTGATGCGCTAGCGAGATTCCGGGTTCACAATGAAATCGAGACGCCGCCTCTCGTGATGCCCGGTTAGTCAAGGTGGGCTGGATGTTGAGGGCAATGCATGTCAAACGCAAACCGTCCGGTCCCACGCCGCCGGCTATCGCCGGGACGCTCCCGCAGGTCCCCGCACAGTATGAATGCCGAGCCACGTGACACACATGATTACGAAATCTCGGATCAACGGTATCGATGTTCTATCGTTGTCGGTGCCGAGATATGATGCGGAAAGGTGTAAGCGTGTTGAGGGTGCAGCTTGCGATGGTGTGATGCAGAACCCACATGATCCCGCGTGGCAGATCCCAAAGGCTGAGCAGACCGCCAAACCGCCATAGTCGTATCTCAACACCCCTGAGCACTCGAGACAGCCAACATGGCAGAGATCGCCGACAGGCAGCATATTCATCCGTTACCTCTGATTTACGGCCGTGCAGCCAACTGAGCTCACTCAGCGAACTGGGCTCACTCAATGCTAACATCCGACGCTTCCCCGTCCACAGGGCGCTCAATATGGCACCAAACGCAGTACAAGGTGCGGGTCGGGCCGGACCGCACCCACTCGCAGGGGACTAATCTCAGCTGTGCTCCGACGTGAGGGGAAACGCACGGTGATAGTAGCGCATGGGGCAAGGATAGTAGCCACTGTTGCTGACGGTGTTGTTGCCATTGACTTTGTCGTGGTCGTTGTTGTCTTCGTTGTTGTTGACGTGGTTATCCATCACGTTCGTGTGCTGGCGAACGTTGTCGTTGGTGTGGTCCTCCATATCGTTTGTGAGTGGGCGAGAGCGGTCGCTCGGATAAGGGTTTGAAAGGAGGTAGAAAGAAGGATAAAGGGCTAGTGGAGAGATGGCAGGACGACAATAATATTGGAAGGTTGGCTGGTCATTAAATATCGCGTCGTGGGCCTCTCACCACGTCTCTCAAGTCGTCATGCGGTGCGGATGTGCCTCAAGACAGCAGACGGTTCCCAGATGTACACGGTGCGAGGTGGAAAGCCGACTCAGCTCCACTCACACAACGAGGCTGGAATGTGACCTCTTAAGCTCGCAAGCTCTCTCCTCAGATGTCAAAGTCAGGAGAAAGTCTCGCCTCGCACCGGCGGCCGTGCGACTTTAACCATATTCCACCACTACCCACAAGACCGCACCTAACGTGGGTTCTCCATGCTGTGTGAATGGCTGTAAATCGCATATCTCTGTGTATGTGTGATTTGCGCAAGGGAACGGAACGGCAAAATATGACTGACCGACTATGCCTTAGTCCCCAGGAGCGTACATTCCTGCCCTGCTCGTCACCTTGCTCCAATCCCGCGGCTGCAGCCTTCCACGCAGCAGTTCATTGCCCCACATAATCATCTACAATGCCGTCGCATAGCTCTTCATTGAGGGTCTTTATTTAGGCAGGCTTGTAACGAGGGGTATCAATGCACGAGGCTTTGCACGCGGTGCAGTTGAACACGGGGCGGCCCACGGAATGACCAGGGTAAGTCACCCACGACAGCAGCATGGCGCAATGCGTTCGACGGATCTCTGTGCTTCAGCAACTGAGCAGTTCTGACTCACTGGCCATGCACAGGTGCATGCCGTTACAGGGGCATATGACAGTCCGGGAGGGGCGAGGCATCGAGTTTGCGTGTGGGGGGGTTATTGGGCTTGCCCTGGGCTGATTGCAGTCCGATGGGCTGTGGAGTTGGGCAACGTATCACGGGGAAAAGAGTGGTAACAACGACACGATGGCCGCAAGCAAAAGTCACCATAACACAAGAGTTGCAGAGGCCGCAGAGGAGCCCGAAAGGGGGATGGGCGAAGCACGGCGGCGGGGGGGCAACATCGGAGGAACTGGCACAGTATTATCCAGGACGAAGCGTGTGCATCCTTTTTCTCGGATGATCTCAGATGACTCCCCTATCAGCGGAAAGGCTGAATTTTGAAGCCCCACTCTGTTTGCGGAAGGCATACCAAATCCAGCAGTGTTCCAATTAGCAAAGGTCTTTGGGGTCGGCTTGTCACAAACCCACACTCAGTGCGAGATGGGGAGCAGGTCGCCGCACCGACGTCACCACTGGCTTTCCGTGAGAAGAGGACGTTTGGGGGTGCAGTGTGCATGAGTGGCCTCCACGCTCGCTGGGATGTGAAACACACACGCCTTGGGAACTCTGTGCCACGTCACCAAGGTGAGGTCATTGTCTCTACTTCAATAGAGTCACAGGTCGGTAGGATTATGAGCAAAATTGAGAGGGTGATGTACGACGGCAGTGAGTTGGTTGCACAAAAATTCAGTGCTTCTGATGGCGAACTTCTCCATACCCGCTGCTGATCGGATGACATTTGTTTTGGCTGTGATGACGAAGCGGGGACGAAGTCCGCCCAGTTTGAATGCCGTGCTGAAAAGGTGAATGTTGTTGACTTCGTGATGAGGCACAATGGGTACGATCTCTATTCTATGCATAACCAGTAGGACTTCACCACATGCCCGTGTCTATGAAACTCTCCTCGTACTTGATGGGCTTGGGCTGCTCGATGCGGCGCATAGGCACCAGACCCACCTGCGTCGTGTGCGTCGCTGGAGTGGGCGGCCTCTGCGTTCGCCCAGGGGCCGAGCTGTCTTGCGACAAGTTAGTCCCGGGTGGAAGATCGGTCTTCTGCTTGGCTTTGCCCTTGCCCTTCCACTTCTCTTCGTGCTCTACCTTCACCTTTCTCTGATTCTGATTTTTGCTCTTCGTGGAGACGGGAGATGCCTGTGGCTTTTGCTGTACGTGCAAGGGCGGGTGCGACTGATGAGTCCCGGACGTGAATGTGTTTGACTCGTGTGTCGCGGTCGGGCGAGCTTCTTTCTTCATGGGTTGTTGGTAGACGGTCAGGGCCGGGCCTTCGGGGGTCGCGGACTTGGAATTCTGCCGCTTGAGCGTCGCCGAAGGGGGGTTACCAAACCTGTGTTGTGTCAGGACGTTGTGGCCCTGCGTCTCTTGGTCTTGGGATATCGGCCTCTGGATAGACATGTCTTGCGTTTCGGGCGTCTGGAGCATCGAGTCTGCTTCCGAACTGCCATCCACGAAGGCCTGTCCCCCGCCCACGTTGTATACTTCTTGCCTCCACCGCATCACGTCTCTCTGAGACAGTCCTTGACCGCGATCCAGTGTTTCCGACCAGTTCACGGAAACCGCATCGCCCGTCGTGTAAGGGTAGAGGACGGGCTGATAATGATGGTCCGCGTGGTAGTGATGCACGGCGTGCGCAGGGGGAAGGGATGGGTGTGTGGCGTGTGACGGGTGGGACGGGTGAATAACCTGCGGAGGAGGGAAACCTCGCGGGGGATTGACAACGTGCGGGGGATAGAAATCCTGGCCAGGATGGACAGCGTGCGGGAAATGGAGATCCTGGGGACGATGGGGAACCTGCGAGGGATGAAGAGCGTGCGGGAGACGAAGAGCGTGCGGGGGACAGGGAACCTGCGGAGGATGGAGGGCCGGCGACGGGGGCTTGATATGTGGCTGATTGGTCGCGTGCCACTCATGCATTGCATGGGGCGGCGGCTGGCGGGCGGCCTGCCACCCGTGTATTGCCTGTGATGGATGTATCGCTGGGGGCCCAGGTATCGCAGGCTCCTTGTACATCGCCTGAGGTTGAGTCCTCCTGGACTGGGGCTGCGGTGGCGCGTGCGCCTGCAACCGCGACTGGTCTCCCATCCGCCTGTGCTGAGATCCGGGCACGACAGGAGGGCGCTGACTCTGCACAACTTGAACGTTGGACATGGGTTGACCACGTGGGGCGTGATGCGCAGACATAGGCTGTCCCTTCGGCTCGTGCGTTGCAGAAGCGCGCTGTGGAGCACGCACAGGTGGCGGGCGCGGCGGAGCATGCTCCGCAGGAGCGGGCTGCTCCTGCGAGCCGCGCGATACCGGTACCGGGTGACCCATGGAGTTTGGCATCCGGAAGAGTCCCTCTTGAGCGATAGGCGGCACACGTGCGTGCTGCATCTGCGGCGGGCTCGGCATGAGCGTGAAGAAGTCCTTTCGGTTGGGCCGCCAGAACGTAGGCGCCATCTGCGGTTCTTGTAGCTCAAGCGGGCGCTGCGACGGAGCAGTCGCGGGAAGGGAGTTCGCAGGTGGCTGGCGGGTCATGGACTCAAGCTGCCCGCTCGGCGTGCCCATTGGGAAAGGGGGCTGCCTTGGATTCGTCCGCATCATCGAGTTGTCCGCTGGCGACATGAGCATCATGGCAGTGGAAGGGCCGGGCGACTCACATTCGGTGTGTCCTTGAAAAGTTGTCGGGACAGGTCCCTCTGCGTTTGAAGCGCCGTTGTTTTGGGCCCACATACTCTCCCAGCGATCCTGGCACTTCTGCTCCGTAAAGCAGAGCCCTTTGCGGCAGTGGCCACAGCTCCATCCGAAGATGAGGCTGTGTGGGTGCTTATCCGTGAGTCGCTCGAAGTGATGGGTCCCTAAAATTAGCGAGACCCCCAGATGAAAATCCAAGAAACTCTTACCGGTTGGGCTCTCCGTGCAAGGCTGATCGCGGCCGGTTTGACACATGACGAAGGACGGGTGGAGCGAGAAGATACGACGCTTTCGTCCGTTAATAAATGGTGCTGAGGTCGGCCGTGCGAACCTCGCACCCCCACCGCATCCGCAAGTTCTCAGAGGCTCAGTGTATGCGAGTCCATGTCCGTCCTCTTCTCACGGTTTGGTCCCCACCAAATTCGCCTCTCCTCCTTATAAGGACGATGTGGCGCCGTCCTCTGGCCTTGGCTCCCCACTCACACGCACTCAGAACGCAATCTCACTTTCCCACTGCCTCTAGCACACCTCCGAGATGTGCCACACACTCTTTGCTGTCTGTTCTGAACCGGCAAGAAGCTGTAATGGGCTGGTGACGGATGTCATGGTCTTTGTGCGAAGCTTGAGGCCAGTGTGTTGTCCTCGCTTGCAGGGAGACGTGGGGGTCGATTCTCGCCGGGGAAGAGGCGACGGAGAGTAGATACTACTACAGTGCCGACGCTAGTCACATGAAGTTGTTCTAGACAGCACTGCATTAGTATGCGGCAGTTCCCTCTAGCCGGAGATGATGATGTCAAGGTCAGTGGAAGATTATGGCTATGAAAAATCACACGCGTGCGGCCGTTGACACGTGACGCATTCCGCCCATCGTCGATCCTCAGAAACCTGCCTCCAATCACTTCCGCAACCACGAGATCCAATAGCCAAATTTCGGTGTCCTTTGTCAGGTATGACTGACCATTTTTGACCATCGATGCAAGCATTCTCAGAGCTTCGACTGCTCTTTGTTGTGGAGGCAAGTAGTTGACATTTCAGAACGAAGGCAAAAGCTGTCTGTGGGCAGCGGAGCGCGGCGACCGGCAAGTCGTTCTCCCACATCAGCCCTCGAAAGGTGTGCGCGGTTCAGAAAATAAGAGAGGTTGACATCTGACATCTGTATGGACAGAATTGCTGTGCCACTTAAAACTGGAAGGAAACTTGTCGGAACCCGCGGAAATTATTGTACAGTAGTGCTATTGCATTACTCATAACGAGAGTCGAAGAAATGGAAGTGATGAAACGTACAAAGCGACACCTACGAAACATTCATCAGAGAGCTAGGCCATTGCGACAAGTACGGTATTTTACTCATCAGTAAATTCAGGAGCAGACACGGTGATGGCAGACCAAACTCCTTTGTACAAGAACGGACGAATGGCTACAGGGTCAGATCATCAGCCAAACCGGGCGATTAGCAACATATGGTATTGTCCAAGCAATTGGGCTCTCGGGAAGCAGAATAGCCACACGCGATGGATGTTGGCGATAAGATGCTGTCGACCGGTCGCGGTCGGGATTGCTCGGCCCAGCCTCAAAACGGCCACTGCTCATTCATACCTTCCGCACACGTCGACCAGCACTCCGAAGGGAGCCCCGTCCATCCGTACCCGAAAACCGAGCCGCAGGGACTGGACGGGGTCGGATCCGCGAGGTAGTCCGCACAGGGGGCGAGGTCGGGGCAAGCGACAGCGCGAGCGAAGGGGTGCACCGCCTCGCAGCCGATGTGGCGGCCACAGAGGGCGTCGAGCCACAGAAAGGGGAGCTGGGAGCAGAGAGGATGAATTGGGCACTCGTAACCAATTCTGCTGCACATACGGGAATGAAGAGCGGTGACGGAGGCGAGTAGCTTGGGGAATGTTGGGAGGAGGCGAGAGAGCTAGCGGCGAAGGAAACGTGGATGAGAGCGAGTGATATGAATGCTGACTAGATGTGACGAGAGCAGGAGGGGTTGCTTCATTTTCTTAATGCGTCGCCCGTCGTCTCTATCGCTCACTTTTGCAGCGATAACCGTAAAACATCGAGGCATCAATTTGCCCCCCGATGTCGCCCGCAATGAGCCCGCTTTGTGAGTAGCGTCTTTCATCACTCTGACTACTGTTCGTGCTGTGCCACTTATATCTGAACCTTGCATTCACTGCTGATGACCGTACAACCCCTCCCCCGCGCCCTTCACTCTATCGACTAAATCTTACTCTTTAGCAGGAACTTGTTGGGGATATCAACGTGGCGGGCACGCAGGAACTCCGCGACGCCCTTAGCGAGCGAGTCCATGCGGACCGTCGAGCTGACGCCGCGGCCAAGGTAGTCGTGCACGACAAAGTGCACGGCGAGCATGCCGGGGAACTCGACGCGCTCGATGCGGTTACCCTTGAACTCGTCGCCGAGGAGCTCGACCATCTTGCTTTTGCTCAGCAGCGTGCGGAGCCACTCGTACTCGTCTTTGTGGCGGACGAAGAAGCCGACATTCGCATTTCCGCCCTTGTCGCCGGAGCGCGCGTGCACGACCCACCCGAGCGGGCCGGGCGTCGTGGGCCCCCACTTGTCCGCGAACGCGGGCGGGTCGTAGTCGCGCTGCGGCACGACGGGCTTGGTCTCGGCCGGCGAGATCGGGTCGACGGGGATCTTCAACAGGCTGCCGACGAAGCGCACCGTCAGCGGCAGGTGGCGCACGTGCACCCGCGCCGGCCAGTACTCCATGAACGGGACGGGGATGCAGGTACGGCTGTCCATCTGCCACTGGAAGCCGGGGAAGTGGCCCAGCCCGTCGGGGTTGACGAGGGGCAGGAGGTGCCCGGCGGGCCCGAATGCGTCGAGGCTCTTCGCCTGCACCATGACGCGGAGCATCGCCGTGCCCTCTGCCTCGGTGCGCGCGTTCTCCTTCGGCACGCCGTACTGCGTCATGTCGAACACGTCAAACTCCTTGATCTTCGGGCCCAAGTTCTCGTAGATCTGCCGCTTCATCACCTCGAACTTGTCGGGGATGTCCAGGCCTGTCGCGGCGACCCAGCACTCGGCCTGGTATCCGGCCACGCCGCAGATGCCGACCTTGGTCGTCTCGGGCGGCGCGACGCCGCGCACGCCGTCCACGCGCACGCGGTTGCGTCCGAGGTCCGTCACACGGATGTCGTCGATGAGCGCCTGCACGTCCGGGTTGAGGTACACATTCCCCTGGATCTCGTAGAGGATCTGCGAGCGCACCGTCACGTCCGTGACGACGCCGTTCATCTCGGGTTCTGGGGTGAGCGTCGCCGGCGGGACCCCCACGCTTTGTGACGACGAATGTCCCGTCCTTTGCGATCTCGGCGATGCCCATCGCAAAGTTGAAGTACTGGTCCTTGAGGGCGCGGAAGCCGCTCGAGTTGCCGCCGGTGACGTACGCGCCGCACTCGACACAGTGGCCCGCGAGCAGCGCGCCCGCGAGCTCGTCGTACTGGTCCCACCGCCAGCCGTGGAACCACGCCGCGCCAGCGATGACGGGCGACGCGTCCGTGCAGCGCCCGCTGATGACAATGTCGGCGCCGGCGCGCAGGGCGGCGACGATGCCGCGCGCGCCGACGTACGCGTTCGCGCTGGCCGGCTTGAGGCGCCACGAAGAGAGCGGGCGCGCATAGTCCTCGAGGTGCGGGAACGTCTCGCCCGCCGCGGCGAGCTCGTCCAAACGATCGATCAAGTTGTCGCCCTCCACGTACGCAACTTGCAGGTCCTCGATGCCCTCCTGTTCCAGCAGGGCCACCACGGCCTCGGCGAGCCCGCGCGGGTTCAGGGCACCCGCGTTCGTGATGATCTTCGGGCGCTTTTCCGCGATCACGGACGCAGCGATCTTCAGGTGGTGGAGGAAATTGCGCTCGTACCCGAGCTCGGGGAACTTGCGCATTTCGAGCGCGCGCGTCGCGAGGTTCTGGTGTGAGCGAGATTGGGGCGAATGGGATGGGACTGGCGAGGATGTCAAGAACAACAAGGTGTGCATACGCTGGAGCTCATGCCCACTCCCCAGCCTCCACTCACCATCTCAGCAAGGTAGTCGCCGAAGAGAATATCGCAGCCCGAGCGCGCCGCCTGGTCCTTGAGCGCGTCCGAGCGGTCGCCCGAGTACCCGCTGAACGCGGCAATGCGGAACACGCCATCGGTGGAAGCCTGTGAGACAGTCATGTTTGCGATGTGAGGGAGAAAGCAAAGAAGAGAGACAGTGGGCAGGCCAAGATATGGGCTACAGAATGTGAGACTAGAACGCTACGAGGCCAAGACGGACGGCGTACCCCGTGGGCCACCGGTCAAGCATGTGCCCGAGATGAGATGCGGAGTTGACCGACGCGGTGCTCGGTGTTGAATGCCGAAGTTCCGCGTGGATTGGGCACGGACAAAAATAGAAGACATGGACGAGTTAGGAATCGAACCAAAGACCTTGTCAAGAAATGAGATGATCATGCTAATGACACGCTCTACCAACTGAGCTACACGCCCTTCGCCTGATGCTGAGATTGCCGCTGGAGCGAATCCCGCCTTCCCGTGTCCTGGCAGCTCCGTCAAGCGCGCGCACATCCTCTGATTGCTTGGCCGCCTGCGTCTCCTTTCAGCCCTTGCCTGCGTCACTCCTTCTAGTCTTATCGGTGTTGAGCGAGACGAGTCAACAGATGCAAGTCCTGAGCGTCCTTCCCGCTCGTAAAGAGTGTTTGATCCCCTGCCGTCACTTGGGCATGGGTCGGATCTGTGGGAGAGGGCTGGGCAAAGCCAAGAGAGTGCAAGGTCAAGTGCGGAACGGAGAGCCAAGAGACTTGGCTCGGGTCATGAGGTGCCCCTACGATGACGTTAACCCGGATGTCCGTCTGTAAGCGTCGATGGGCCTGACACTGCAGTGTGGTTTGCATTTTCTGCGAATTCCTGTGAGAGTCGACGCAGGCTGCAGTGCGAGAGACGTGCGAGAAATGCGAGTAGTGAGCGAGCAGTGAGAGCATGCCACGAGCGCCACAAAGCCACAAAGCCACAAGATCAGCTCGAGGATCCAAGGACACGGACCCAGGACGAGGGCCATGACGTCCAGGGACATAGGGAGACCCTGATCTCGGCCTCGAATGCTCGGCGCTTTCTGTGACCAGCACCGATAACACATGCATCCCCCTCCCGATTCGCAAAGGAAAAGCGCAGCGACGTCAGCCGAGGGATGGGGATGGCGCGGATGAGAGAGCATGTTTGTTGTGCGGGAGTTGTGGAAGGGGGGCAATGTCCAAGGCTTGGCGATGTGTGGTCCGTGGGATGGGCCAAAGGTAATTGTGTAAATTGATCAAGAAGAATTCTAAAGGATCTCGGCCTCCCCTTGCTACCCTGCTCACCCTACACTCCCTGCAATTAACCGGACTCGCCCAGCGTCCAACCGCCCGCAGCGATGCATTCAGCAGCAGTGTTTGGGACGTGCAAGGGCTTGGCTCGACGCGTTTGGCTTATGCCGAGACTTGGGGATGACGAGAATATCCATGAGAGATTGGATAGAGTAGCTGTGGAATAGAAAGAGCAGTTACGATTAATAAGGCCCACATTGCACTGTCGGGCTGCACCGACTGCGCATGGAAACCCTGGACTTGAATCTGTGCCTCTCGATCTGCTCGCTCTCGTCTCTTTCGTCTCTTGGTCTCTTCTCATCTGTCTCTTCTACTCTTTTGCTCTTTACCTCTCTCTCTCGTCTTTTCTCTTGTCCTCTCGTCGTCATCTCCTCCCTCCATCCTCCCCTCGGACTTTATCCCCCCTCTCAACTCCTCCTCCACCCCTCGCCCCCCAACTCCTCCCTTCCACCATGCTCGGATTGTCACGCTCCACCACCCTCGCCCTCGTCCTTCTCGCCCTCGGCGTAGTCGCCCAGGACACTGGCACGGGCTCCACCGACACGGGCGCTTCTGGCGACACCGGCAACACTGGCGACACCACCACCACCACCGCCACTGACGGTTCGATGGGCGATGGCACGGGTGTGTCCGCGTCTCCCGCCGCTTCAGCCGTCGGCTCTGCGCCGGCCGCCTCTTCCGCTGCCGGCCCCGCTGCCAGCGTTTCCGGCGCCGGCGCCATGCCAAGCGGCACAACGGGCAACGGTACGGTGGGAAGCGACACGGACATTCCAGGAGGCAATACCAAATGGAACAAGACGTGGTTCTACATGCCTGACCGCAGAAGAGACGGCTACTGTGAGTGCTTGCGGCTTGGAACCGATGGTGTGAGCTTCTTGGCATACGAAGGGCGATGCTGGGCGCTGTGCATCACCGTGTGCCGCATGCGCTGCATACTACACACGCATTTTGCATATTGGCGGATGGGGCGAATCCAGGAGTGCTGCGCTCACGGGACCGCCCGTGCAGCGTCCATTCGCCCCACTCGCTCTCATTCCAGGACAGTCGAGTGCGAGTGCGGCAGCCTTCTTCATCTCTGGTCTTTCTTTACAACAACAATGCTGACTCTTGCGCAGGGGTCAACGGCCTCGCTAACGTAGCTGCGTGGAAGCCTGTCCCCGACCCAGCCGACATCATTCTCGTCAACAGCGCCAATGCCGGCTTTGCTCAGCAGGTCGTGTACAAGGACAGTGAGTGACCATGCCCCATGTCGAGAATGCACCTCGCCGTCACCGACCGACGCTCCGGTGTCCGACACACTCGAAATCGCACCGCCTTTCGCTTCATGCCTTCGTTACTTTCTCATTCTCCCCTCCTTTTCTCGCCGTCGCCGCCATGTGCTAACTCCAGTCCCCGGTGGTGTGCAGAACGTCAACGTCACCATCAACGACATCCCCGTCGGCTCGGGCTACGTGATTTGGCTGGTCGAGGCCGGCACTACGAGTGAGTTCCTACATTGCCAAGAGGGCAGCGACGCATTGCAGACAGCTAGTGGGCTGGCAAAATGGGGATGGCTGGGCGGCAACATCGCCGTGCCTTGCCAACCCGCCGACCAAAAAGGCTTGGCATAGTTCATCTTTATGCCGCCCTCCTCTCCTCCCACCCAGCACCCTCGGCTTTCCCATCCATCGGCATGCATCCGTGGGATACCTCGAGCCCGAGCTAATCTCCAGTCAAGCTCGGCCAGTCCTATGGTTTCTCGATCAAGCCCGCGGGCACGGAGCAGGGCAGTACGGCAACGACACCGTTCGCCGTCCCGTCCTTCAACCCGAACCCGAACGGCGAGGCGAATGGTGCAGGCGGTTCGGCAGCCACCAACGGCGCCATTGTCGCCGCAGCAGGCATGATCGCGCCCAGCTTGATCGGCATTGGCGCCGGCGCCCTCTTTGGCTTCTACGCGGCGATGTCAGCGATGTAATCGTCGTTGGACTCTCCGGTCTCGGTCTCAGTTGTCACCCCCGCGGCCTCGCCTCCTCTTGGCCCTCTCTCGCCCTCTTCTCACACACAATCATCCTTTCACCCCGCACAGTCTCGCACTCTCTGATATACGCGTCAGCCCCCCAACCTCGGCAAGCCGCCCAGGTTGGCTTAATCCGCGCGCCGACCCAGCGTGACATTGGTCGGGCGCGCCACGCGGTGCCATGTACGCATGCTCGCACACTCCTCACTTCCCTTTACGGCTCATCCTTAGAGGCTTTGTCGGCTCGGCTATGGACTCTGCATCTCCTGGTCATTGTAGTAATGTAGCGACGATGAGGACATGGGTGTGAGTGGAGGGATTTGTGAGTCTGGATGGATCCTGTAAGCTGGATACGAGGTGATGGTGCCTGCTGCTTACTGCACTCGCAGAGCGTCCGGAGCGCCTGGACGGTGCATGGACGGCATGGAGTGGGCTGCCGGCCTCGACCCCGCGCGGGCCGCGAGGCAATGTCGTAAGACGCGCCGGAAACGTTCCAGTCCCCTCTCGGAATCCCCTTTTGGGTGCGCGTCTCGATCTTGATCAAACACGCCGGCTTCGCATTGCATGTCGCGTGTTGCAGCTCGCGGCTAGCTAGTACGAGTAGTGTGGACAGGGACGCGGCCACGCGCATGCGCGCAACGCCCACGTCCTGGGCCGATGAGTTTGGTGCTGCGCTGGAGCGCTCGCTTGACGAAGAAAGCAATTCTCGTTGCACGCCTCGACGCGTCCTCGCTCGGACCTCGCGAACACAGCGCCCATTCGTTCTACTGTATACTCCGCGTTGACACGACCAAGCAGCATATGTACATGCAAGCAACTGCTCAACACGTCAACAGGCCAACAGGATGCAGGATGTACTGTACCCTCTGGGGTATACTGTAGGTCCCAACTGGCGTGACATGTTCCCCCTCGTCTCCCCTCCGTCCTGTGAGCTGTACCTGTCACCCCACTACCCGCTCTTGATCTCTCTTGATCTCTTTCTCTTTCTCTCTCGTTCTCATCATCTCTCTCTGCTCTCGGCGCGTTCATGTCGACTCCATAATCTCATTCGCGCGCAAACTTCCTCCCACTCCGCCCCTGTTTCTCCACTCCCCGCCTCCACCTCCGCACCTCGGCACCTCGACGCCATGCCCTTCAAGTGGCTCAAGCGCCGCCGCAACACGCTCGCGGCGGACACACCAGCACCCTCACTCCCTCCGCCCCTTCCAAGTCCACGGCACTCGCACTTTGCCGCACAGCAGCGCGGTGCTTCGAGCGCGACATACGCGCACCCCTCAACGCCAAGTACGGGCAGCACGCCGAGTGAGGCCCCGAAGATCCGTGCGTTTTCTATCGCTCCATCTCACCTTCACCCACTCCTCATCTCCATCCACCCGGTCTCCACCCCTCCCCCTACTTACACTAGGCCGCCGCAAGTCGTTCTTCCAGACCATTGGCCTCGCAAAGGACAAGGACAAGGAGCGCAAGCGCGCCAGCTCGTTTTCCGCCCCGCCTCCGCGCTTCGACAGAGACGCGCCCCCCGTACCCCCACTACCCAACGGCGCGACGCCTATCGCGTCCCAGTTCGCGCCGCCGCAGCGTCTCGAGCCCGCTCCTCCACGCAAGCGCAAGAGCCTCATCCCGCGCAAGGCGCCGCCCAGCGCATGGGCCGGCGACGCCACCCCCGCGGGGGCGCCCCCTCCCGTCCCGCCCATCCCGGCCGCCGCGAAGCCCAACCCACCAGCGCCCCTCCCACGAACAGGGCCGCTCGGCGCCGTCCAGTTGGACGATATACGTGGCGGCGAGCTGCCCGATAGTCCGCCATTGCAGCTGGGCGCGGGGCAGTTTAGCGCGCTCGACGCGCTCGACCGCCTGGACGCGATTGGGACGCTCGACCTGGGATCCAGCCTCACTCAGCCCCAGCAGATCTCGCGCGTACCACCATCGTCGTTCGCTTCGGGCGCAGCGAGCAAGCGCAACAGCATCCCTGCGCTCGATAAGCCGCTACCCTCACCTGGCATCGCGCCGCCAGCGACCAGCAAGCGCGCATCGCTTGATCCTCGTGCGAGCTCCGGCGCAGGCTTCCCACAAATCGACCGATCAGTGCTCTCGCCCGGCATGTCACTCAGCGCGGATATCCCTGCGCTCCCAGTGAAGGGGACGCGCAAGAGCGTGACTCCGGAGACGTTCGCCCCGAAGAGCGCCAGTATCCGCACCGCGTCCTCCAGCTCGGCGGATACGCGCGCCACATCCGTGCAGTCGAGCTACCGCAAGCCGCCGCCGAGCAATGTAGAGATCGTGCCGCTGCCAGATATCCTGAACCGCCCAACGGCGGGCTACGCTGCGCCAGCCGGTGTGGACAGTGCCGTCTCGGCACAGGAGGGCGTAGAGGCGCCCAAGCCGCCCGCAAAAGTCGCGAAGGGCGCAAAGGACATGGAGGACGCGCCCAAGCCGCCCGCGAAAGACACAGTGAACGCGCCGACACCTGTCCCATCACGCGACCCAGAGCTTCCTCCTATCATGGGCGGGCCGGAGAAGATCCAGGCCACGTTTGGCAGTGCGGGACAACAAGCTGTCGAGTCTAAGGAGAAGCCTCAGACGTCACGCGCAGCCGAGTCGCAGTCCGGCCCAGATGCGCGAGCACCTCAAATTCCGCCGATCATGGGCGGGCCGGCCAAGATCCAGGCTGTGTGGGAGAGCAGTCACACCTATCGGGAGGAGAAGGCTCGGGAGGAGGCGAAAGCAAGGGAGGAGACGAGGACTAAGGAGGAGACGAGGGCTAAGGAGGAGACAAGGGCTAAGGAGGAGACGAGGGCTAAGGAGGAGACGAAACAGGAAGCGGAGACGTCAAAGCAGGGCGACACCCAGGCCGAGAGCAAGCCCGAAGAGTCCAAAACGCAGGAAACGACCGACGACACAACTTCCTCCGACGACAAGCGAGCGGCCGTCGACACAACACCTGTTGCCACGGGCGAAACCGAGGAGATGGCAGACGATGTTTCGGAAGCGGCGTCCGATGTCCAACCCATCACGACTGAGGGGCTCGGCCGCGCACGTCTTACCTCAACATCGACGTGGGGCGCATCAACAGAGCAACTAGTGGACCGCGCACCATCGGAGCCGCGGATGAGCTTTGACGCGCCGCGGCCCGTTAGCGCATTCGTCGACCGGCCGATGTCAGGCTACGATGGACAGTTCTTGGGCACGCCGCCCAGACTACCTAGCACGCAGACGTTCGGTAATCTGCCGGGCACAACGACATTCGGCGCTCTGCCGCGTCCAACGAGCATAGCCGTGCCCGTTGAGGAAGACGAGGACGAGCCGCCGCGCACACTCGGAGCCGTGGCGGAGAGTGAAACAGCGCAGGAAGCAGCCCACGCCAGCGTCCCCGCCGACGAAATGGCTCCCACACCCTCCCCGCTCCCCGTGACGCCGCCCCGCCTACCCGCCATTCTCCCACCTTCACCTGGCGTGCCAGAGCTGTATACGCCGGACGCGACGCCGCCCTCGCAAAACATCCACACACCCGCGCCTGACCACCCCGAGCCATTCAAACCTACCCGCTCCGTCTCGACACCGAGCAAGCCGCAGCTCGTGCGCTCGCTCACGCGCCCCGAGTCGCCGCACGAGCGCGAGGTTCAGCGCATGCCCTCGCTCGGCAACCTGCGCCCGCAGCGCGCCGTGACGGCGCCCGTGCGGGGCGCCGACGAGCCGTCGCTGGACGATTTCATGACGTTGTTCCGCCAGGTCCAGAAGCGCGGGCAAGGCGTGGGCATCCGCGCGGCGGCGGCGGCGGCTGAGGGGCGCGAGCTGAAGGAGCGGCGGCCGTACGGGATCGGGTTGGGACAGCCGACGACGAGCTAAGCGGGAGTAGAGTGAGGGCTCTGAGCGAGAGAGGAGTCCCGGAGTTGAGCGGAGAGTGACAAAGCAGAGAGATAGTGTTCGATTGCAGCGCTGAGCGCTTGTATACATTGCATCTATGATGGCCGTGGCGCACGCGCGGCCAGCGCACTGACTGGGGCATGGGTGCGGGGCTACGATGGGGCACCGAGGATCTCGCGTATGTATCGCGTATCTGCTTGTATGCACTCGACGCCGTCTACAAAGAGCAATGGCACCGGCCTCGGGCATCGGGGGGACATCGCATGGGCATCGCGTATCGCCGTGTATGCAGCCGGGCGACTCGACGGCGCCTCGTTCTGGCATGCCACGAAGCCGTGATCCAAAATTAGCAAGGCGCTCCTACTGCAAATCTCGAGCGTCGCGTATCTCAGTCTCGCGAGAGGACTCGCCTGCCCGACGCTCTGGCAGAGCGCGGGCGCCACGCACCTGGGATTGCTGATCTCGCATCAGCATCGCGTATCACGATCACACCACCACCGTCCCTCCAGATCTCGCGTTCGCGTATCTGGTCAGCTGGTCGACGCTCTACATGCTTGTGAGCGTGAGTGGTGAGCCGTGAGCGGAGATGCCGCGCTGAGTAACATCGGCGGAGTAGACGCACGGGCGAGGCGCGCGGCCCGGATTCTCCGGCCATCGGGTTGATAAAGATAAACGGATTTTTGCCGAGGCACCGCTCCATCACGCCGCTCCTCCATCGCAAGCATCCGTGGCTCATATCAAGCCTCCACTCAGCGCATAGCCCGTCACCCATGCCCCGCACATCATGACACCCGAGACGCCCGCGGACTCAGACTTGCAGTACATCCGCTCGCTGTCCCCGCGGCTACGGACGAGCGAGGACTCGGCGCTTGCCGAGGTGCTGGAGCACCCCGCCGCTCACCCCCCCGAGCCCGCGGAACCAGCAGAGAAGACGAATTCTGAGAGTGTAGACGCGGCACCCTCCCTACTCGGCCCACCCCCCGACGGCGGGCTGCGTGCATGGCTCGTAGTCATCGGCTCGGCGTTCGCCATCTTCTGCGTCCTCGGCCTCGTCACGGGCGCAGGCCAGTTCCAGGCATACTACCTCGCACACCAGCTGAAGGGGTACTCGCCGTCGACGGTCGCGTGGCTCGCGAGCATCCAAATCACGCTGACGTTCGGCGGTGCCGTCGTCTCGGGCGCGCTGTTTGATGCGTACTCTGCCCAGCCGCTGGTCATGCTCAGTACGTTGGGACAGTTCGGGTCGTTGGTTGCTCTGGCTTGTGAGTAATCTATGTTAATTACTCTAAACCAGTCTCGACGCGCTACGTCCACTTTCTCCTCTCGCACGCGGCCTTCGGCGTCTCCGCCGCCATCGTGTACTCGCCCGCGACGGGCATCGCGGCACACTGGTTCCTCCGGCGCCGCGGCACCGCCGTCGCGGTCATCATGTCGGGCGCTGGCGCCGGCGGCGTCGTCTACCCGATCCTCATTAAGAACCTAACTGACCGTTTCGGTGAGCCTGAGTGCGAACTGTCTAACCCCAGCATGGCGCGACGCCATCCTGATCCTCGCCGGCATCCACTTCGCGCTCATGCTCCCCGGGTGCTTGTTCATGAAGAAGCGCCTGCCAAACCGGCCGCCGGTGCCGCTCCGCGCCCTCGCACGCCCATGGAAAGACTTCCGCTACTGCTTCCTGATCGTGGGCCAGTCGCTGACCTCGCTCGCGTAAGCCCCCCTTATTTCGCCCTAACCCCAGCGTCTTCTCCCCGTACTTCAACGCAGCGCTGTACGCGCGCGCGAACAACGCGTCGCCCACCGTCGTAGGCTACGCCGTCGCGATCCTGCAAGCGGGCAACTTTGTGGGCCGCATGGCGTCGGGCCCGCTCGCCGACGCGCTCGGCACATGGCGCGTCTTCGTCGCCTTCGCCCTCCTCTCCGCCGTCACGCTGTTCGCGTTCTTCGTCGCGCCCATGGGCACGGCGGGCACCGTCGCCGGCCTCGCGATATACGGCGCCGTAAGCGGCGGGCACGTCACCCTCATCCCCGCTGTCACGGCGAGCATTTCGCCGGCGCACGAAATCGGCATGCGCCTCGGCTTGCTCTGGACCGTGCTTGCGGCGAGCATGCTCGTCGGCCCCGTTATTAGCGGCGAGCTCGTGGCCGCCGGCGGCGGGCTGTATAAGTGGGCTGGGCTGTGGAATGCGCTGCAGTTCTGTCTCTCGTCCGCCGTGCTCAGCGTGCCGGGCATCGTCATGTGGCGGCGGCGGCGGAGGGGCGAGGCATAGTTGCACATGTCGGCATTTGTACCATATTCTGCATCCAATCGAGAGGATTTGACGTGCACCCGACCCCGAAAGTCGATGAAAATTAACGCTTGCCACTGCAACGATATTTCTGCAATGCATGCCTCCGGAATTGTGCTCACAACCTACAAACCCATTGTATTCTGACAAATATCTCCCTCCATCTCCCCGCACCGCTTACGAGTTGTCCGCACAGCTGAACGGCGTGCTGACCGCGCCCACGCGGTACGAGTCGATAATGCTCTTGACGCCGGCCACAGTGCCTGAGATCTGCACGAATGTGCCAAACACAATGAGGAAGACGTTGAGGGCGACGAGCAGCCAGTACCCGACGCTCGGGTTGGTCTTGCGGCGCGCCCAGTTGTCGTGCAGCCACATGGCGCCGTTGATCTGCATGCACATGACTGACGTCAGCACCTCCGTGTCTATAGTTGCACTCACAAGTTCCGAACAGCGCGCCGAGGAGGACGACGAGCGAGCCGAAGAATGGGATCGACATGGCGAGGATGAAGCCGACAGTGGTCACGAAGCCGGTGCATCCGAGCCATGTGGCCCAGTGGATACGGGTGTGGTGCGTGAGGTGGTGCGAGCCGCGGAGGATGCGCACGAAAATGAGCTTGGCGCCGAGGTGCGCGTACAAGATGACACTGGCGAAGAGGCCGGGGAGCGCGATGCCGTACGTCACCTTCTTGAGGAAGAGGCCGGCGCTCCCAAGCGCCGGCGAGGCAAGGTACTGCCCGCAGAAGTAGTACACGACGACGCCGATGGTGATGTACGTGCTGATGACGATGGACTGGCACGTGAAGAGGGAGCGGTTGAACTGGCGCGGGTCGCGCATCTCGCTGATCACCGAGAAGAACATGGGCGTGCCGCAGTATCCGACTGGCATTAGCATGCCACATTCCGCAATAAAACGAGAACGCACAGATAGCCGTGGAAATCGCCGCGATCCCGTCGAAGAACGTCGCGTCCTTGAACGCGCTGATTTTCTTGTCCCACGGCCCGGTGAGCGGCGCATCCGCCGGCCGGTCTTGCACGCCGACGGCGACGGTGAGCGTGACGATCGCGCCCATGATGCTGATGAAGCCGACCCAGCTGACGAGCGAGATGCGGTTAAGTGTCTGGATCGATGCGACGGCGAAGCACACGACCGCGCCGAGCACGACCCACGCGACGGTGCACGTCGCGTGCGCCGTGACGGCGTTGAACGCGATCGCGATAGGAATCAGGCCGGCACCCACGATCGCGATCATGAATGCTGCGTACATGAACGTGGCAATTTCGCGGCCCACCTTGCCGGCGAGCACGAAGCCAACGTCGCTGAGCGAGTAGACTTCCGGGTGGGCGCGCTTGAACAGGCCTACGGTGTAGTCACTCCATGTTGTGAGGAGGCCGATGCCGAGGATCACGAGGGTGCCGGGGACGCCGCCGACGGCGCTCAGCGCCGTCGGCATCGCGAGGACACCGAGCGCGATCTGGCACTTGAGCAGCACGACAGCGGCTTTCGCCCTGGTGTCAGAAAGTGGGGGAAGTGGCGGTGGCGACTCGTGGTGGCGCGACCGTGTGCCTCGAGATCTCGAGAGTGCCTTGTGGCCGGCGACAAACTCACCATCCCATCGACGTGTACTGAACGTCGCCGTCGCCCTGGTCGCCGAACACGGCGTCGCTGGTCACACCCTCGACATATACGGCGGGGCCCTTCTCGTTGTCTGTGTCGTTCATGTTGGGAGGCTCAAGTGCACTCTTTTGCCAGCAAGGAGTTTACATACGATGCGCCTCTCCACCGTCTACCCCTTCACTTCACCCCATCACTAAGACTCGGCTCGGCCCTGCTCTTGCGGTGCCACTGATAAGAGGCGAGTTTAGCGCGCTGCCCACCTACCGGACCGGAGAGGCTGACGCGGGCGGGTGGCTTATCGCCAACGCGCGCCTGCCTGCGCCATTGTCTGTGCATGCGGCGTACATCTCAACGTTCCGCGGGAGCGTCGGCGGATGCGTTGGGCGGGAGGTAGTGTGTTGGGTCTGGCCCATCTCGATCAGGAGCGCTGTCAGAGCGGGGATCTCGGTCTCGCTTCTCTCGCCACTGCAGCACTCCAGTCACATGAGGCTTGCAATCGGTATCTATCTGCAGTGTAGAGGCGTTATGGGGAGAGGGTCGATGTGCCGGAGACGCGTGGTTGGCCACTGAAAAAAAAAAAGAACGAAGAGAATGGCAAGGCAATTAGACGGCTGACGATAAGCGGTGGATGTGCCTAACCTCGATTCTCGACGGCTGTAATCCAGATATCTTCGGCGGGGATCCCGGGGTTGGCTCTCGTGGGCAGTGCTTACATCCGCCGTAGATGGTCGTTAGTCACATTTGGTGGAAGCGATGGAGTGCCCGATAGCGAGATGGGCGCGGAGAGGCGAAGTTGCCGACTTCATCCCTAGACCTGGCTTCGGACATGCACCCCGGCTGCGCGGGCTGCAGTTCCACGGCCAGACGCAGTTGAGATGCAGGGGTGAGTTTATCAGATCAGCAACTGATCAGCAACTCTGGAGGTGCACGAGGGTGAATATATATTATAACAGGCTCAGCAACAGATGGTAAGAGATGACAAAAGAACACGCGTGGTCAATGCCAAGATCGCGACCGTGCCCTGATACAAGAATAGGACCCGCCAGGAATGCAAGGCACGCTTCCCTGCCTGTCAGAGGTCAGTTTGCGTGACCTGAAACTCGACTCCGTCAGCGCTCAGCTTTCCAGCACAGCTTTGAACAAGACAGACTACATATAGTAGTGTCCATTGGGGCTAACAGTGCGTGATATGCTTAGAAGAAGGCGAGGAAAGCGCCAGCAACGAGAGCGAAGACCGAGGGGACGGCCTTGCCGGCTCCCGAGTTGGTGGCAGCCGGGGTCGAAGCACTGGCGCTGGCAGCCGACTTGGAAGGGGTCTGCGAGCCAGACGACGCGGCAGACGAGCCTGATGCGACAGACGAGCCAGAAGCAACCGCCGACGACGCAGTGCTCGAGCTGGGCGGGGCGAGGGTGGCCGAGTCGACGGCCTGGGTCGCCGAGACCGAGACGGTGGCCACGCCGTTCTCGACGGTAAAGTAGTTGGCGGCGACAAGCTCGAGACCAGCCGCGGTCGCGTACTCGGACACCTGGAACGGGATCACGTCATTGATGGGAGCGGCGAAGCCCTCGGGGGCCTTGAACTCAGTGGGCTCGCGGTAGAGGAGCAGGACGTAACGGTGCGCGCCCGAGCCCTCGGCGGGGCCGGGGCCGGCGTACGAGCGGATGTCGGTCGCAGCCGAGTAGTCGGGGGTCGCGGTGCCATTGCCGCTGAGGGTCACACCGTTCGTCAGCCAGTGGAGGTTCTGGCCCTCAGTCCAGCCGACAATGTTGGTGTCGACGAGGAGAAGCGAGTACTTGCCCTGTCATGTTAGCAAGAGATTGTCTAAGGAAGGTGCAACGCGCAAGGACTCACAGTCGAGTTGAACGAGTCGCCGCCGTCGACGGTGAGCTCGGGGCGGGTGCCTGCGGTGGCCTGCGTGACGGGCTTGCCAATGGCAACCTCGGAGCCACCAAAGGACGCGTCGAGCACCGCCTCGGGGGCGAAGGCGGGGAAAACGGTGGCGAGACCAGCGTCTGTCGTCAGCGAGGTGGGAGAGGATGCTGGACCCCAGGCAACGTACTCTCAAAGTTGGCAGCGACGTAGGCGAGGTCGGTGGTGGTGGCGGCCGAGACGGCGGAGGCGAGGAGGAAGAGAGGGAGCATGTCTAACGAGTGTGATGGGGAGGGAGTGAGAGCGCGGTGTGAGGGAGCAAGATGGATAGAGAGAGAGAGAGAGAGAGAGGCGAAGAATCAAGGTGAGGAGGAGTCGAGGAGGACACGATGCGAGCAGTGCCGAACCAAGTTGGACTGCAAGGAGAGCGTCTGGGCCATTCAGGGGGAGATGCAACGCGGTCCATGCCCCACCCCAGACGCCTCTTCACGTCCCTTTGTCGCGTCCTCTGCCCCTGGACTGGACGCGTCAAGATCCATTGCTCAACTGCTCAGACTGTGCTGCAGGCATCAGTGTTCGAAGGCTCGTGTGCCGTGGACTGCATGTATTTGAGCCTTGTTAGTTGGTGGGTCGACGACGGTTGAGGACGGCGCGTGTGATCTCTCGATCACAGGGATGCTACGGTGGATAATTCATCCCGAGATTTCGAGATTTCGCATGCACGGACAGCATGCGGCGAGTGGCACAAGGCCTCCATGTTGTCACGAGACGGAGATCGGAGAGTCGAGAAGGGGGCGGGGGCCGGAGGGACGCGCAGCACGTAAACGCTGGTTACAGCAACGCACGAGAGCTCGAAATAAGCTTCCCACGCATGCACACGAGTGCCGCTGCGGAAAAGACGGAAGACAGGGACTTTATAAAGCAAAACTTGCAAAAGAGTTAGGAAATGCTCTCTGTCGGAGAATTGAACTCCGGTCTCCCGCGGTCACTGCTAATGACAAGCGAGCATACTAGCCACTATACGAACAGAGATGGCGATTTCTGATGCTGGCCAACCGCCGCTGATATAAAAGCGTCAACTTCCCTGCCTAATGCGCTGTGGTCGTGCATTCTCCACTTGCGACTGGTGCACGACCTAGAGCGCTGCAACGTTCACTGATGATGAGCTCAACTACCGCCTTTCCTTCATTGTATCATTCTCGCCTGGTACCGGCGCAGTTGTGCTGCGCTGACCCGGCTCAAGTCACCAGAGAAGCAGGACACCTCCGCCTTAGCTTCGCACACACCCACAGTCGGCCCGAGTTGCACACCCGTTGCACATGGGTGGCTCCCAACCCGGAACTGCAGTTACGATAGGTGAGAAGGCGCAGGGCACTGCGCGAGAACAAGAGCTTGACAAGCCCAGACCCAAACACCGGTAAGGACCATAGCCCAGTTGTCACCAGCCCAGCCAGTCATGATGCACAAACATTAACTCAGTATTGTGGCTGAGACCCGTACTGAACGAGCAGTCCATGTTTTGGCACGCGAGGAACCGCCGGCCCGACCCACAGACGCGTCACAACCTTAATGACCGTGACGGCATTCCTCATCTATGTCAACACGGCGGAGGCACTTGAGCTACCAGCGACCTATAACCCTCCTCCTCTCCCCACTGATCCCCTCGTCGTCGCAATGCTCCACCTCCTCGCTCTCCTCCTCCTGACCTTTGCAGCGGCGCGCCGCATCCACCCCGCCAACAACACGTCGTGGTGCATCCACGCGCTGGCGGTCACGCCACGCAGTGGCACACAGCTCGGCGTCGAGCGGTGTACCGGCAGCTTTGGGCAGGAGTGGAACTTCTTCGGCTCGTCCAGCATCCTCCAGCTGCGCGGGACGAACCTCTGCGCTGCGCCAGCGGCGAAGTACAACGGCGCGCTCGTGTATCTCCGCGAGTGCCCGTACGACCGCTCACAGTGGGGCGAGATCACGTGGCACCCTGCTGGCGGGTTGCGGCTGAGCTACGAGAACACAAGTGAGTGGCGGGCTGGTCGGGGCCCGTGCGCCAGCGCATGAGGAGTCGCTTGCTGACAACAGACTTCTGCCTCGACAACAAGGACGGGCGCCTCGGCATACATAACCCCGTGCAGGTACGTTTGACGCCGAGTGTGCTGACTCAGATCTGGGACTGTTACGAGGGCGGCACCCCGCAGACTTGGGGATTCACGGGAGTGAACGGCCCCACCCCGCCATGGCAGCAGTAGGCGTCCTCAGAAATCAATAAGTCAGAAGAGCGGCTGGCTGGCCCAGCTGTATGTTTGCATTGCATGAATCACAAGTGAAATGGGGTCTGGGACCAGCACAACACCCGCAGGCATGTTGTGGACCGAATTGCATCCTCACGCAGCGGTTGGACACACAGCTCGACGCGACGCGACAAAGTGATCATAGGGAATGGTTGAGGGCGTTCTGAGCCAGGAGCCGTTGTCAGCGGTTCGTGTCCGCCGCGGCGCTCGACGAGGTGGCCAGCTCGCGTTAACTTGTCGAGGCTTAAGACAATGACATGCCCTTTCGCGTCGGCATTGAGGATTGTCACTTCACCGCCACACCTAACTCTCTCAATCTTCATCTTTTGTCCCAAGTGCTCATCTATCATGCTCGACCGCGTCCACTCCTTCTACACTCGCACCTCGTCCCCCACCGACCGGCCGGGCTGCTGAACGAGCTGGCGGTGTATTTTGCGGCGCGCCATCTCACCCCCTCACACCCGCCTTCCTGCCCCCAACCCCTTCCTTCCGCGTGCCACGGCCCTCGCAGAGCCGTCGAAATGACTAAAAGAGAGCCGTGCTTGCCTGTGTCTCGTTCTTTCCCATCGCTCCCATTTCTGACATTGTTCTTGTTATCTCCCAGCGCTCTCCACACTCTCGGAGCCCTCGCACACATCTCGCCCTTTGTCTTTTCCTCCTCCACATCATTCTCGACATCGCCACCCACCTGTGCACCCACAATGATCACCATCTGTCCAACGGCTTTTCCCCACATCTGGGATAATATCCTCTCCTGCGCAGACATCCTTTCCGCGATAGGCCTCCGCGCAGCCTGCCGCCGTTTCCGAGAGGAGGTCGACGACCGTCTATTCCCCGCAGTGGTCATCACAGCGGTTCCCCGCCACGGCAAAGTGGACAAATCGATCTTCGTCTCCCGCCCCAAGCCGTATACGCCCTACGGTCTCCAGTTGCGCGCCATGTGGGGCGGAGCGTTGGTGACCATAGGCCCAGTGATGCCCTGGCCGGGGAAACACACTGAGAACAAGGGGAAACATGATGGGCGCCGCACCCGCCCAAACGGCAAGGGGGGACACAATACGCAGCGAAATGCCACGCTGCGCAACGGCAAACTGCGCAAGAACCTGCCCGCAAAGCGGCCGCGACGAGTCCCACCCCACCTGGATGGGGAGCACCTCGTCCCCGCTTGGCCGAGGCTCGTAGCCCGCGCGACAAAGAAACTCAGCGTCGTCGTCGGCAGTCCCCATGCAACGAGCATCGTAGGGTGTCCGACGTCGACGCGTCTCGTGCTCCACCAGCCCATATATGACTGGACAATCACCTACCCCACGTTGAGGCTCTCCGGTAAACGTGCGCGCGAGGTCGTTATCGTCTATCCCGAACACTCAACGACGTCGTCCGCGATCGACAGCCCTATTGTTCTTCGAGGCAACGCCCAGGGTCGCCCCAAGTTCACCCTCACCGTCGTGGCGGATGAACCCCAGGCGATCCGCTTCGTTGCCGCGGGCACGAATGTGCCTCTGCCCCGCGATTTGTTCCAATTCCGAACTCGTGAAGAGCACAAACTACTCCTCAGCAAAAAGCAGTGGCAGCTGGAGATGGACATTAGCGAGTACATGTAGTTGCAGTGCATGCGCTCGGCAGCGGTAAGCGGCCGTTAGTCGATGTGAGGTCTGACAGTCCACCAACATGCTCCGCGGGACCACGCGGTCGACACTAAGGACGGGCAAGCAAAAAGGTGGACCCCACCACAGCCCACTCGGTGCAGTAGACCAGCGTACATGTGTGGAAGCGCAGCTACAGCGCGAACGCCCCTGCGTCGATTTCGAGTGGGTCGGCCTCGGCGACGTACTGTGCGCTCGAGAGGAAGCGCACGCCTCTCGTGGAGGGCGGCATAACGACCGTGCACAACCCGTACACCCTGAGGCCGTTGACGAGCCAAAAGCTGGGGCTCTGGCGGCGAGCGCTCCGCAGCCCGCGCAGTGTCGCCTTAAGGTCGCGGAGGGTACTGGCGTGCGCGGCGGCGAGGTCGGGGCCGGCGGCCTGTGCCGGCGCCTGTGGTGTGGGCGGGGCAGACGCCTGCGGCGTGGGCGTGAGCGGCGTGGGATCCGTCGGGCGCAGCGAGCCCGGCGCGAAGTCCGGGTCGAGCCAGGCCGGGTCGACGCGGTCGAGGTCAACGACCGTCACTCGTGCGCCGCATGACAGGCTTAGCGCGACAAGGAACGCCAACTCCTGCCACCGCAGGTTGTCGCTCTCGCGCGGCCCGAGACGCTTCCACGGCAGCGTCTCTTCGTCCTCGTCCTCCGGCTCGTCCGATGGCTGGAAGTAGGCGGGCGTGAACTCCTCCGGGCCGTGGAGGAGGGTCGCGTGCCCCTCCTGCTCTCCGCGCCCTTCTGCACGCGCGTCCGGCATGGCGCGCCAGCCCGCGAACGAGATCACGACTTCGCGCACGCCCTCGAGGTCGCGCAAGCGCAAGCGCACGAGCCCCGGTGCCTCGTGCCACGCCACGTTGACGACCACACGCCGACACACCGTCTTCACGTCCAAGATGTGGTGCGGCGCCATCTCGCCCGGCGCCGGGAAGAGGGCGAGGGTACGCGTTGGCGGCGGGAGCTCGTCCATCTCCCCGCTGAGGCCGGGCATGAGGCGCGTGAGCTCCACCTCGTGCGTGAACGGTTGTGTATCCGACACCGCGCCGACGTCGCCGTGCAGATCGAGCACGCGCACGAGGGGGAAGTATGCGCGCGCGCCGGGCACGAAGGGGCCGTGTGGGCGCGCGAACTGCATCCAGTTGTAGTATGTGTCGGTTGGGGGGGCCCCGAGCACCCGCATTCGCCCCGCATGCGTGTAGACTGCGTAGGCGTTGAAGCTTGCCGCGAACAGGCTGCTTGGGTCGGGGCGGGCGCGCATGGAAGGGTTGAGCGCCGCGTGCCACGCCGCGAACCACCGGCCGCCCATGCCCCGGTCTTCGACGACTAGGTGGGCCGCGAGGCGCGCATCGGCGCGCGCCTTGCAATGTCGTGAGGCAGCGCGGAGTGCAAGAAGCGAGGGCGCCGGCGCGTGCGCAATCACCGCGTCGAGGAGGTGTGGGAAGGCGCCTGCATCGAGGACTGCGTCGGGCATGGTGGTGAGTACAGGAGAGGGAGGATGAGACGGGAGAGGTCTGGGTGGCAATCGTGGCTTGCCAGGACGATGACGCACATGTGCCGATCGGATCTGGTCGGCAGATCATGATCGACATATATCCGTGCACCCTCCTCCATCTCCGTTTGCTACAGGCCAACGATCATGCATTATACTGGCCAAGACGGCAACAAGAAAACCACAAGCATCAGGTCTGGCTTTCGCCTGCTGCCTGCTTCTTGTTCTTGCGGAAGATGCGCGCCAGCAACCCCTTCTTCTTCGGTTCTCCCCCATCGCCGTCAGCCTCCTCTCCGGTCGCGTCCTCCTCCACTTCCGCGGGCTCACCGCGCATCTCGTGTGCCACTTGCGCCTCCGCCATGCCCTGCGGCATGCCCGGCGGATGTCCCTCTAGCGGCTTCGGGTTTGAGGGGTCAAACGCCGGTCCATGTGTGTCGACTTGGTGCGTGTGCTGCTGCATCGCCGCGTTGGCGGTGCTCACAATATCGCCTGCGCCCTCGCCCTCCGCCAGCGGCCGGAACAGGTCCGCCACCTTGCCCGGCCCGATGAGCGTCTGGTACACGTGGAGCGTGGTGGGGAAGTGCGAGGCCCCCTCGCTGATGGCGTCCAGCAGGCGGAGCGCGTAGGTCTGACAGTTGTTCGTGATGAGGTTGTATGCGGCCTGCTTTTCACGGATCTGCGCGATGACGGCCTCGCCTAGCGTCAGCGCGCCCGCGACTCTGAACCCACCTGTTCGCCTGATCGCGTCATCGTTGAAGCGCGTATCTCCCACCGGGAAGAGTTGCCACTCGTCAGGGTTGACGCGCGCGTTGGTGTAGATTACATCAAAGTTCTCGTCCAGACGTCAGACTCTGGCGGGCGCAGACTCACCATCCACAGCTGATGCACATACTCGCCGACTAACACGCCCCAGTGCTGCGTGGGGTCGGGGTACGAGTTGATGCTCTCCGTAATGAGCTTGCCGAGGCCCGTCTGCTCCGCGAACCACTTGCCCGCAAAGCCGCCGACGGGGTGCCATCCAACAAATACAGGGCGCGGATGCGCGTCGAGAACCGGCGTGGACACGGGGACGACGTTTGGTGACGCGCCGAGACCTGCTGCAGCCTTGAGGCGCTTCTCTCCCTCAGTCAGACCGGTCTGGATCCAACGCGCGGCAATGTCGCGCTTGCGTTCGCGCTGTTCTGGAGACTCGTCCGTCATGGCAGGTAAAGGCTGACAGAGTGAACGGGATAGAGGAATAGTGCGATGCGGGAGATGAGACGCGTCTGGGAAGGGTATTTGGAGTGGGGCGGTGTCTCACCTGTCAGGCCGTGTTTGGTCCCGGGTGCACACGTGACTCACATGACACGTGTGACGCGCGACCCGCCTCACTTGCCAGCTCGAGCTAGCGACGTTGTTTTGTTCATCAAACTCGCCACCTGCCGGGTCTGCCTGGCACTTCTGTAGGTGTACAGTACATGGATTTACAAGCATATGAGCGAGTCTCCCTTAGCAATACATTGGAAACAACGCGCAATGTTCCACCCAACCGCCCCATCACTCTGCTACCACCGCGTCTCCAGTGCATATTGCGTATCGCCCACGCTAACGCGGTACTCGGCAACCGATGCGAACCGCACCCCCTCCTCGATGCGCCACGCCGTTTCCTCGGTGCTCCAGTCATGCAGGGCGCGTGCGAGGCGTGCGATTTCGGCCATGAAGCGAAGGCGAAGCTGACACGCCGCACCTGTGCCCCGCTCGCACCCGTCGGAGTGGCCAGCGGCCAGCCAGAGAGGGTGCCAGGCTTCGGTCCCTACGAGCGTGAAAGTACGTCCGGGGAGGTTGCGGGCGATGGCGCGTGCCCAGTCGTCGAGCAGCTTCGGTTGGCCATCGTACGCTGGCTCATTGGGGAGGACGGTTGAGATCGTCCCCTCGCGTCGACGCGGCTGGGAGGTGTTGCTTGCGAGGCGCAGAACGTGCCTCGGCCCGCGGCCATGCAGGCGTCGCACGACGAGGATTGAAGACGAGGTAGAGGGCTTCACGGAGTTGACCGATTGGGTGGGAGGGGCAAGAAATGTGTTGGGCGAGAGGGTGGATAGGGCTGGGCGAGCAGTTGGTGATCGAAAGGGTTCTGATGATCGGCAAATGTGCAGTACAACTTCCGACACATGCGGCGGGAGAAGGGTGTGTGGGGCATCTTCTGTCCCAATGAGCGACGCGTGCGTATACAGGATGGTGCTGACGAGCTTGCGTACGCCGTCCCCGAGGTCGGGCCACTCATAACGCGGCGCCAGAGCCCACTCTGAGCCAGGCACTACTGGCGGCGCCATAATGATGGTGGTGGGCGCCGGGTGTGTAACGTGTTGCACTGGACCGACGCGCAGCACCTCGAGGCCGCGGAGGACGCGCAGCGGTGCGGCACCGTTCACAACGTGCAGTGCTCGCACTGGCGAGGCCTGAGAGAGGGAGCGCGGGAGTGTCAGCCGTGGGAGCTTGCGGCCCCAGGTCCGCGGCGCGAGGGAACGACCGTGGGCGCGCGAGCCAATGTGCGTGAGCTGTAATGCGCGATGGAAGTGGGCGTCCACCGCCGCGCGGTACTCTTTGCTGACGGCGCGAAGAGTGAGGAGGGAGGGGTAGTCGAGGTAGTGGAGGACGCTCTCGAGGGGCAAGGTGGGCTTCGGCGGCGGGGCGAGAGCGCGTCGACGAACGCGTGTGTACGGCTGGGGTGTGACTGTGGGACGCCATGGGGAGAGAGGCTTCGAGGGGGTGGCTGGTGGTCTGCGACGCGGGGTTCTTGGCGGAGGAGTGTTGGGCGGCGTGTCTGGGGCAAGAATACGCGGCGCCTTGCGGGGAGTTGATGGGGACGGAGACGAGGGTGCAGTTGTGGGCTTCTTCTTTGTGCGGGTGGGCTTTGTGATGGGGGTCGAGGGATCACTGATGGGTGCCAGCAGACCCGGGCTGAGCAGCACTGCGAGTAGCGCATGGGTGGGAACAAGCACGAGCTGCGCCGATGTTGGCGCGGGTTGCCTCAGAACGAAGGAAGCGTGGACCGCGACGAGGGCGACCTGGGCGATATTCCAGGTGACGAGGGCGCTGTTGACGCTCATGAGTGGGGGTGTCGGGGCATGAGTGCGTGGTGGGAGGTCAAGATGAGAAGTGGCAAGACAGATGATTGTTGAGAAGAGATGGAGATGGAGTACGTGGTTTGCTGTTGTTGTGATGTGGTGGATGTGACGTGGGTCACTCTGTGTGCCGGACCTGTCACGCGCCTGACTTTTGACTTCTAATCGGCCGAACTCGCATACTATCCTGTCATGTTCTCTTAATCAAGATAGACGCGTTACGCAAGCAGCCGCAGGCTGGACAGGTGTTCATGCATAGATCATGAAGGCACATCGTTTCATTCATCGGTGGCACACAACACGATGTTGGCGCCGGAGGGCATGGAGACAAATGATGCCGCTCAGTCGGCTAGGGCCGGAGTGCACGTGCAGAACGCGTCGCGCCAGCGCCACCAAACCGTATCTCTGGACGTATCGGGACGCAACGCTCACAACGGCTCAGTTGACTCAGTATGTGAGCTGAAGAGGGATAGAGCGCATGGACAAACGTGCATTGGCTACCCACCCCATCCACCTTCTGCTCGGTACAACACCTGCGAGTCCCCGAGCCCCATCTCAAGCGCCCACCTCTTCTCCCCGACAAGTTTGCGCCACTCGCCGAGTTTGACACAATTGATATCCTGGAGCTTGTCCGCAAGTTCACTCTCAAGGATGAGCCGCTTAATCTCGTCATTCGGCTCGCCATACGGGCGCTGTGCTGGGGGATCACGTCCGAGGCGCGCTCCCTCTGCGCCAACAAGCACCACCCGCGCGTTCGGGAAGACGTCGACCAGCGCTGCCACACGCTCCGGGGTGTAGCCGACCTCCATCTCGCTAGTGCCCTTCGCCGGGCGGCGCTGCACGAACGCGACGACTACCTCCTCGATGGTGCGGCAGGCACAGCCCGCAGTTGGAGAGGTTCCGCCGCACGAACAAGATACCGTGGCCCACATCCTGGGCGCAAGATCGGTGAACTCGTGGCTCACGAGTCTCCGTGTGCCGGGTGGCACGACTAGGGCATAAGTGGAGCGAAGTGCGCCGGCGCATGAGGGCGAGAGGACGACGGTGCGCGCCTTTAGAGTGGTGTTGTCGTTGTTCCTCCCCGCCAACCGATACGCCGGGAGGCGGACGGCGTCGAGATCCAGCCACGGCTCAAGAGCAGCGAGGTCAGTGCCGTGCACAAACTCGCCGACGTCAATGACGCGGGTGTGGGCCAGCACGCGTGCGGTGGTGGCTAGGGCTTGGGCTGCGCTTACGTCTGCGGGAGGAGGCGCTGGCGGAGCGCGTCCGAAGCTTTTGGTGACAGGTTTAGAAAGCGCCGACTCTCCACCTTGTGCAAGAGCAATGTAGTTGCGCGGACGCACGCCGGGAATGGGGACGCCTGCAGCGCTCCGTATATGCAGATACTTGCCGTACCGCGTAGAGCTCGATTTAACAGTGATGTGGCGCGCGAGCTGGGCCTCAACTGCATCTCGGGCGGCGTGGCAGAGAGATCGTAGTGCCTTCACAGTGTCGTAGTGTGCGAGGGAGAACGCCAGGATAGCCTCGAAGATGTGCGGATAGGCGGCGATGTCGAGAGCGGGTCTGGGGTTGGAGGTGTGGGCAAGCTCCAGATCAGACGCCGACCGGGGACCAGAGCTTGCGACTGTCATTGCCACGTCTGGAAGCGCTGCTGCAAACTTCGTTGAGGCCATGATGTCTGAGGTGGTGGTGGGGATATGCTGGCTCGCTTGTCGTCTTGTTGATGTTGGCGTTCCCGCAGTGCCGCGTCGAGACGAGAGACGGATCAAGCTACCACGTGGCAAGTCACGTGGTTCGTTCGGTCCAAGCCGAATGATGTCACATGCTCGTCTGACCCCACCGCCACCATCGCTCATCTCTTGCATCACATCGCCCACCTCATCATGGGCACCTTCCACCCCGCTGAACATGAGAGTCTTGTTCCGCAGCGTGGCACAGTGCGTCCCCGCGCCTACCACCAGCCTGGTGAGCACACCTCGCAGTCCAACGCCGCCGCCCTTCCCCTAAACGGCGACTGGAAGTTCCGCTTCTCGCCCACGCTCGAGGACGCCGGCGGCGACGCGTTCAAGGACCCGGCGTTTGACGACGGAAAGTGGGGCACTCTGCCCGTTCCCAGCACCTGGGTGCTGCACGGACACGGCAAGCCATGGTACACGAACATCCAGTTCCCCTTCCCTCTCGACCCACCGCGTGTACCAGACGAGAATCCGACGGGCGATTATCGCTTCGAATTCGACACGGACAAGGCCAAGTGGCCCAAGGGCGGACGGGTGAGCCGCGGTACCGGGTGGAAGCTGGGACGGGATTGATGGCAGACGCTGCTGCGGTTCGATGGCGTCGAGAGCTGGTACAAGGTGTGGCTGAATGGGTACGAGCTGGGATACGCCACCGGCTCTCGACTTCCCTCTGAGTACGACATCACTGAGCACCTGAAATTCGGGAAGAACATTCTCGCTGTTCGTGTGCGTCAGTGGAGCAGCGCAAGCTACATCGAGGACCAGGATCAGTGGTGGCTCCCCGGCATCTTCCGTGACGTGACGCTGCTGCACCGGCCGGAAGGTTGCATCGAAGACTACTTTGTGCATGCCGACTACGACGCTAAGCGCGGAAAGGGTATTCTCAAGGTCAACTGCTCCCCTGGTGGAAGGGTGAAGGTACCCGAGCTCGACATAGATGTCGAGTCTGGCGAGGAGGTCCATGTCCATGTCGAGCCTTGGACAGCCGAAACACCCCGCCTCTACTCGGGCACGCTATCTACGAAGAGCGAAAGCATCCCATTGCGTATTGGCTTCCGGCGCGTTGAGATTGACGATGGGCTCATCAAGATCAACGGCCGCCGCGTTCTCTTCCGCGGCGTGAACCGGCACGAATTCCACCCTAAGGCGGGGCGCGCCCTAGACCGTGCCACCATGCTTCAAGACGTGCTTCTCATGAAGCGGCTCAACGTCAACGCAGTGCGCACGAGCCACTACCCGCCTCATCCGCACTTCTTAAGCCTATGTGACGAATATGGTCTCTGGGTCATCCTCGAGAACGACTACGAGACGCACGGGTTCGATTTTGTCGGCTGGCGCGGGAATCCCTCGGCTGAGGCCGCGTGGAAGGACATGCTCATGCACCGCATTGAACGAACGATGGAGCGGGATAAGAACCACCCCGCAATCGTGATTTGGAGTCTTGGAAACGAGGCGAGTGTCGGCGACAACATCGGACACATGGCGCGGTGGGTGCGAAAGCGCGATCCATCAAGGCCGCTGCACTACGAGGGCGACTGGGAGGTAAGTAACTGCGGAGATTCATGTATTCCACCATGCTCATATCAGGTGCGCTACACCGACATTTACTCTCGCATGTACCCTTGGTTGCCGGAGGTTGATTCCATCGGGCGACGCGATGAGTGGAGCCTAGACAACAAGGAGCTCGACAAGCACCGCCGCAAAGCGCCGTTCATCATCTGCGAGTACGCACATGCGATGGGCAATGGGCCTGGTGGTTTCAAGGAGTACTACGCTATGTTTGAGCGTTATGAACGCTGTCAGGTGGGTGGCCGAGGTTCTGTCGGGAGTTTGGAGCTGACACCAGGGTGGCTTTGTATGGGAGTGGATCGACCACGGAATCCCGCAAAAAGGCCCGAATGGTACGCACTACGCCTATGGCGGCGACTTTGGTGAGGAAGTACACGACGGCAACTTCATCACCGATGGGCTCATGTTCCCGAACCGCGATCCCAGTCCCGGCGCGATCGAGATGGCGAAAACATATGAGCCGCTCGCAATCTCGGGCGAGGGGCGAGACGTGTGCATTAAGAACAAGTTTGATTTTGCCACCACCGAGCGCTACGCGTTTGAGTGGAGCCTCGAGGCGGACGGCGAAGTCGTCGACCGCGGCGAACTCCGCGTTGACCCCATCGATTCGTGGGAGCGGGGCGCAGCGCGGCTCCCAGCGCCCAAGGAAGTTCCAGGCGAGAAAGTGTGGACCGTGCGTGCCGTCCTCAAGGACAAGACAAGTTGGGCGGACCAGGGCCATGAGGTCGCCTGGGGCCAGTGGCCGTGCGGCGATAGCACGAGCATTCCACCCAGCGAGGGGATCGGCGCGGTGTCCCTTGCGGACAGCGACGAGTGGGAGCTCTTCCCGTCGCGCGTATCTGTTCCTGCCCCGCCGCCGGGCCCCAGTATCCAGTCGGACGGGACCATCAAGCTCGGTCCAGCGACGTTCAGCGCGCGAGGGCAGCTCATCCGGCTCGGCCACATGCCCGTATCTGCAGCCCTTGACATCTCACGCGCAACAACGGACAACGACCGCGGGTGGGACGGCACAATCAATCGGCGGCAGTCCAAAGCGTGGAGCACCGCGGGCGTGCACCGGATGCACACGCGCGTCGACTCCGTGGAGGTGGAGGACAACGTCGTGCGCGTGCGCACCTGGGAAGCCGCGGCGGTGCGCGAGCGCGGCTTGCGCTGCGTGTATACCTGGCGCGCGAGTAAGGATTCCATTGCGGTGGAAGTCGACGTGGACCCCGTCGGAGATTGGCGCGATCTTCCTTTCGCGCGGCTCGGCATGCGCCTCGTCCTTCCGAAGAGCATCACAGACATTGAGTACTTTGGTCTCGGGCCGGGCGAGGCGTACCCTGACTCGTGCGCGGCCGTGCGGCTCGGGCGTTGGAAGAACACCGTCGACGGGTGGCAGACGCCATACGTGATGCCGCAGGAGAACGGGGCTCGGCGCGGCGTGCGCTGGGCAACCTTCATTGGGTCGGAGGGAGGGGTGCGGATCGCTGCAACCCCGCCGCCCACAGTCCACAGGGCCACGAGTGTGCTTGACGAGAGGGGAGGCACACGTCTCGTGCGCCCCGTCATCCTGGCCGCGCGCCGTTGGACGACGGCCGATCTCGAGGCCGCAAAGCATACAACTGATCTCAGGCCGCGCGACAACGTGTTTGTCAATGTTGACGCGAGCCATCACGGGCTCGGGACGGCCGCGTGCGGCCCCGGCCCGACCGAGGCGTACCGCAATGCGGTGGGGCGCACGAGCTTCGGATTTGCGCTCGCGCCCGTTGATGTGGATGCGGACGCAAAGGCGTGTGTGGTGATGTAATCAGAAGCAAAAGAAGCAGTAGAACAAACAGAAGACATACATGGTGTGACAAGAGACAAAAACAACTATAAATATGCTGCCATCGCTGGAGACAGCGTTCAGATCTGGCTGTCGCAGGAGACAGCGTTCAGATCGAGCCATTGCAGGAGGCAGCGTTCAGATCGAGCCATCGAAATTCTCCACCTTGTACGCCTCGTCGCCGAGAACGCGACAGTGCTGCGAGTGGGTCCGGACGCGGAGCCACGCATGCGCCGCGCTTGTAGCCAGCATTACGGCACTGTCTTCAACTACAAGCACCACATTGTTGCAGTGCCTGAGGCTCAGCAGGTAGTCGGTGAGGGGAGTTAATTCTAGCTCTCCGTGAAGAACTACCACCAGCTCTTGCGCTCGTGAGGGGATGAACAGAGACCCCATGTCGCAGTGAATAACAAGACGTGTCGTCGAGTCGGGAACCTGGAGGTAGGGCGGCGTTGAAGGCGGGGCAGAAGACGAGGCCGATGACAGCACCGAAGAGGGAGGGGGAGACACCGCCGAAGAAGGTGCGGAAGAAAGCGCCGAAGACGACGCGGAAGGGCGCGAAGAAGACGCCGATGATAGCACCGAAGATGGAGGAGGAGACACCGCTGAAGAAGGCGCGGAAGAAAGCTCCGAAGACGACGCAGAAGGGCGGGAAGAGGACGGCGCCGAAGGGGGTGACGAGGATGGCGGCGCCGAAGGGGGCAACGAGGATGACGGCGCCGAAGGGGGCGACGAGGATGACGACGCCGAAAGGGATTCACGCCGGATGATGGCGCGGCGCGGTTGGATGTACGCCATAAGACCGGCGGCGCCGCAGACTGTCGCTCCCTTGATCCGGATGGTGTCCGCTTTCTTGGCGCGATGGATGGGATACTCCTCACCCTGGATGTGACCGTGTAGGTCGAGAACTGTGCTAGACAATGTGGCCGGGTTCTTCGCTGCAAGATTTTTATCGGCTGCGGCAGGGGCTGCAGGGGGAGCGCAGGTGGGTGTGGCGGTGGGTGCGCCGAGGCCCGCCAAAATGTGCGCCGCGTGCAGTGCCTCGTCGGTGGTGGCGATCGGCGCGCCGAGATGTGCCAGAGTACGCGACGCGTGTACGATCTCACCGGCAGTGGAGACGGCGGTGGCAGGCGCGCTAAGGCTTGCCAGGATGTGGGCCGCCTGCGCGGCCTTGTCAGCGATGTGAGGAATAGACGGTGCGGGATCGCGTGCCGTGGATGGCTTGCAGATCTTGGAAGCGGCCGGAGTCGAGGCCGGCGCGTTCTTGGATCGGGCCTGCGTCGCGACCGACGCCTTCGTAACCTTGGAATGAGCGGCGGTCGCGACCGGCGCTTCCTTGACCTTGGTTTTGCCAGTCGACGTCAAGGCCGGATTGGATGTCGATGGAGGTTTGTTGCTCGACGTCGCGGACGGGCGCGCAACCTTCGCCTGGGCTCTGGCGACAGCGGAGCGATTGCGAGTCGTCCGGCTCGCCAACTGGACGGAGGAAGTGGGCTGGACAGTTGAGGGCGGCGAGGCCTCCCGAAGCCGCTTGGTGGCAGCGCCTTGGTTTGTCGAGGAGATAGGTTGCTTGCGCTTTCCCATGGCTTTAGGCATAACTGAAAACAAGTGACTGTGTGACTTTGGAGAGTTCCAGAGGTGATGATGATGAGAAGAAAAGAGGAAGGAAGAGATGAGTAACGGTTGATGAGTGTTGGTTGGACCTCCGTGAGCAATTCAATTGAATGGGGGTGTCCCACAACCAACCATTCGAACCAGCGGAGTCCGCATTGATTCCAACGCCGGATTTGCTAGCGTGCTAGTCTCGTGGTGTCCACAGTTCGGCCTCGGCATCTTGCTGTCAGCCTTCATGCTCGGCCGTCTCGGTTCCCCCCATCCTCTGATTTCCCTCATCACCCTCCTCATCCCCCATCTTTCTCGTCTCTTTCGCTCTAATCCCCCCGGACTGCACAGCTTGAAAATCGCCAGCGTGAGTCAACATCTCATCGACCAGACAGCATGTCGGCGCGTAGACACCCGACTCATGCACCCCCCCAACTTAGCGGAGTGGAATGTAGACCAGTCTTTCGCTCCACCTCCTCTTCCCCCTTCCCCCATCATTTCTCCACCATCTCCCTTCCTTCCTTTTCCCTCTTCCCCCTTTAGCCAACAACATCAACATCCCTCAAGCCTGGTCGCGACAAGTGAGTCGTCCGTGAAGGCTGGTTAGCACCAGTGGCTCAGTCTCCATACATCTCCGTGCGTGAGTCTCTGCGCTTGAGTCTCCGTGAGCGAGTCTCCGTGTTTGGTGCCAGTGTCCGGGCGACAGTCTGTCTCCAGGCGTCCATCTGTCTTCGTCCATCGGCTGGCGTGCGTACGTCGTCTCCGTGCGTCGTCTCGCCTTGGTCCCACGTGCATCGTCTCCGTGTGTTGGTCTTCGAGTATCGTCTCTACGGGCCGTCTCCATCGGTCTCCATCTGTCCGTTACAACATCAGTCGTGTCGTCAGTCAGCATTCACCTGCTTATTAGCTGCGCCGTGAATGCGATCTTGTCCACGTGCCGTGCCCAGCACGGTTAGCTCGTAGCCTGGCCACACTGCCCCGCGCGCCCCCGTGTCCCCCCCCCCCCCCCACCTCCTCCCTCACACCAAGCCGCTGCCAGGCCATGCCCGTCTCCCTCTCCCAAGAGCAAGCAAACCACCACAATCTCATGTCGCAGCTAGTCACAGCCGCCGCGACGCCAGCTATCACGCCCTCGCCAGCCCAACCATGTCGAGTGCAAACATCCGCTCGCCAACCTCCGTACGGTACTCGTCTTTGGATAGCAAGCGGATGCTCGCGAATCCGCTGTCTTCACCGTTCCTAAGGGGATCTGGTGGCGCACTGCCGTGTCGCAGTTGCATAGCGGCCGTCTCCAATGCCGCCAGTATCTCCGTCCTTCGGCCCAAGACTTGGGGCGCATCCACCAGCGTAATCTCGCCTCGGACGAGGTACGCTACTAAGGCAGCTGTAGCGGTCAGCCACGGGTTACCTCTCCCGATTTCGTCATCTCCAAACCCCTCCTCGCCGCTCGGCGCTGCGGCCCCGGTCATTAAGTTGTGCCAGGGTCCCGTCATCTCGCCACTCTGCTTTGCCGCATCGCCCCCTCCGACATCGGAAAAGACAAGCACCATTTTGACCGACGCCATCGTCCTGCGATCAACATGCTGCGGTATTGAGATACCAGGAGGGATAGCCGCTGCGCCGGTGAAGTGAACAACGATGTGCTTTGACGATGACGCGGGAGTCTCGCGATGAACCACGGGGATGTCACCTGTCGGTACAAACCATCCTCTACCCTCCTCCGCTTTCAGCAGGGGCGCAAACAACACGCGCCGTCGCGAATGTGGAAAGCCGTCGTAGCTATATGGGCCCGGACCCCACGCCGAGTAATATCGTACCACTTCAGGCCTGAGGACACCTAGTAGATCGACGGAGCCGAATCCCGCACCGCGCGCCAGATGCGCGGCTTCCAGCGCTGGCACCTCAACCACGCGCACGCCTTCGATTGCGCGAAGACATCGTTCCAGCGCTGCTTTGCGCGCTCGCCGACGAGAGTCCAGCAGGCACACGTCCATGACCACCCCTACCCGCAGGCCGCGCTCGGCGCGCATCTCTTGCTCGGGTGTTGCAACGTCACGCCAGCGCATCATACCAGGCAGTCGTGGCGCGTGCGGTAGCACAGGGCGAGGAAAACGAGCGATGTAGGCCGCCCCAGCCGTGCCAGGACTCAACACTAGGGGCCGGGAACCCAATGACTTGCCTGGTTCGGAGAGCAGGAGATTGGCGTTACATGCCGACGTCGGCGTGCCAGGCGCGCACGAGAGCACTGTCAAGCTTCTCACGCGGTCACAACAGAACGCTGCATCGTATTCGCGCAGGTAGCGCTCGCCCGTTGAGACAGGGGGACCGAAGCCAGGCATGCGCAGGATGACATGCTGAGCGAGCCTTGCATCGGCTTTTCTTTTTGTCGACCAAGATACGCGCCGTAGGATAAGGAGGGCGGAGTAGTCTGAATGCGCAAGCACCCCGTCAAGGATGTGGGGGTACGTGTCGGCGTCGAGTGGTGTTGCTGATGGCATCGGTAGGAGTAGCGGAGAAGATGATCCCATTACGTGTGTCCTCCGACTAGATTGATGCTTCCGCCCGGAATTGTCATCGCCCAATTGAATCAGACTATGTGGGCGGGGAATGCAAAATGTACCGCGCCTCGCCCAGCACTGTCGTGTACTCGTCGAGAGTGTACATAGCAATGCGCTTTGGGAGAGTCGCAATAGCCTCGGCATTCCAAAAATTTGGATACCAGGTCCTGAGGCGGTTCACAATCTGCACAACGCACCGCGGCAGATCGTGATGCTGCGCAGCGCATAAGTCGCCCCATATAGCGGGGTCGACAGACTCGGCGCCCACGAGCGTGAACCGTGCAGTTGGATTGCGAAATATTATTCGGGCAGTAGGGAACATCAGGCCGAGGTGGCCGGGCGGGGTCTCTTGCGTATTATCAGCAATGCCTGTGAAGTTGATGACAACCTCTGCCGCCGAGACGAGGTTGAGGGTATCCGCGGTCGGCGGGAACACGGTTTCACCGGGATCAAGCACGCGGAAGCCCGTGAGATTGAAGACGAGGCGCGAACCACGGTACGTAGTAAACGGGCAAGGGATGACCCACTCGCCCGCGCGGCCCATAAGGAGCGGCGTAAAGACCACTGCGGTCGCGGCGTTGAGCGGGCGGCCCCACGCACACCACGGCCCATGGAAGCGGTACATGCGCGCCCTGAGAGCCTTGACGAGGTCCGCCGCGCCCTCCACCATCCAAGCGGCCGGGAACGCTGTGACGTCCACGACCTCGGCCTTAGCCAGGGCGGCAGCACAGCGTGCCCTCGCCGCGCGGCGGGCGGCGCGTCGCGCCGTGGCCGCCTGCCTATTCTCCGGACTGACGGTCGACTCCGAGTCGCCCGGAGGCGTGGGGGCGCGCACGCGCACGGGGGCAATGGCGCCCGCCCAGTGCATGAAGACGGGGAGCTTGCCGCCCGGCGCGACGAGGGAGCGGACTTCGAGGCGTCGCATGCGCTCACGTAACAGACGAGTGTCGAGCCTCACGTCTACAAGGCGGGCGGGGGCGTGGACGTGTACGCCGCACGGAATGTGCAGGCGGACATGGGCGGCGAGGCGCGCGTCCGCTGCGTCTCGGAGGGCGTGGGAGGCGGCGCGCAGCGCCAGCAGCCCCGAGAAGTCGGCTTGCTCGAGCACAGCATCGAGGATATGGGGGTAGGCGGAGCCGTCGAGCATAGTGACATAGGAGAATGACGTCGGGCCGCCGGATGAAGATGTAGCCGGCGTCCGCCGGTCGACACGAGTATCAAATCGAAGCGGAGCGTCGAGGTGCGTGGCGGCAGCGATGGAGCGATCATGAACAGACCAGAGCTGACAGCAGGAGGTGAGGATGCGGGGGACGCTCGGGTCGTCATTTGTGCTCTGATCCGCATCGCGCACAAAAGGAAAGCCTCGTGTGGGGCTCGAACCCACGACCGAATGATCAACCGGAACTGAAAGAGTCCGCATTAAGAGTCATTTAATCTACCGACTGATATAACGAGGCAGAGACATTCCGTGACCTCCGCAGCCCCTTCCGTTTCATATTGTCATAATTAGAGCATCCCTGGGCGCGCTCCGACGGCATCATGGGGTGGGTCCCAGACTTACATTGGGCCAGATAGGTTCGTTGCATTGCGCAGACCCAGTAGCCGAGCTTTCCAACGCGCTCTCCATCTCAGCCCGGTGCGCTCTTCTGGTGAACTCCCTGCAACTCCAGCAGCGACAGTTCGGGTCATTGCGTCGCTCAGAGGTGGGCTCATCCAGGCGACACCTCGGGCACGGGCGGCCGGCGTCGCTGCAGTACGTAGCCGGGGACCACCTGCAAATTGCTATCAGTTTGGCATGTACATACGAGCACATACGTACAGCCCCCGCTGCAGGTGCCACAACGACTCAAGATCGGAATGGCAGCGATGGGTTCCGCTGCAGCTTGGTGATGATGGGTGTCCCCTGCTCCTTCACTCACACACACGCTACCCAACATAGCGGTACGCTGGATCTGTCTCGATCGCCCACTGCGTCCCGCCGACCTTGGCGGCGTACTCAGCCCGCGAAACGAGTGTCAGGGGACACGTGCCGTCGAACTCGACGCGATCGTCTTCGTAGTGGTCCAACTGAGCGCGCATGTCGCCCACAACCCGGTTCAGCCACTCCGCGTCGTCTGTGTCGCCGACAATTGTGACGCTCGTCTCGGCACTATGCGGGCGGCACGCCTCAGCAACGATTCTGGCCAGTGCGGGGACGAGAGTGGGTATCTGCACGCCGTCGAGGTAGTCGAAGATGAGGATGATCTCACGAGTCTTCGTCGGTGGCAGTCGGGGGAGGGCGCTGCCTGGGTTCTGACGGTATCCGGTGCACCAAGCACGCGAAAAGTGAGCGACAACAACGGGGACAGGCGCGTCGAAGAACCACATGCAGTCGTCCAGCCACACGTCGCGCTCGACCATGACAACTAGGCGCCGCGCAATGTCCGCTGGACCACTGTCGTGGAGGTGCATGAAGCGACCCGTTGGGCGGACTGAGTCGTACATCTCAGCGAGGGAGATGCGGAGGCGGATCACCTCCGGTTGAACTAATGTCAAGATGGCTGGCGGGAAGTGGATGAGGCTCTGGCCCGGATGGAGGTCGATCACGCGCGTCGATCCAGGGAGAGGCGGCGGCCCGCGACCAACGCCGGGCTCCTTGCCCCAGGTCTTCGCTGTGCAATGCACATGACCCTTCAGAGAGGTGCCCGCGGCGCTGCGGAGAGTGTATGTGTCGCCGCGCGAGGTGAGGAGCGACACGTGAGCGTAAAGCTTCGGGAGGAGGCGGGCGCGCAGTGCTCGCGACGTGCTTGCGATGGCGAAGAGGGTCGGCGGAGGGGCGAAGTGCGCGATGCGCTCTACGAGGTGCGGAAAGGCCGTATGGTCCAGCGTCGGAGTGCGAGACTTGTGGGAGCTCGCGAGGGTGAGCGTGCGGAACTGAGCTGCGGCACAGCCGACGGCATCTCGGCGTCTCGGAGATGAGGACTTTGTCGGAGCGGAGGTGTTGCGGGCCGGTGTCATGATGGCATGGTGTTTGGGGACTGGAATGGGACGGGTGTGTCGGCCGACGTTGACGGAGAGTAAGAGGCAGGACGAGAGATGGAGTGAGATCAGAATCGAGAGCGATCATGCAGTTTGACGTCAGCAACGCCCGTTAGAGCCGTCCACGGTGGCAACGGAATGTTAAGGCCCTCTGATCTCCGCACGACCTCGACCATCACGGCGATAGTTGGGGAACAACTCAACCCGCGCCGCTAACGATCACTCGCTTATACGTGAACGCCTGCTGCACCGGGGCTTCAAGCATTCATTCTGGCCGTTGTTTTGGCGCTTCGGCTGCTTCCAGCTCCGAGTATGGGTGGGCTGCTTGGTGGAGGTGGAGTCCCCACTGATCGACGTCTCCGGACGTCTTGCGGCCGCGCTGAGCTCACAGAGGCGTATGAAGCCTGTCCGCATGGCATGGCGCTCATTGTTCTGCTGTTCTGCATCTGTAATCATGCTGCAAGGGCCAGTACGAGTATAATTGCTATGGCGTTGGCTGCGGTGAGAGTCGGCCCTTCCTAGGCCCTCCCCATTGTCCCCGGCAGCTCGGGTTCCGGGCAGACGATACATACAGGGCGAGATTTCCTCAAGATTACGCGAGGCCGGCGAGAACCGATAATGCGTGCCAGGGTCCCCGCCAGATGGCCGCTAGTAGCCGGGTATCCAGCGCGCTCTTCGACTTCCAGATCCGCTCGTCACCCCAGCGCGCCGCCCAGCGCACGTTATGAGAGCGTGCTTAGGGTGCGGCGCGCGGAGCTGTCGTACGTCGATGACTCGGTGACTGCCTCGGTGTGCTCGTGTGCTCTGGGAGGGACTTGATAGATAAGCCTGATGCTCACATGACCGCAATTCGGCGTTGATCTTGTGGCACTTGTGATTCACCGTAACACAGAGCAGCGCACGATCGACATGCATACTCTGCGCAGATCAATATTTTACAGCAAAGCACGCCCTCTATGCATGCAAGCGCGTCTGCAGTTGTCAACAAAATTCCGGCCATGTCCGCAGTAAAGTGCCCACCCACCGGGTAAGAAATGTAGTTTGGGGCCGGTAGGCCCGGCTAACATTTCGAATCCGCGGCCGGGGCTGGGCCTTTTCGGCCGCGCTCTTGGGGCTGCAAGTGGGGGGGCAGCGAGTAACGACTTGTGTAGACCTGCGCGACGGCAACGTACTTAACCTCGCTTGGGTGTCGTCTCTCTGAGATCTTTCAATTCCCCTCCCTCTCCCTTCATCCACACATCTCATCATGGCGCCCCCTCCCCCCGCCTGGGTCCAGAAGCTCGTGCCGTCGTCGCCCCGCGGCCCCGACCTCCTCTCGGCTGAGCGCAATGGCTCGCAGGTCAACTCTGAGCGCCTTGCCGAGCTCCTCCACACCAAGGAGCAGCTTGAGTTGAACCAGCGCATTGAGAAGATCATCTCGGCTGAGCCCATCTTCGACAAGAACGAGCTCCTCTCGATGGGCCGTGTCGACCGCATCGAGCGCTCGCTCGCCCGTGGCAAGACGCTCAAGCGCCTCAACGCCAAGCACAACTGGTCCAAGGAGGAGTACAAGGTTGCCGCCAACATCTCGGGCGAGCCCAACGTCTACGGCCTCCACGACTCGATGTGGCTCGTCACCCTCCGCGAGCAGGGCACCCCCGAGCAGCACAAGCTCTTCCTCGAGAAGGCTGAGCGCGCCGAGTACGTTGGCTGCTACGCCCAGACCGAGCTTGGCCACGGCTCCAACGTCCGCGGTCTCGAGACCACCGCCACCTGGGACCCCAAGGACAAGACGTTCGTCATCCACTCGCCCCACCTCACTGCCTCCAAGTGGTGGATCGGCTCGCTTGGCAAGGTCGCCAACCACGCCATCGTCATGGCCCAGCTCTTTGTCAACGGCAAGAACCACGGCCCGCACCCCTTCGTCGTCCACATCCGTGACCTCAAGACCCACGAGCCCCTTGAGAACATCTACGTCGGTGACATCGGACCCAAGTTTGGTTACAAGTGAGTGTCCAGTGACTGAGTTGGCTGTCGGGGAGTCACCCGTCACCTGACTGTGCCCCATAAATGTCGACCGAGGTGGGCATGTGCCCACGTGACGGATCGGCGAGGGTTTGGCAGTGCCACACTGATCTGCGTGCAGATCGCATCGGATGCACACAGTCGCTGACAGCCAGCTCGATGGACAACGGTTTCCTCCTCTTCAACCACGTCAAGATCCCCCACGTCAACATGCTTGCCCGCTTCAACTACGTCGACCCCGAGACGTCCGAGTACCGCCGCGTCGGCTCGCCCTCGCTCATCTACGGCACGCTCACCTGGGTGCGCTCGAACATTGTGCTCGACTCGGGCTCGTCGCTCGCTCGCGGTGTCGCCATCGCGACTCGCTACGCCGCCGTCCGTCGCCAGTTCCAGGACCGTGACGCCGAGGAGGCTGGTGTTGGCGGCGAGACCCCTGTCCTCAACTACAAGATGGTGCAGGCCCGTCTCCTCCCCCTCCTCGCTGCCTCGTACGCCCTCCACTTCACCGGCCGCGGCATGATGGAGCTGTACAACGCCAACCAGGAGCAGATGAAGAAGAACCTCGCCAACGGGCCCACCAAGCGCTCGGCCGGTCCCGAGGAGCTCAACCCCGGAGCCGACCTCCTCGCCGACCTCCACTCGACCTCGTGTGGCCTCAAGGCGCTTGGCTCGACTATTGCCGTCGACGGCCTCGAGATGTGCCGTCGTGCCTGTGGTGGCCACGGCTACTCGTCCTACTCGGGCATCGGCTCGTGGTACTCGGACTACCTCCCGACCGCGACGTGGGAGGGCGACAACTACATGCTCACGCAGCAGGTCGCGCGCTACATGCTCAAGACGGCGCGTGCCGTCATCAACGGCACTGCGCCGGACAACGAGACCTCGCGCATCCTGAAGCACTACCTCGCGCGCAAGGACACTGGCGCTGCGTTCGACGTGCTCAACAACGACGGCGACCTCGTCTCGGCCTTCGCCTGGCGCACCGCCTACCTCACCTTTGAGGCGCTCCGCCTGCGCGACAAGGAGAAGCAGTCGTGGAACTCGCTCCTCGTCCACTTCTGGCGCCTGTCCACCGCCCACTCCCAGTACCTCGTCGTGCGCAACTTCCACGACGCGGTGGTCAAGGACCGCGCGGCGGTCGCGGCCAAGGTCGGCGAGCCGACCGCGCAGGCCCTCGTCGACCTCTACCGCCTCTTCGCGCTCACCACGCTCGAGGCGCACGGCGCCGAGTTCTTCACCGCCGGTGCCGTCACCACCACCCAGATTTCCCTCACCCGCACCAAGGGCATCAGCGCGCTGCTCGACGCCGTCCGCCCCAACGCCGTCAGCCTCGTCGACGCCTGGTCCTTCAGCGACTACCTCCTCAACTCGGCGCTCGGCCGCAAGGACGGTGCCGTGTACGAGGACCTCTTCGCGCGCGCATGGTCCAACCCGGTCAACAACCTCACCTTTGACCCCTACCCGACCTCGCCCACGCTCATCAAGCGCCGCGAAGCCAAGCTTTAAGCGCCGCCCACGATGCTGCGAGGCTAGGGTGTAGGGTGTAGTGCCGGCCACATAGTCGGGGCCGGCAGGTGTAATTGTAGTAGTCACGGACGCAGTCACGGACAGAAAAGCGATCCTCGCTAATAGCTTGGGAATGAATCTTGCATTGGTTTCTGGTACCACCGGCGGGGAGTGTGATGTTGCGGACTGCGACTGAGGAGCACAGAAGGCAGGTGAAGAAGCGGGTGAGCCGCGTGACTGCTTGCTTACTGCCAAGCCGGACCCGGGTCTCTTTATCCCTGGTATGAGTACGCAAGTCCGAGCTTGTGGCGAAGGGATGACGCTCAAGCCCGCTGCCTTCGGGTGAAAAGTTTGGAACATTTCGACCATTTGCATCTCACTCACTACATAACAAGGTCATACAGCTTACAGTCAAGCGTTCTATAATGTGACGGCGCTACTCTGCGCATTTTACAAGCGTCTGCGGATGTGTTGGGTGGGGATCAGACGAAGGCGATCCCGCAGATCAAGGCTGCAAAGGAGAGAGGTTTCGGGGATCGCCGGGGCGGATGGGACAGATCGGCGGGCACAAGTGTGACCGTGGCGGGAGGACATTCTATGCGTTCCAGTGCGCGACCAGATCTATCGACAGGGGGTCGGCGGCCTGCACAATATCGATGCGTCTTCGAAGCGCTATGCTGTGTCGACGAGGGCTTGCCGTACGATGGCGGTCCAAGCTCGAGCGAGGTCCATGGGGTGAGTCCAGGCCGGGTGCCGCGCCGCCCACTTGGCAAGCCTCGTGTACGCCCAGCGTGCCGGGCTCGTGTCTGCGCCCATGCAGAGGCGCACCTCGCCCTGCTCGGGGGCGTCGCCAGCCAACGCCGCGAGGCCCGCGAGCGTGATGCAGAGACTCACGTCGGTTTCGTTGGCGTCCGACTCTGTCCTGTTGTCGGTGTCGCCTGCGTCGGACACTGAACGGTCACGGTCGGGCTGGTCATACTCGGGCGGAAGACGCTGCTTGGTCGGCAGCCGCTGTTCGGGCGGCAGGCGGTGTGGGTGGTTCGGCGGTGGGGCCGGGGGCTGAACGTGCGGAGAAGGGAGGGGAGGGGAGGGGACCTGCGAGAAGGAGGTCGGGATGTGCTCGAGCACAGGGGGTTCGACCCGGTGGACGGGCTTGCCGTGCAACACGAGCTGCGCGGGGTGCTCTCCAGCAGGCGATAGCGGGAGAGCCAGGGCCGCGGCGGCCCAGAGGAGAGCGAGGACGCGCATGAGGCCGAGGCTGCGGCCGCCGCTGAGAGCGTGAGTGAGGACGAAGACGGACAAACTCACAGTTGAGAAGAGGAGAAGTGGGTGATTGGAAAGAGTAGTTGGAGAATGAGGGATGGAAAGTGGTGGGATATCTGGGGTAAAGAGGGGCCGGACGGGAGCGAGGGACGACGCTCGTGCACGAGATGCTCAGCGCGCAAGATGGCGTTCCGCATATCAGCCTCGAGAGCTTCTGTATCCGGGCAGCGGCCAACATTGAATGGCTGCTGAACATTGCATGCATGGGGTCCGTCTCACTGTCCGAGTGAATTAGCTGAATGGGCATGAATGTGAATGAATACGAGGTTAGTTTTGAAATGAGTTGATGGCTGACACGCGACACAACCTTCCAATGCCCATGGCAGGCACCGGGTCTCAGTATGCCGTAAGACTCCCTCGGCCCCTCCTCTTGTCTCTCTCCCCATGACTGGAATCCTCGCCGCCTTGGCGCTCGCGGGTGACGCTAACCTCGAGGCGACTCTCTAAAGGCTGGAGCCTGGAGTACTGGTGTACTGGAGCGCCCCTGAGTCAATGAACTCGCTCATCCCACAGCTCAATCCCGTCGCTGGCCACGGCATGCGTCGTACGCCTGCAGGCTCGTTACGCTTGCACGTGGCATACCATCTGAACCACCAGCTTCGCAATGTAGGCTGGCTTCGTTGTCCGTCGTCAGCAACAGAAGGAACGGAGGCGCGCCCGTCGCGATGTCGGGCAGACGCGAAGGCACTCGGATACGTTCACAAAGGTAATGTCGGCGACGAGGCTTCACAACCGGGAGACGCCTAATAATCCGCAGGCCGCAGCACTCGGGCTAAATGTGGCACATGACGTCCAAGTGCGAGTGTGAGCCTCAACACTTTCTGCCATCGCCAAATCGCCAAGCGAAGCGCATCCCGTCAATGTCGGATGCACTTGCGCTCGTCCCCGCTGCAGTCACAGTCGTTTCATAGCGCCGCTGATCACCCCACAAGGCCGGTGATGCGGCCGAGGCCGAGGATGCCGCCGCCGCCAAGCTAGAGACGGGAGGTCTAGGGATAGGGGTGGCAGGAAATTGCGATGTACCGCTCCTCAGTTACGTTTCCGCGACAGGGCTGCACTGACATAAGTACAACGCCCAGCAATCCGGGACACGAAAACGGGGCGCATCCGCGACTCGAGGAGAACCCAGGCGTACCTCACGTGTGCAGGCGTATTGTACATTGCAAGCATGCTTTACAAATCAGTCACGACTCATCGTCGCTCTCCTCCTCCTCACTCTCTTCGTCTCTGACAACCCCATAGCTCCCCTCATCACTCGAATCGTCCGTTCGATCCCACTCCTCCCCCGCAGTGCTATCACTGCTCTCGCTGCTTCCGCTCGAGGTGCCCTCCGCCTCTTCCTCATCCCCCTCCCCCGCATCCTCCCACTCCTCATCGCTCGACTCCCCCTCCTCCCTGGCCGAGACCCACTGGCTCTCCTCCCACTCCTCCTCGGGCCACATGCACTCGCTGTCGATGTCCTCGTCGTCGCTGTCGTTGCTGTCGTCGCTGTTCTCGCTGTTCTCGCTGTCCTCGCTGTCCTCGCTGCCATACGAAGTTGTGTCAGCTGGAGAAAGACTCGTGTCAGACATGGTGGTGTGCTTGTGGCCCACTCATCACTCTGCAGTATATACGCCAGCATACAACCAGTTGATACATCAGTTTATGGCGAGGTGCAAGGTACATGAAGGGGTAGGCTGTACGATTGGATGTTGCGCCCCATAGACGCGAGGCGGCGCAGTCTCAAATACATGGGCGCCTGGCCTACCAGTCCCTCGCGCTGCCACTCCTTCGAGCCTCTTGGAACTTGATTTCTAGTCGAGCAACTCTTGAAACTTCATTTCAAGTCCAGTCCGCTACATCCCACGAAATCTACCACCACACGCGCTCGACCGGCCGCTCCCGCACCTCCTTGATGCACGGCAGCCCGGCGCACGGGGCAAGCACGTCGTCGAAGACGGTGGGCACGGGATTCCTCTGCGGGACGGGGTAGGTCTTCGCGCTCGGTCCGCCCATCCCTGCGCTCGATAGGCCCACAGCGTACGCCGGCGAGCGGGGTATTGGTGCATGTGATTGTTCGTAGCGAGGCACGCTCGGCGAGTGACGCGCACTCATGTCTTTGGGGCGCAGGGGCATGGGCGCGGAGATGCGTTTCAGCGCGTTCGGGCTGGCGCGGACGAGCGGGAGGCTCGAGGAGCGCGGCGGTACGCGCACGGGCGGGGAGGGGGAGGGCGGGGGCCGAGAGCGGGGATTCGAAGGCGAGGCGTAGTTGGCGCTGTAGCGGTCGGGCGTGAGCGGCGTGAGAGGCGTGCGGTCCGGCGTCGACGGCGCGGTGGTGAGGCCCGGCGTCGGCGGGGATTCGGGGCGCGGCCGCCAGCCGCGCAGATTGGAGGCGACGAAGGCGAGGTACGCTTCGTACACGGCGTCGTCGAGCTCGTCGGGCAGCTGGGGTTAGCTGATCGGGGAGGACGCACGGGCGGGAAGGGGATGCTAGGCGGCATTGCGATGCGAGGAGGGTGAGGAGATGCGTGAGGCGCGAAATGCTTATGAGCAGTGTTGGCTACATGGCGGCGGATGCGAGCGTGAGCGTGGGACTGGAGTGTGTGCCGTGTGAGCGTGAGTGTGGTGTGAGGCGTTAGTGGTGTGGTGTGCGTGCGGATGGTGCATGAAGTCGGGCAGTCATGGACGCTCGCACCGTGGCGAGCGTGCGAAAGGTTCCCGGCCGGGATCCGGGTCGCCGGGATGTTGCATGTTGCATGCATGATGCCGCGGATGACCTTATTTGGCCTGCAGGAGGCGGCGTCTGTGCGTCGTGGCGCCGAGATAGTGGTCCGAGCCATGCTCCTTTAGGTACCCGGCGTTCGGCGGTGCGAAGTGGCTCAGAATGGAAGTGGCTCGGAAGACCGGATGCAGATGCTGAGGCGTTATTCGCCCCTCACCTCTCACCTCGCACTCCTCGCTCTTTGTGGTCGTCGAGGGGCTGCTGTGGTGCGGCTGTGGGCTGGCGAACAGGCGTAGATGACCCTCATTCTGCGCTCCTCCTCGTCACGAATGGGGTCAGCGGGGGTGAGGCGGTGATGCGTTAGCAACAAGTCAGTATTCCCCCCCCAGCGTCTTACGCCGCCCAGTCGCTGTCGTAGGAAGTTACTGTACATGGCCACTCTTCTTCTCCGGCACCTACACCCGATGCCTGTACTCAGCCCTTGACCGTCGGCGAGCGGCCACGCCGCTCTTCCTCGCCTCCGCCCTCCTCTGCGGTGCCCTGCCCGCTCGGTGTGCAGTCGTCCCAGTCCTGCGTCAGCGTATCCTCGCACAATCGCACATCGGTGAATGGCGGGGATTCGTCTGTCATGGTCGCGTGTAGTAGAGGGATGGTGTCGTGAGAGTGTAATGGGTGTCTGGGTTACGGATAACAGACCCCATTCATCGCTAATGTACATGAGGGATCGGTGCAGCTAGTGGCGAGAGCTTCAGAACGCACCCAGCTTTGTCCTCGCGGAAACGCATCAGCCTCATCATCGGAAAGAAGGGCGCAGGACGTCGCATCAGTGGAGCTGTGTGCGAGATCAGTCGCGTCAGATGATCAGTATGTAGCTACCTGTGTCGGCCTGTGCCTGAGACCATTGGCGAGAGTTAGCTGAGAGCCAATGCTACATACATGGTGATGGAATATGCTGGTCTAGTCGGTTCGTCTATTCAGGCCGCGCGTGCGCGCGCCCTCTATTCGTACGCCGGGGGTGTGTCGGTCGGATGACCTCCAGGTGCTTCCCCCGGCGGTGTGCCCGAGTTGGCCCTCCGCGGTTCCGCAGAAGTACTCACCCCGGGCGTGTTCGGCCAGCTGTCGCCGCTCAAGCCGCGTCGGCCTCGCCGCTCCTCCTCCTTGTGCGCTGTCGGGGTCACAGGCTCATCACCCACATCCTCGAGGTTTATGGCGCGCATACGCGCCTCTAGTTCCTGCAGGCTCAGGCCGCATGCGCAGTCGGCCCACTTGTTCTTGACGTCGTCCGTCACGAATCGGTATTCGCAGTCGGGGCAAATTCCGTTCTCGTTGCCGACGAGCTTCGGTGCGTGGTCGTGGCGCACGTGGGGAACAGAGCTCATGCATGTGCGGCACAGCTGCTCGGCAGCGGGAGTGCTGCAAATCTTGCATGCCTCCGAGCTGAAGCTGTGCGATTCGTAGGACGGCAGGTCCACAACGTCGGGGATGAAGGCGCAACTGGGGATCGTCACAGGTTTGTCAACCTTGAGCATGCGCAAGTGCCCTTGTCCTGGGGTAGGCAGCGGATTGCCGCTCACGTCCTCGCCGAACACCGAGTAAAAGACCTCGAGAATGAGCGAGTGTGATGTCACCATCGGGGTTTGGACGCTGCTGTAAGCTTCCTGTGCGGACTGTGGGGCTGGGGTGAAGTTTGGCTGCTTCTACTTTCTGGCAACAAGCGAGGTCACTCACAGAGGAAGAGTCGATGGCCGTCCGGTCTCGTCCGTCGGCAAACGCGCGCTCCCTACGAGAGTGAATCCGCCCTCGTCCTTGCCACTCGCCTCGGTGCCGCGCCAGATCGCAGGCGTACCTGGAGTTGGGCGCTGGGGTGGTGGGCGGATGCCCTTCTCCCATAGCGGGAAGGTCGTCAGCGAAATGCGGGGCTTGGTGGTGACGGGGTCGTCGCGAGGTGATTTCATTTCCATGCGCTGCACCAAGGACACGCGCGCATAGTAGATGGTCGTTTTCGGATCGGGTTTGGCGAAATTGAGCATGATGTTCATGAGTGCGCAAACGGTCCACTAAGGGTTAGTTATTTCCGACACGTGCTTCTGTTTACCACTTGGGACAGGTATCGCACGTCGAACGCGCCGAGTCCCTCCACATCGCCACGACGCCGCTCGTCGAGGGTTGACACCCCATTGTTGGGGTCCGGGTTGTACAGCAGCGTGATGGAGCGGCTCGTCTTGACCGTACCCGTAAGCCACTTGACCTCCGACTCTTCTTTGGATGGAGTCGTGCTCACAGGGTCGCTCCACGACACGAGCATCTGAGAAAGAATCTCGTCTGTGCTGGGCGCGCTGATGCCGTCGCCGGAGCCGGTGCTGGTCCCGGCGCCTTCTAGCGGAGTCCCGCTCCCACTGGATTGCGCACCGTTTTCTGGCAGTGGCGCCGAGCGCTGACGCACTGGCGAGCGCCCGCGCCGCGGCGTCCCGGAAGGAGTGCTAACGAGTGACGCGCCAGGTGAGGGCGACTTGCGCGCGCTCTTGCCCCCAAGCCCTTCTATCTCGGCGTGGATAGTCGTGTTGATCTGCCCCGTGGGGTGAACATCGTACGGCGCGAGCGACCAAGGTACGACGATCGTAAAGTTGAACCTGGGGGTTAGCGGCCGGTCGTGACTGTCGACTGACCGAGTCACGCCCTCTTCCAAGATGATAGCGCCCTTGACTTCGAGTGCACGCTCGAACAGCACGTCCTCCTCCCACCCCCGCTCCTGGCCCATGTACAGCCTGCTAACGTTGCGGAGGGTGACGCGTACGGCGCGGCATCGCCTCCTGCCAGTTCCGCGAGGAAGGTCGATTTCAACCTCACCGTGCAGCTCGCGTCCGCGATGGTCAATGTCGGCGGGGGTGGAAACCTGCCCGTGGTCCTGATCAGGTGCAGGGCGGGTCATGAAGACACCTCCGTAGCTGGGGACATTGATGTAGATGCGGGGACCGCGGCGTGAGGGGGAGGTAGTGCGCGAGCCGCCGCGGCTCTGGTTGCGGAGAAAGCCAAACATTGCTGAGGGGAGGTGGAATGTGGCCTGAAATCTTAAACTCGGTGGACTGGACCAAGTAGGTGAGATTTGGCCACGGTCTGTGATGAAGGAGATTGATGAAAGGGGGAGAGAGCTGTGAGAGTGAGTAAAGGAGAGATGCGAGTGATGAAGAAGAAGAGGAGAATGATGATGATGAAGAGGATGCATTGAATGAAAGCAGTGGGTGAGTCATGTGCTCGAATCGAGTGAGTTGAATGAGTTGGTGGGCGGGAAGTCGCGGGATGTAGCCGGAAGCACGTGTTTGCATTATCCAGGGTGAAGAGCCGCGTCGCGCGCGGTATCTCGGCCGTTGGAATTCCTCTCAAAAAGTCTGGATCTTGCGACCGCCTTGCGACCGAGGCCGGTGTCATGTCATGCTCTCTCATCGCTCGCATCCCATCTCCGGTCAGCGCGGGTTGCTTCGGTTGCTGCCTCGGTGTCTCCGCCGACGTCCCGACATTGGTCTGAGACAGTCTGTCATGGCAGGAGGGCGGCATGGCCGGGTAAAGGGTGGGGGAGGTGCGGGTCGCGCTGCGGATGTGCGGAAATACTCCCATGCCCACCAGGATAAGATATTACTACTGTAGATCGCGCTCTGATGACTGCTCCATGCTCTTCAACAAGAGCCATGGTGGGTGGATGAGTACGTGAGCATGAGCCATGAGCAGCCTGTTTGGTAAATGGCGAGCAGCTAACAATCCACAGGTTGCATGCACTAAGCACTGATCACTCTGATCTACTGATGTCCAAGGTGTACGAGGCAAGTGGACGGCCGTGTTTGTCTGGGGATCGCTGGGGAATGGAGGAATACGCCTCCATCGTCCATGCCACCCTCTCTCTCTTCATCTCTCTCCATCGACATCACACTCACCTCGACATCTTTACTGCTGACAAAGCGACCGACGCTGTTCTCATTGTCGTCCTATCTCACTATCATCTCGCTCCTATCCTCGCAACCGCTTTACCACGCACGGGCCGCCCACCGCCAACCTACCGCCTCCCGAACTACCATCTGCAAGCTGCAAGTCTGTACACCTGTCGCTCGCATGCCGCTCACGCCGCTGAGCGCACAGATACCGCTACGACAGTGACTTGGAACGCCACATCCACCACTCTTCCGCTCTATCTCTCCATCCGCCTCAACGCCATGCCGTGCATCAGTGACGCGACCGCCGCGCGGCTCCTCGACGACCTCGCAGCGCTACGCAACGCCCTCCCCACACCACGCAAAATGACCGCCCTCGACTACACCCTCGGCGTCTCTCTTATTGTCGTCCACATCCTCGCCCTCCTCCCGCCCCCCACGCGTGCATGGCGCCTCGTCCGCGCCGCCCTCGCCCCCTTCATCGCGGCCACTTGGGTCTGGCTGGGCTACGTCCCGCTCTCTCCCAAGTCACAAGATCGATGGGGCGTACAGCTGCTATTCTGTGAGTCGTCCTTGGCATGGGGCGGGCATACCCGAAAGAAGCGACGGAGCGCCTTCACATGCCTCTGACTAACACAAGGCTGCTTTGCATTCCGCGCACTAGAGCACCTCGTCGTCTTCACCCCCGAGTTCGAGGTGTACCGGCTGCGTCCGGCCCCGCCGACACCTCCCAACGGAAAGCGCGGCAAGCTGATAAAGCACGCGCGGCACCCCAAGCTCGAGCCCGAGCCGGTCCCGGCGCCGTGGACGTGGGCCAAGCTCGACTGGGCGACGAGCCTGTGGTGGTCGTGGCGCGGCATCGGGTGGAACTACGCTCCGCCGCTCACAGAGTCACAGATGCGGTATCCTTCCGCGTATGATACACCCCGTGCCCAGCATCTACGCTACCGCGCGCTATACTTGCTTGCGGTGTATGCGGTGGACGGCTTGGCCGGCAGCTTCATGCACGTCGGCATGCCCCAGTTCTTCATCTCTCACACGCTCACATACGCCGAGCTGGACACGCGCCAGCGTGCTGTCGTCAGCCTCGCGACCGTCGCGCGAATTCTCGCGTCACTCGAGTTTGCACATCTCCAGCTTGGGTTGATGCTCGTCTCCATCGGCGGGCTGTGCGGGCTCAAAGGCGAGTTGTGGGAGCCGTGGGGATGGCCAGCAATGTTCGGCTCGCTGCAGGACATCTGGCGCAACCCCGGCCTCAACTACGTCTGGGCCCAGGTGCGTCTCGCCCCAGGGATGCATGCGCTGACACCAGGCGTGGAACCAGTACTTCCGCAGGATGTACCAAATCTGGGCGTGGGTAGGTCTCGGCGAGGGCATCCTCCGCCTGCCGCCGAGCGGGAAGCAGCTGAAGACCTGGTCGGGTGCTCGGCCGAGCTCGGCAGCGACGCCGGCTCCGCCAAGACGCCACCGGCCCGCTCCTCTCCGGCAGGCTCTTGACGTTCCCACGCCGCCTGCGTCCGGCTCGTCGACACCCACAGACTTCGATCTGCAGAGGGTGTCGGTTCCCGCCGCCCAACTTGCTCCCCTGGCGCCGCCCACGCCGCCTGCCTCACCGCCGCCCCGCGCGCCGCGCCGCGCAGGCCTATGGGCCAACCTCGTCAAGTCAGTGCTGGTCTTCACATTCTCGGGCGTGTTCCACGACATCTCGTCCCTCGTGCTCCTTCTCGACGCGCTCGGGCGCGGCGAATCCATCGACCCACGACACGTGATCAGCCTCGCGCCATTCTTCATCGTCCAGCCCATCGCCATTGCCGCAGAGGCCCTCCTCGTACCGCGCTACCGCGCGATTAAGCGCGCTCGCGGCATTCCACGGCACGGCGAAGGCGCGCTCCTCACGCTCGCGGAGCGCACGCTCGGCTTCGCGTACGTCTGGGTCTGGTTGGGCTGGACAGCCGGCTGGTTCGTCGAGGGCATGGCGCGCCTGGGCGTATGGCGCGTCTGGCACCCGCTAGACTTCCAAGTTGCGCTGTTTGCACCGCTGTGGCGTGTGGTCATGTAAGCGTACGCTGTTGCTAGAGATTGTATGCATGCATGGAATGCCCAGACCGTCTCGCGGTGCCACTCGCCGGGAAACGCCGATTTTCCGCGCTCCGCCAGGCACCTCCACTCAGGTCCACTTGGACATTTGTCTGCCCGAAGTCCAACTTTGCACCCAGCGAGCACGAGATCCTCGGCAGCGAGCTCACTCCCCCCCACATCCTAAAACGGCACCCCGCCACCCCGGCACCCCGCCGACGACTTCTCCGTGACGGCCGCGACGCCCCGCCGGATCCCCGCCGCCAGTCCACCATGTCGACTTCGTGTGTGCGCGCGCTCTTGGGCGCGCCCCGCGCCGCGCTTCGGAGCAGGAGGCCACGATGTGGTGAGTGCTCTCTTCTGGCCGTGGATTAGGCTGACAATATGCCATGCTTGCGACGCACCACGCCCACATTTCCTCTCATCTCTCAATTCCAGCCCGCTCGCTCGCGACCGAAGCGCCAGCGCCAGCGCCTTCGCCCTCCGCATCCTCCCCGCCCCCGAAGACGCTGTATCCCGCCGTCCTCCCCGCGCAGCGCGGCGCGCTGACCGGCGACGAAGCCTCGGCCTACCTCTCCTCCATCCTCTCCCTGCCGGGCGGCACGTTCCCGCCCGCGCTCGCGCTCCAGATCCTCACGCACAAGTCGTACCGCTTCGCGCACCGCCTCGCGCACCCCCCGCCGTACAGCGACGCCGAGCTCGCGCAGTCCCAGGTTTCGCACAACGCGCGCCTCGGCTTCGTGGGCCGGCGCGCGCTCGCGGCATACATGGCCATGTTCGTGCACTCGTCCATGCCGAGCACGCAGGCGGTGTACGCCGCCGACTTTTTGCGCGGCAAGGACATTGCGGGGAAACTCGATGCGTTGCGGCACCAGAACAATATCGGGCGTGTGGTGGGCGACCGGTGGCAGATTGGCGAGGTGATGCGTTGGGACAATAACGAGGTGAGTGTGGGTGGTGGGAGGGGGGGGGTTGGAGGGGAGGGCTGGGCTGGGGTTGAGCATGGCCGTAAGGTGTTCCGCACGCACTTTTGCGCATGGCGAGCAGAGTACGAGTGTGAGCGCGCCATACTTTTGCGCCGCCCGCACGGGCCGCGGCTCCGTCTCTGTCGCCAGCTCGGCCAGCCCCGCCCGCGTCTGTCTCCGACATGCAGCTAACCCCAGACCGGCCGCGAGGGGGGCTACGCCAAAGTCAAGGGCCTGACAGTCGAGGCCGTGCTCGGAGGCGTGTTTACGCATCTCGGCTCGCCGGCGGCGCAGCGCGCATACCACCTGCACATCTTGCCGCTGCTCCAGGAGCAGCTGCGCGACCCCGCACTCATTGAGGCTGCCGAGCGCGTGCGTGACAGCGCACAGGGGCTCGGCGGCGTCCTTCCGTAGATAACACCAGCATTGCATGTACGCCATTCTGCCGCGTGGGGGAGTAGGAGGGGACGGCGACGAGTGGGAAGGGGGCTGTGATACAGTGGGAGGAGATGTTTTGTGCAAAGAGCTCTGAGAATGGCATCCTTGGGCTCCTCCATCCTCTATCTCCTACTACAGTTCGGCCTGCCTGATAGCATGCAGTGCGCAGAGCATAGCACCAGCGCATACATCGCATCACCTCATCATCCACATGAAGCCATGGCCACCCGAAATCTGCACCCAGGCACGCCCGACTTTGCTGCCCACGTGGCAAGCGCCACCCTCGCGGTGTTTCGGTGAAATTGTGGGCTCACCATAGGAGGCTTTGCGAGCCCGACTCTGCCCGGAAGCAGCGGCCGCGCGGATCCAATGAGGGCAACTGGATTCGGCGCTTGCTGCTCTCTGTGGTGCTCGGCTCGACCCTCCTCCTCGACCTCGACCTCCTCATCCTCCTCTCCGCCATCTCTCCTCACCTCTCCGGCCTCGCGGCAAAATGGCCTCCCTCACACGCATCAACCTCGCCCCCACCGCGCGCACCCTCGCCTCGGGCGTCCCCGCCGCGCGCGCGGCTCTCAACCTCCCCCCGGCCCCCGACCACCACCACGGGCCTCGCGCCGACCTCCCGGCCAAGTTTGCGACCTACGCTGCGAACGGCGTCAGCAGCCTGCGCGTCAATGGTGGGTGTTTGCGAGCTGGCGGCTGGCATTGGGCGGGGCTAGACGATGGAGCAAAGCTCAAGGCGCGCGAAGCTGTGGCGCAATGAGGGCGATGGAGCCGAGCGATGAGGTGCGGCGTCGGGTGTGCGTCCTACATCTGCTCGCTTGTCAGCACGCCTGCTCCTCCGTTCTCCGCCCGTCGCATCGCCCGCTGTTTTGACCCACTGCCCGCAGCCCCTGTTCTCCCCCCTTTCCTCGGCTAACCCCAGCCAACCCAACAGGCGTCTTTGGCCAGCGTCGCCTGCACACTTCGGCGCGCGCGCTCGTGAGCCGCGACCAGAACGGTGTCCCCGACCTGAGCGCCTACAAGACCCGCAACGAGTCGGGCAACCGTGTCGTCTCCTACTTCATGGTCGGTGCCCTCGGCGCCCTTTCGGCTTCGGGTGCCAAGTCGACGGTCTCGGACATTGTGAGTTGTCACACCAACATCGTCTGACATCAGCTTTCCAACATGGCGGCGTCTGCGGACGTCCTGGCCTTGGCCAAGATCGAGGTTGAGATGGGCTCGATCCCCGAGGGTGAGTGTAGTGAGGCGGGTCACGGATCATCTCAACTGGTTCTCAACCCCGACCCCGCCTTCACTGGTCTCCTTCCCTTCCCCCCTAACCCCAGGCAAGAACCTCATCGTCAAGTGGCGTGGAAAGCCCGTGTTCATCCGCCACCGCACCCCCGATGAGATTGACGAGGCGCGCTCGGTCGACGTCAAGTCGCTCCGCGACCCCGAGACGGACGAGCAGCGCACCCAGCGCCCGGAGTGGCTCGTCATGCTCGGCGTCTGCACCCACCTCGGCTGTGTCCCCATCGGCGAGGCCGGCGAGTACGGCGGCTGGTTCTGCCCCTGCCACGGCTCGCACTACGACATCTCGGGCCGTATCCGCAAGGGCCCCGCGCCCCTCAACCTCGAGATCCCCGAGTACAGCTTCAACGACGCCGAGGAGAAGATTGTCGTCGGTTAGACAAATTGTATGGCCCTGCGCCGATGCAAAATGCCCGTGAGGGTTGGATAGAGATGCGAGGTGACGAGGCGGAGCGAGGCATGGCATGGCAGTACGGATCTATCCAAAGCTCCACACACGCATGATGTCGCCCCCGGGGCCGTCTACGAGGCCCACTATCTTTTCCTCGTCAAACGCGAGTTGGCGGATCGCAGATGCGCCGTCTGTAGCCGTCGGTGTCTCGGCTGGTGGGAGGGTGGCAGGCGGCGTCGCGAGAAAGAGCCCGCGGGCGACATGCGAGATGGCGGTAGGGTGGTGCAGCTGAGCATCATCCAGACTTTCCCTGCTCTCCGTGACGTCGCTGCCACTTCTCTCCTTCATAACACCACCACCCGCCGCCCTAGGCTGCTGGCGCCGTCCATGTCGCCTGACTTCGACAGCGTCGATCCGGCCAACACGCGCCTCACCCACCTCACCCACCTCGCTTTCACCGCCCTCCCCGCCTTCACCGCCCTCATCCAGGTCCCAAACAAGGACGCGCCCGTCGCGGCCTCCGCTCACGCACCGGCCCGCCTGGAGGGCGAGGGACGCGACGCCCGCGCTGGGCGCAAGCAGCGTCTGCGCATGCGCGATCGTCCCCCGACCACGCGGCAGCGCGAAGACGTACACAACCGTGTCGTCGCCCGCGAGGACGCACCACCGCCCGTCGCTGCCGACGCCGACGGGGCGGCGGACGCCCGCGAGCGGGCGCACGCGCCGCGGCCACGCCGAGTCGGGGGACGGGACGACGGTGTGCGGCTCGGTGCGGGCTACGCGCCCCGCGATGTCGACTTGCAGCTCTTGCACCGCGAGCGTCCATGACGCGGGGTAGATCGGGGCCGTGTACGTCAGGGCTGCGCGGAAGCGTGTGGTTCCTCCCTCTTTGGATCGCTCGCCGTCGGGCGAGAGCGAAAGCGAGGCGGGGTGGAAGCTTACGGCGCTACGCAGCACTCGGAGGAGCGTCGGCTCGCCCGACGCCAGGCTGTATACGGACAGCACGAAGGCGCGCGTGCATGTCACCAGGGCTGGGTGGTGCATGCTGGCCAGGACGACGGGGTCGGCGTCAAGCGAGGCGTCGCGGCGGGGTGGGCGGGCGCGGCGCGCCCACACTGCCTCACGCGACCAATGGAGTGTGTCGGCGTCGGCGAGGCGGAGGCGGACGATTGCAAAGCCACCGGACGCGTACAGGATGACGAGGCGGGCGGGAAGGGCTGCGCCGTCTCGCGGCCGCGACGCGACGGCTTGGTCGGCGGCGATGGCGGTGACGTGGTCTGGTCGGTGGGGAGATGACCAGCCCGGCGGAGGCGGGATGATGCCGAGCGGCGCGCCGGGGCGGGCGGAATAGACGTGCACTAGTGGCGAGGCGGGGTTGGACGTGCAGATGAAGCTCGGGAAGAGGGCGAGGTGTTGCGCGTGCGCGTCGCCTGGTTCTTCTCGCGTGAGGGAGGCAGGTGAGGGCGGGAGGGGGACACGCGCCTCTGCGAGCACGGCGCCGTTTGACCTGGTGTGAGCGACTTCTCAACGCGACCCTCAGCCGGACCGCCACTGACCAGTTCGTCCCCAGCCGCATCATCAGCTTCCAGTCGACGCCGTCGTGGCGCGCCTCGGCAACCTCCCACTCTTCGGGCGCCGGCGATGGCGAGGGGCTAGGCGGTGGAAAAGCGCGGCTCGGGAGGCGCGCGAGCGGGCGCAGTGGCGTGTTTCCCCCACTGGTGCCACTCGCACTCCGCGTGCTGCGTGTGCTCCGCGACACGCGCACGTGGTGGTGCGGATGCGGGTATCTTGCGAGGTAGATGCGCTTCCAGAGCTGTGGGTCAACAGCAATAGCCGCCCAGCGGCGCGACACCGCTTGCGCGCGCGCGAGGTCGGCTGGCCCCAGGTAGGCGAGGACGCGGAGGAAGAGCTCGTCGAGGTCGAAGAGGGGGCGGAGGGCGGACGGGACCTCTGGAGCCAGGTGCGCGTCCGTGTCCGCATCCGCCTCCAGCCTCAGCCTATTGCGCCTGGACGGGCGCGCGTCGGGGGAGCGAGGCCGCTTCGGCATGGCGAGTGTGAGAAGACAGGCATGGATGGTGGACGCGATGAAGACGGATATGTCAGTCACGTGATTTGCCACCCATGTCCCTCGGCGATCCTCTACTTGCCGCACATCCGTACATCCTGACGCAGCCAACTCCCCGGCAGTGTCGGAAGCTCGGATGATGAACCCTTCTCCATGATCTCCCACTTCGCGTTCATCGTTGTCTGATGCGCTGTGTGACTCTCACGCATCGGGGCGAGGCGCCAGCCGACATCGGCCGAGCTGGGCGGCGTGCGCCAGAGCACACGTACGAGGTATTGGGGCGTGGGAGTGTTACTGTGGCGCTGGTCGACTATTTGTTCTCACGATCTCACGCCTCCGCCTCTCTGACCTATCTCTTTCATACGCACACTGCATCAGCTCACCATGGCGACCCCCGACGAGCGCCACGACGACGTGCAGTCCGCGAGCTCGGCGTCCGCCTCCGCCTCGCCCCTCGGCACCTCCGGCGAGCTCATCAGCCTCAGCGACGCCGAGAGCGCCGGAAAGTCTCCCGACGTTCCCATCTTTGACGTCGAGACACCCCCGCCCGCCCCGGATTTCTACCACAGCTTCCCTGCCGTGCCGGCGTCCACCGCTTTGGACGGAGAGGAGCTGGATGACCACTACGCCGCCGGTGGCGTCGACGCCAGCCCGCGCGGCTCGGTGTCCATGAACGTCGGCGAGGAGATGGATGCCGAAACGCGCAGGTACATTGTGCAGCACGGCGCGCGTGCGCCGTTTGACCCCGACCGCGCGCCTTCACCATATCCTATGCGCGCGGCACCGTCCGCGCCGTCTCCCCTCGTCGCAGTCGCTGGCGCCGAGTACGACTTCCCGGGCGACTCAGACGCCGTGTCCCCGTCCGCCGACGTCCCGCTCGTCTCCCTTCCTACTGAGCGCCAGCCCTCGCTCGAGCTCGATCCGGAGACGCTCGCACGCGAGCAGCGTGCCTACATTATCGAGCACGGCGTGCGCTCGCCCAGCCCCTTCCACGCCCCCCCAGATGCTGCGCCCGCAACCGCCCCCTCCTTCGCAGACGTGACCGGGAAGGCGATCGGGCCGACGGACGAAAAGGGCGCAGAGGGCGAGAAGCACACCCATGACGCGTGTGATCTACTCTCTTCGGGTGACGTCGCGCACACCAGCGTCACGGCCGTCTCTCACGGTTCTTCGACTTCGACCCCTCGTCCTTCTTTCTACTCCACACGCAACATGAACCCCGACGTTCCGCAGCCCGTCGACGCCCCGCAGCACAAGCACTTCCCCTCGACGAACGTCGAGCCGGGTCCGACGGCCGACACGACGCAGCGTCTCGAGTCGGTCGAGGCGAAGGAGGAGGTCGAGGCCAGGCGTTACAGCAAGGCCTCGCTTCCTGCGACTCCGGCCCACCGCCATTTCCCTCCTACTAATGTGGAGCCTGGGCCCACTGCGGATACTACGCAGCGCCTCGAGTCTGTTGAGGCCAAGGAAGAGGTCGAGGTGAGGCGTTACAGTAAGGCCTCTCTCCCGCAGACGCCGGCCCACCGCCACTTCCCGCCTACCAACATCGAACCCGGCCCCACCGCGGACATCACGCAGCGCCTCGAGTCCGTCGAGGCGAAGGAGGAGACCGATGCGGCCGCCAGCCGCCTCAGAAAGCCCTCGCTCCCCGCGACGCCGGCCCACCACCACTTCCCGCCTACCAACATCGAACCCGGCCCCACCGCGGACATCACGCAGCGCCTCGAATCCGTCGAGGCGAAGGAGGAGGCGGACTACACGCAGACTGTCCCCGCGCCTGCGCCCGCGCACCGCCATTTCCCGCCTACGAACGAAGAGCCCGGCCCGACGGCGGACACGACGCAGCGCCTCGAGTCCCTCGAGGCGAAGGAGGGCGCTGAGAGTGCGCCCGCGCGCCACCAACATGCGCCCTTCACCAACCCCGAGCGCGGCGCAGCGGACACGACGCAGCGTCTCGAGTCCCAGTCGAAGACCTCCACCAAGACCAAGACCACCACGACCTACATCCCGGCCGTGCACCAGCACGTGGCGCCTGCGCGCGCCATCGACCCGCTGCGCCAGTCGCGCGAGCTGCGCGCGCTCGCGCTCCCCATCACGACCGAGTCGGTGTTCCGCGCGGCGCTCACGGGCGAGGAGACGCCCAAGGCCGAGGACAAGAACCCGCTCGAGCGCCGCACGCCTGCGACGGCGCCGGCGCCGGCGCCGGCGCTTGTGCGCGCACACATGTGGTGGGACGGCAACCTCCCCCGGCGGATCGGTACGTGCTCCCGCGTGCTTGCTCACCCAGCCATCGCGACGCTGCTCGGCGCGGCCGCGTGCGGCGCCTACCGTGTTTCGGACGACGGCGCGTGTGAGACCCTCGCGCTCGCGTGTGCGTGGTTCGCGGCGGCGGCGGTCGGCGCGCTCCGCCCCGGACCGATGGACGGGAAGGGGTGCCTCGACCTCGTGGTTAGTACTTCTGCGAGCGTGCTCGCGGCCGCGCTGCTCGGTCTCGGCAAGTAGAATAGTGTTGAAAATTGTCGCTAGGCGATGCATGTGGTGCACGGCGAGGGTCTGATCTTTCACCTATCACCCTTCACCCTTCACCCTTCATGCCCTTCGCTTCGTCGCCCTCTTACGGCCCTTCAAAGGTCGCTTGGACCAGCGACGTGGATTCCGCGTCTGTGCGTGGCTTACCAGATCATCCACGTTTCGGCGGCAAACGCCCGAGCGTCTAGAAGTTTGCAGAAGACGTTTCGTCCACCGGCGGCCGGTCGGCGGAGGACGCGTCGAGTACGCCAAGCCGCTGTGACGCTGACATTCCTCGGCCGCCCGGTGGCAATGGAAGATTCCAGGATCCATATTGGAACCAAATTGACGTGGTCAGGCTCAGATTGACTGAGGCACGGCATACCGCCCCACGTCATGTCGATCACTTGGCAGAGAAATCGCCAGAGAACATCTCCCACGTCCACCCGTCTCGACCCCACTTCAATGCTCGGCGACACGGATGTGCTCAAACCCCAAAGACGGACAACGGCCGCCCGTATGCATGATTACTCGTTACACGGGCCCAAGAGAGGACATGCTGTAGAAACACCCTGAAACAGTGTCAGATCACACCCAGCGCCGTCCGACGCTGGTGCTTCCTTCGTTACCGCCCCCACTCGGAGGGATCCCACTCGTCCGCGGACGTCACAGAGCCGTCGCTGTACATTACGTCGTCCATGTCGCCGCTGTCGTCGTCCGCGCCCGCGTCGGGATCAAGCACACCCTCGCGCCCCGCGGAGCGCGCCACGCGCTGCGCAAAACGGAGTAATGCGTAGCGCTCAGGGCGCAGTTCCGACGTGTACCAACTGGAGGTCAGCGCGTCGCCTCGTCAAACCTTGTGCTGCAGCTCACTAGTTCACGGCAACCGCGAGCCCGCCGTCGCCCTCCTCCTGCTCGACTTTGTGCCACCAGTCGGCAGGGAGGTACAGCGTGTCACCCTCCTCGAGGTCGACGACAATGGGCCGCACTTCGCCAGGCGGCACCAGGCTCTGCACCCAGGGGACTGGGCGTGCGGGTTCGGGGTCGAGCTCAGGTCGGAGCTTGCCATCTGCGCCACGCACGAGGGTGGATGGCGGATGAAAGTGTTCTGCCGTCAGACCTGACCTAGGCGCAAGGTACGCACGCTGCAAGCATAGCCCCTCGATTGGGGACAAGAGCGTGAAGCGTTTCTTGCCGCTCAAGACATGGTAGACATTCTCGTATCTTCCGGTCAGCGGAATGCCGGCAATGTTACAGGGTCACAGAAGGGAGGGAGGGTGTGGATGGAGTGGCATTTTTCAACTCACGGGTCGTGATGGAATGAGGTTGTGCTCTTGCTGGTACCAATCCAAAGATTGACCGCCTCTGCCATGCTCCCTGGTCCTAGTCAGCCATCAGCCGCCGCAGTTATCAGCCACACGCAGCCACCCAAGAGCTGGCTCCCGAATAAGACTCCGTTGAAATAGAACAAGGACTCACCCACGGCCTCGCGCATCCATGGCACATCGCGCTCGACTGCCGCCTGGAATGATGCCAACTCGGGCTCGTCGCGCATCCCGGGTTGTGAGCGATAAATGTTTCCGTCCTGCGACTGAAGGTATAGAGCCTCGTCATTGGAAGAGTTGGAGAGTTTTGAGAGAAAAGCGGTGATGGCCATGCGCTCTTCCAGGGGCTTGACAAAGGTTGTCTCCCCTGAAGCAAGGGTCCGCACAGAGTCTGCAAGGCTGACGGTAAGCATTCACTCCTGCCGCGCCTGATGACCTGACGGAGCAAACGGGGCCGAGGCAGGCGGCCATACTCGCTCATGCTTCCTCCGTCCTCGGTCGTGGTGCACAAGGATGCTCACCCGTCGTCTGTAATGGCAATGGTGACCTCGCCTGCTTGGGCGTGGAGCTTGATATAAGTCTCAGGCACGCGCCAGTCGTGGATTATTCCGTTGCGGATGGGGCTGTAGCCTTTCGGATGTTAGTCATGGTGATCACTGCAGGGCTGGAACAGGGGGGAATGTGGAATTTGCACAACCTCGGCGGCGCGCTCTCGGCGTCGCGCTTTGAAGCCACGGGCCCACAGACCATGCAGGCAATGCAGGTAATGCAGGTAATGCAGGCAATGCAGGCAATGCAGGTCATAGCACACCTACTACCAAACCTACCTCGGATAACCGTGGGATGAGACTTGGAGATCATGCGTAGGGCTTCCAAGGATGATGGGGGCTCATCAAGCTTGAAGGCGCTCGGAAATTGAAGGTCTGAGTGGGTCAGAAGGAGCGATGCGCGAGTGAGTGAGATACGTACCATAGTAATCGGTAGTAAGGTCGTCAAGGTGAGCCTCGAGAGTGCTCTTGTCGAGACTCATTTGGGGCTCTGGGGACTGGAGGTGAAAGGTGTGCAAGGGAGGGAGAGATGCGGGGGAGAGGGCAGGAGCAGGAAAGAGATAACGTTGG